TTGGGTACTTCACCCGGAGACGAAGTTTCGCCCACAGGCCTATGGAGTGTGAAACAAACAACTAAATTCGAATACAACAGGCTAATATTGTGTTAACTAAAGGGCGAATTTAATTTCCGCAAAATGACAATGGTAATACTGAAAGTATTACCATTGTCATTTTCACTTGTGTCAGATTGTCTGAGAGTCCCTACAATTTCTTTCCGTGTAGTATCGTTATTGGCCAGATCTATCATAGCCTAAGTTTGTTACAACTAAAAATTATTTTCCGGTATTTACATTGTTATATACATACAGTATCTTTAATTAATATTATGACATTCTCTAGTCAAACAGCGTACGTGAACCTGTATTAATATAAACTGGCGTATTTATTAAAATATCGAATAAATTGTTAACAGATGCCTTTTTAAAATAACTTCGTTTGTATTTCTGCAGTTTGATTTTGTTTTAATTATTGCTTGATGTTCTCAACGGCGTCGGAATCTATAGAAAAACCGAAACAGAAAGCGTTTCTGTGCATTGTATTTATTATATTTAAAAAAATATTATTTATAAATTAAAGATTGTTTTAGAAAAAATGAAACTTGAATATGTTCTAGCAGTGCCGTAACTAACCATTCCTGTGCCCTGTGCAATAATTTTCATTTAGGCCCTTAATTAATTAGGTTTGGGAAAATAATAAAACAAATACATGCATTTTGGGCCCCTTCCAAATAGGCCTTGTGCGGGTGCACCTGCTGCACCTGCCTAGTCACGGTACTGTGTTCTAGTTTTCTTCTGTAAATTCAACTATTTGTGTGATCAGTTCAGTTCTGTTGGAAAGAATAAAAATTACCTGTCTCGAAGATTTGTTTACGTGTTAAGTAAAAAAGGGAAATCAGTTTAATCCTACCGAATTTACCACATGATGATAATAATCGAGTGGCCGTGTGTATTCGTTTGAAGAAAACACAAGTAAAACGTAATGCGTTCGGAAAATAAAGTTCATAAATATAACAGGAAAAATACAAGACAAAGAATATTGTGTTCAAAATCGAAGAAATTCATATTTAAAAATTCCATAAGAGCGGATGAAGAATGGTTTTCTAGATTTTCTAGGAATGTGTTTTATGTGTAACAGTAGAACACAGCAATGTGTATTCGGCACAGCTGACGACCGTGTTAGTTGTTGGGGAACGAACCGAACCCATTTTTAAAATAACGAGATTCTGTAAAAATGCCGGCATAACCAGTTTACTAGGCTGGAGAATTAGATTTAGTTTAATTGTAAACCTTCTGTCCTTAAAACGCTACCGACAGATGATAAGTTCCCCGTGTGCTTATTTAAAAATCTGGATTTTAGTAACACTCGACGACCGTTTTACGAAATTAGATCTATTCACGAACACCTATTATAAATGGGAACAAATAAGTAAATATCATTTTAACACATAAAGTACGAGCGCATTTATAAATCATGAATTTGGAATGTCGTAACACTAAAAATAAATGTTGTAATGTAAATAAATTCTGAATAAAAAAACTTTCAAATGGCGCTGAGAAAGTATTTGTACACGTTATGGATGGTACATATACGTGTACGTAAATTCAATATGTTAACCGGAAAAATCATTGTTAACGTTGATAATTGTTAAACCGAAATTACACTTGTCGATTCAATTACTAAACAAGAAAAAGTTGGTTTACGAACAACTGATAGAAGGATTGAAGGACCTTAATTAATTCAAACCAAAGAAACAAAGAATTAGTTAGACTGCTTTACAGAAATTGTGATAAATGTGAGGATTGAGTTTAAACTCAAAAGTATTTCTCTCCTAGTTTATTGATATAAACGGAGTGGACAGTTAAACTTTGTTTTAAAACTGCCTTTAAAAAATATAGTCATATAACGTTCGGAATTTATATTAACTTAAAAGAAACACGCGGTTATTGTGGCTATGTTCATCTCGCATCTTACCCCGTAACATTCGTAATTTCTTACGCAAGTAATTCTACGTTCGCAATTACAACTCCGATAAAGTTAATGATATATTTTTAATGACCGTCGAAGTATTATGGATAATCAATCGTTACCGTAATAATCGGCAGCTGGCATTTATACAGAAGAGACGTGGTGTTAACAGGTGAAAAATCAAATATATGCCGCAACGTAAATTAAGTATGCAATAAGTACGCGTTCTCGTTTATGAAAACAATTAAATGCGAGAAGAAAATTTGGAATATTTTTAACTAGAAAATCATTATGTAAGTAGATAGTTCCTCTTCGTGTTTGACAAGGAACTACGTGATTAATAGTTCGGTCTTTTGTCTGAGTCAGGCCGGTGGAAGACCCCATGTTAATATGTTACCTTAAAGGCGGCTATATACGTTAAGTTAATCCTGAAAGGATTGACCATGCATGCCTGACCTTGAGTAATTCCTGGTAGTGTGTGGGGGGAATTTTAATATTTAGAAAACTTCTCAATTCATTTCTTCCGTTATCATAAAACATCTCGATACTCGATATCATTTTCTTTTACATTTTAAAAAAATGTATTGTTTTAATATCCAAGTAAATTAAAACATGACAACTTAAAATAAGACAAAGTTTAATAAATTCTTTTAAATTATTAAATTATAAAATTAATTTGCGATAATAATGTTTACAATTTGTACTAATATCGGACGTGGCTGAGAATTATTAATATATATTCGTCTATAAAATTTAATCCATGAATTTATTTGGTAGTAAAATCGACTTGCCATTGTCTTTCGCTGATAATTGATGCTTTTTAACAGAATCTATAGCCCAAAATTTCTCTTGAAAAATTAAATTTGTGATCAGTGCTACCCAAATCACTACTACTACTACTATTTACACCATAGACTTCTATGCATACTTTGTTCCCGCGAGTTTTAATACAACTTGTTGCCAATAAACATCCAAGAACAGCCAGTATGTGGTCATCAGATGCCATGGCCACATACTGGCTGAGAGACAATAGCGTAGCGACTAACTGAGAGACAATAGCGTAGCGAACATAACTGGCGCCCGGGGCACGATACTATATTGGCACCCCCTTCCCCTCCAGAAACAAATCTTATTTTCTTGGAAACCATTTGGCGCCCCTCTGCGAGTGGCGCCCGGGGCAAGCTGCCCCACCTTAGCTACGCCTCTGTTGAGAGCTTTTCTTCTTCGTTTGTGGGCGATAGGAAATTCTGAAGTTCCTCAAGGTCAGGCAGTTTCAAAGGATTAACTTAACGTGTATAGCCGCCTTTAACATGGTGAAATGATTACATTTATTTATCATATTCCTTTAATGTGGAATATTCTTAATCAATATTGCTTTTCTTTCTCTTAAACATCAATACATACGCTCCTAAATAATAAAAATGGCGATGGCGCCGAATGGGTATGAAGTAGCGCCATCTGGTGAATAACTGGACTTTGGATATAATAATAATAATAAATTATCATAAATAAAAAACAAAGTAATTTTGTTATACATTAGCGCCATCTGTGGAGAAAGAAAGGAAACGAACAAACTTATAAACCCGCAGATTTCGATGTATGAATAATATTTTGTATTTTCTCGTCCATTTATGATTAATATTCTGAACGAAGACCTTCATAAAACCTTTATTATAATTAATTGGCCTATTTCGGAGTAAAACCCAAAAATAAGCATTAAAAAATATCCAATTTTTAATATAATCCTTCTATGATCGAAGTTTGGAAGCGCCATTTTGAAATCGAACCGCATTCGAATTGTAAATAATATTTAATTAATCGATAAAATAACATATTTTATTACATTTATAACTTAAGAGAAGGGCGCCACCACGGGGCCCACGAGACTTAGGGCCCAATCAGAGTGGAAGAAATGTTTTTGCCATTCTGTGTTTCGCTTTTGAATAATTATCCGCGTTTAGGGATTTTAGTAGATTCGTCCTATTGCAATTTTCCCCACGACTAACCACAAATGAAGCACCTGTGGACTTAACAATAGGGCAATAATGTTCCGTTAACAATAGGGTTATTGTGACATAAGTATGACGTCTTTAACCTTTTTAGAATTTCGAAAATTGTAGAATATTTAAATTCTTACTAATGTCTATTTGACACACGTACTTCCGGTTGTAATTACGTATTATCAATAATGTCAGTTTATGTTACAAGGTACTGTACTCCGCTGTACATTTGGAATATACATTCTTAAAATTCAAGCCAAGTAAAGTTCGATAACTAATCCAGTAATACGACACTCCACGGGGTGACATATGAAATTTTTGTGTTAACACTTGTTCAATGAACGACTGATTTACAGTACGTATATACTGTTAGCTAGGTGTTTGTTGCACGTGCAGTCAGTAGCACAGACCAATACAATCAACCAATTAGTGTACCAAGTATGTTTTTACTGTACAAGTACAGTACATACATACAAGGGCAGTAATCTGACACCCACCATGCCGGTCTGATATGTGTGGGACTAGAGAGAGACTACTGTACTTCCAATTCTTATCGGGCTGCAATTATACATTCCCACTGTCGTGATTGTCTGTCCGTCCGTCTTTCGTTAATCTTGAGAATGGAGTTAGTTAGAAAAAAATCCAGATTGGATACGAAAAGCCGATGACTAATTTCATATCTGATCTGGCATAGGTGATTTTGAATGACATTGAAGATGTAGTATGTGTCATAGGTAATTTTGAATTTTTGTTAGGTATGCATTTTCAAAACCTCACAGATGAATATAATGTGTAAAATATACCTGTAATGGCTTGCATTTAGCAATAATTATAATTATATCAATTATAATCACCAGAGATATTTCGTGACTGTACGAAGGCGTGCAACAACTCCAGTTACAATATTCAACTTATCTTATTCCATAAAATAAATTGAATATTGTTCTATTTTGTTTATGAAATATTGTGTAATATTAAATATGTATATAAATAAAAAAAAAAAATGTATTGAGAAGCTGTATTAAAAGAATTTGCGTAAACATTTCTTTTTGTTCATTAACAAATGAAATTTTTATAATAAATTACAATTACCAGTTACAAATATTATACAGTGAAACCTGTATAATTGCACGGTTTTCCTGATTTGGGAGGTTTCCGTCCTGGACGGGTTCCGCCGTACTTCGGCATCCGTTTTAAAAATGATATAAAATAGAAGGCGCCATCTCTTCTTCTCCATTTTCGTCGTAAACGGACACGGACAGTTCCGCGTGGTCTCGCCTCTCTTGGTCGGAATCTATCAAAGATTTCATTCTGAAATAAAAATTTAAAATTTTAGTGTGTAATTATATAAAACTTTTCACTAGTTTTGTAACTGTCAAATATAATTGATTATTCTTCATTCAAATCTGTCTTACATATTGTTACATAAGTTTATTGTTATTAAAAATTACAGGAATGTAGTAAACACTTGTCTGTGGAAGAAGGTAATGGAAATAATTACAGGCCTCATGTATCAATTTTGGATGAATTACTTGGTTTTAAAAGTATATTTGACTTTTTTATTCTCCTAAAAACTGTAAATGAAATTTCTTTTACAGTTTCTTGGGAGTTTTAAATTCCAAAAAATTTCTGTATTTTTAAGACTTAATGTTACAGAATGTGCTCTACCCAACCTTTCATTTCTTTGCACATTTGGCGTCTTCTTCAGAGTTGTAAACTCTCTTAAAAACTACAGGTCTTGGCAGCGTTATTTATCTCAAACAGTTTATGTTTATTAAGGTGTTTACATAATATTCATCATGCAAATGTTGAATGTTCTTTTAACACCCTAGAGTCTATGTCATGGATGGCAAATCTTTTTGAGTCCAAGTGCCATATAGTAAGCATACTTATCTTTAAAAATGTTTGTGCGTGCCAAAGTTCTAGACTTTGAATAACTGTGTTTAAATAAATAAGATGAATATGCTTTAATTAGAGTAAATGTAAACAAGCTAGTTGAAAAAAGAATGATCAGGTAATAAACTGAAAGGATGACTGAAAAAGACAGATGATAAACTGAAATTGTACAAAAAGTTGTGTGTCAATTTGGGAATGTGTGTCATAGTTTAGCCACCCTTGGATTAGATGATCAAAAGAATAGCTTAGAAGCAGTGAGAGAAGTTTGCTAACTCTGACTTGCAGTGTTATTGATGCCGTAGCCAGTGTGCAACGAGCATAGCCAAGCTCACAATGTCACTCAACTAACTAACAAATAACTCTTTGCATTAGTTCTAACAAATGCTGCTTTCATTTGATCACCTGGTACGTCTTTTTTCATAATTTGTCTTTATAAATTGTGACTGTGACGTTAATTGTGTGTGTTATATCTGTATTAGGGTTTCTCATTTCTTGGTCTTTTGGTTGTCCCAAGATTCCGAGAAAAAGTAAACTGTTTCCCAGAATACGATTAATTACTTTTAAGATATAAATTCATTTTTTAAGTAACTTAGTACGTCCTGCAACCTCCAAAATAATAATAATAATAATAATAATGCTGTGTAAAATATGCATAAGAAATTACTTTTGAATTACGTAGAAATTTTCACAAATAGAAAAAATTTATTAAACTTTGTTGGAAACTGCTTACAAAAAGAAATGCCTAATACTGTATTGAGTTGAAAATATAAAAAAAAAATGAACTTAGATCAAACTTCTAAGTTAGAAGGTAATTTTCATTATTTAAATAAAACATAATACAAAATATTTTTGTAAATTTTTATAATAAGATTTTAAAAAGCAAAGATGATCAATACTCCAATTACTCAATTTGATTCTTATTTTACTAAAGAAAAATCTTGCTACTGAGAATGCCCTTTTCGATTCAATTGATGTGGGTGGAATAATCTTTAATTCATTTAAGAGAAGACAGATGTTATGTGTTTTTTTCACCCATAGCCTGGAAGATTTCTAGTTCGTTTTCGAGATGCATTGTAGTACTTTTGTCGTCTAGTATTCTTGATTTGTCTACCTCGGCTGCTTTAATAGCAGCATCAAGCTTAGTCCGATAATTCAGCAGTTCATTTGGCCTTAATAATTGGGTTTATGAAGAAAAACTTCATACTTGCATACTTTTTACTCGTTTGTATCCTTGCCCAATTTGCACAACCTGGCATAATGCAGTTATTAAAGCTAATAGGCATGGTTAAAAATTAAGACAGCATTGATACAATTATTCAAAATATTAAAGGACAAGTAAAGAATTTTTGGGATCCTGCCACAAATAGGCTACATATTGATTATTGACAATCTGTGGCATGCCTTAATAAGCAAAAATTTAAAAAACTAATAAGCAGGCTTAAAATTAATAAATACAAATGTATTCTGAAAGTTTATGAGTTAATTATACCTTCTATTTGCAAAATTTCCTCAACTTTAACACAAAATAAGAAAAATGTGAATTTTTAAGAAATTTGCAGGATTTCCCAGGTTAAAAAAAAGCTGGGATCCTGTTGGAGAAACCCTAATCTGTATTAACTGAAGAAATATTGCTAACTGTATGTGTTCAATACAAGATTAATCAATTAAATTTAACTTATTGATAATTTTTTATGCATAATTTGGAAGATTTATTTTGCATTCATTGTGTTATAAATATATTTATATCTTAAAGCTTGAAAAAATTTTAGTTTCTTTTGAGATAGATAGATACAGAAGAGTGCAATAAAAATAATGATACATCCATCTTACAAGATCATAATATCAGTTAAATGTTACCTTCAAATGATTACACATCATACATATAAAATGGAGGAGACATCACGATGTCAGTTATTATTTTTCAAAAACTATTGCTTTTAACTGTTTTCAATAGTTCAACTAGAAGTGTCATTCATGATATCATAAAACGGTACTCGGTACCTTTTTCCTAACAATTGTGAATCTTTGACCTAATCATTTACATCTTATTTATAACAATACAGACTAATATTCACCCATTTTTACAAGTGGCTTGATACAATATGAAATATTATCAACTAATTAAAATATACATGAAATTTTTACTTACGTCTGTGACTTTCTCTTCTCGTACAAAGGTATAAGCGGTAACCATAATATTTTGGAGCCGTAAACAATCATGGTTGGTTCCAAATTAAAGTTTGCCTTGAAAATTAACAACGTTTATTATTAGTATTGTGTGTCCAACACAGTATCTAGTACTATGCTAGACCTGGGTCAGAGCATAGCTTCAAAAAAGCAAAAATGTAATATTGCTGTGTGTGTGAGTGGTGTTTTTGTTTGTTTGTATTTAAGAATTTCTTAACTGATATACATCACATTATGAAAAACAACCATTTTAAACACACATCTTATTGTTAAGACCTAACTTTTGTATATGTGCAAGAGAGGACTACAGTTACAGTAAGTGATCTATCCATTCTCCACGAGTGAGTTCTGAGTATTCACTAATTCTTCAATTTACATATTTTATATGTAATGACTTTGTTTGCCAATGAGATGTCTGGTGTATTATTATTATTACTTAGTTATGGTATATTTTGTGTGTTGTTTTCTAAGATCATCTGCAGTGTGTATTTGTAATGCAATAGTTGAGTCCATAATAGTTTGTTTGTGTGCAGGCTTTTCATGTTTGTTGTTTACTTATGTCAATGTAAGTTTTTATCACATATCTTGTGATATGTTGTTGTTTTATATGTGTACGTTTACACTTTTATACCAAAAAAATATATCTAATATTAATAAAGAGCAAATTGTTTTCAGTTATAAGAAACGGAAGTATAACCATTTATTATGGCTAAAAGTATTAAACAGGACAATTTTAAAATGGTCAATCGTTTCTACATTTTCAAATCTTTCAAACATCTCTGCTTTTGATTTGTATCAAGAAAGACAAATTATAAAATAATCTCACAACCTTATGATCTTTCTCTTTTGAATCTGTATCTGATAATTAACTAATAAATATAAAATAATGTTAGTTTCTTTTATTATGGTGTGAAAACTTTGAAAGTCATTTTTCTACTGGTTTAAAATCTAAATTCAAAGATTTAGCATTTTTATTTTCACTGGTAACGACTTTTGAGTCAAAATTCATTTGTAAAATGGATGAGATCACTTCATACTTTAATAATTATTATTCTTGTATATGTCTGAATGATGGTCACCCAATACAGTTAACCCATACTATATGCTTGGCAATCTTTAGAAAGGGAAATAGCTGGTATGTAGGTCAAAAAACGTTGATAGCATAAAAAGCAAAAAAATTCTTTATTAACATTGATATTGCACAATGCTTATATTAAATACCTTTAATAAACAAAATGTCATGTTATATCTGCATATATCTTATAAAGCTATTGCCTTAAACACTGTCAAGTGTATGGGAATAGCTTTATACTCTTTAACATCACAATTTAAAAAAAGTCAAATATTTTACACGATGTATCATAAACCTACACCTAGATTTTTGATGTTTCATGATTCTTGATATTGCATGATGAGTGCCTCCTGTTATATACCTTTGTGCAATGCTTGCACAAAGGTATATAACAGGAGGTACTCATCATGCAATGTTTTGCCTTGTCAATCTTTCTTTTGTCATGGTACAATGCACTCATGACAGTTGCTATCAGTCAGTTTATTGACTTTCACTGCAATTATTAAGGACAATAACTTTTTTGTTATTTACTTCCTAACTTTTCCTTTGTGGTAAAACCATCATCAGCCTTAATATTTTACAAAGATTACAAATCTTTGTAAAATATTAAGGCTGATGATGGTTCTTTTCTTGAGAAAGTTCATACCATACAGCCTATATTTTCTTAAATGATGAAACAGACATTTCGTCTTTTCAGGTGAAAAAACTGTAGTACAGCTCAATTATTTGGTATAACTGTAAAAGTGACTCATTTCCTTCTGCTGATTTGTCGGCCATAATTGATTTAACTGCCAACATAATGGCACTAAAGTTGCCAGAATTAAAGATGCAATTTATCTTATCTGCCATTTAAAATTATCACAATTGAGCTAAAATTCTCATACATATATACACATATAAAATTATTAATCTTGGTTCTTTCTCAATTGAAGGAATTTGAGAATGTTGTTCTGGTTTGCTTCAGTCGTAATAAAATACACAAAATGTCTTCAGCATATATATTGGTGTTAGACTCATTAAATGAAGTGTTTATGTGATAAAACCAAACTCTAAAAACGCTGACAAATTGAAAAAGTGGCCTGTGTGCTGACAGAGCATATATAATGCTGATGGTTGGCAACTATGATACTGACAATGAGCTATGCCAGCTCTCAAAACCTATTTAAATTTTCATTCTGCTATTTAATTAGAAAATAACAACGATTAAATACAACATATAAAGATGAAAATTTTATTAATCTGCAATGTATTTTATGCATGATTTATCGTTAATATTTTATAATGTAAAGTATTAAGAGAATTTTATTTTGTATAGCTGTACGAGGGCTGTTCGGAAAGTTCGCGGCCTTGCCTATATGCGGCGCTGCGATCAATTTAATTTTTGGCAGGAATAATTCAGCCATCTTTGCTAAAGATACGATACCAATTTCCGCTTGATTTTTCAAAAAGTTTTGCCATGACAGCTTAGCAGATAGTCAATGTGCACATGCTTTGTCAAAAATGGAGAAGACGGAGACTCGTGCGGTCATAAAATACCTGACGAAAAAAGGGTTGACCCCATCTCAAATCAAAGCTGACATGGATGAAGTTTTAGGAGAGTCTGCTCCTTCGTACACCACTGTGAAAAAATGGACAGCCCTTTTTAAATCCGGCAGAGAAAGTGTGGAAGATGACCCTTGCAGCGGACGGCTGTCAACTGCTGTCACTGAAGAAAACATCGACAAAGTTCACGATTTGGTATTAGCAGATCGCCGTTTGAAAACGCGTGAGATAGCTGAGACAACAGGCATCTCTGTCGACCGAGTGCACCACATCCTAACCGAAGATTTGGGTATGACGAAGGTCTCAGCAAGGTGGGTGCCGCATCTGCTGACTGCCAAGCAAAAACGTGTTCGCACTTTGATGTCAAAAAAGTGTTTGGACTTCTACCAGAAAAACCCACAGGATTTCTTGCGTCGGTTTGTGACTACTGACGAAACGTGGATCCATTACTACACTCCTGAAACAAAAGAACAGTCGAAGCAATGGAAACACCACAGTTCGCCACCACCAAAGAAGGCAAAGACAGTTCCATCAGCGGGTAAAGTGATGGCCTCGGTTTTTTGGGATGCTAAAGGCATCATCTTTATTGACTACCTAGAAAGAGGAAAGACCATTAATGCTGTCTATTACTGTGAACTTTTGGAAAAACTGAAGAAAGAAATCGAAGAAAAGAGGCCACACTTGAAGAAGAAAAAAGTTCTGTTCCACCACGATAATGCACCTGCACATTCCGCCAGAATCACTGAACAAAAGATAAACGAACTTCGCTTCCAATTAGTTCCACATCCACCGTACTCACCTGATTTGGCCCCCAGTGACTTCCACCTTTTTCCAAACCTAAAAAAATTCTTGGCTGGAAAGAGATTCCACTCAAATGACGAAGTCATCTCTGAAGTGAACGAGTATTTTGCACACCTTGACAAATCGACCTATTGTGATGGCATAAAAAAGCTAGAACATCGCTGGAATAAGTGCATTGCTAACAGAGGAGATTACATTGAAAAATAAAAAAAGTTTTAACATTATTTTGTTTGTTTTTCTATGTGAGGCCGCGAACTTTCCGAACAGCCCTCATATTTGGTTGTTTTCTTTTTCATTTCTGTTATCCTAAGTTTTGGGAGCTGCTTTTGTTTAAATCTCAACACTTCACAGCTTATTAATCAATCTGTGGAATCAGATTTGTCCATCAGAATATTGTAAAATTTTTATATGAATTAATAGAATATCTTTAATGTTTTTAAAAAAATTAATGTAAAGCAGACAAGATATGCTTTAATATACACTTTGCGCTTGTCAACTTTTGTTATTCAACACTGCAATAAAGTAAAGAATTTAAGATTTCCTCCTCTCTCCTAATTGAATTAATTCAAAATTCAACAAACACAATTAATCTTAAGTTTAAAAAGTTTAATACTAGTAAATAATCTAGTTTTTTTCTTTTGTTTCAAGAACTTTAGTCCATGGTTCTTTTGTCTTTTTAATAAGAGATATTTGGTTAAAGAGTGCAGTTATATTTTTCAGGTAAAAAAAACTTGGTACATTATACAATAACAAACTTACCTTAAATTTATTTATAAACTGCTGTAATGTTTCTTCTTTCTGTCCATAAATATTCCAACAGTCCCATACTGTATATGCTAAATCTTTTCTGAAAAATAACTTTTTCCATTAATTAAAAAGCTAAAATTAAAAATTGTTTAAAACTTGTTAAAATGCTTCATTAAACCTTATAAAAACATATGTGGATGTTAAAACCCACATATATTTTTTCTTGTACCATTCATCCAATTTACTAGTAAGAATTTATAAGAAAAGTATGACATGAGGAAAGACATGATGGTGCGACTTGACTTAACATTTGTAAGTTTCAGCTGATTATGTAGAGAATTGTGAAATACATTGTGAAACGAAGAGAAAAAACAATCTAGCCATACTGGTTTTTTTTTATCTTAGATGTAACATCAGATCAGACTATAGATTATTTATGACCTGATCTGAGTTACATTTGGATAAGAGAAAAGAATGTAAGGAAATTTCATATTTTCTATGTATTAACACCCAGAAAATATAAAAAATATTTTCTATATTGTCTATGTGTTTCTATATTTCTATGTCACATCATTCTCTGTCTGATGTCTTCAGTCCCTTTAGAATCAGTCCAAGATATTTATTGAACAGAAATTAAATTAGTCCAGACCCAAGTAGCAGACTACATTTAAGAAATTCATTTGGGTTCTAAAGATTGATGATAAAATCCATATCAATTAGATAATATCATATAGTTCTTTCTCAAATCATCTTAGTAATACAATTTAAATCATTTTATTAATGTATATCTGCCAAAACTATAGTTTCTGACATGTTGTAGACCTTTTCCAGTAAATATAAATAATTCCCAAAATATTATTTGTTACCAATGTAAATTCTGCATTATAATTCCTATTATTTAATTTTATTTTTCATTTCTGTTGGTTTCATATAAAATTATTTTTCATACATTTCTGTAATTATATAGATTTTGACTGTATTTTATTTCATTATTGATAGATAAATATTTAAAGAATTGTTATACTTGTGTAAAACAGAAATATATTTCAATTTTATTTCTAAATAATCATTAATAGTTTATTATTTACTTAATTACTGTTACTTTAATTTAATCAAAAACACTTATTCTCACCTTAATTTGTATATTAATGGCGATGCAGGTTCAGAAAGTAAAATACTTGGTTGTGAAAGGTCAATAAAGTAATTGGAATATTGAGATTTTTCAAAATCTTTCAAAATTTTCAATAATTCAAATACTGCCTGCAAAAATAATTTTTATTACCAGACAAATTATCATTGAATAAACTATGTCAATAAAAATAATATCAATAAGATTGAATTTAATCTTTGAAGATAATTGTGAAATGAACACAGTTGCTAAACACAGTGAAACCTCTCTAAAACAGACACTTGCAGGACCAGAGAAGTGTCCACCCAAGAAAGATTTTTGAAAAATTATTCTAAAATTATCCTTTAAACATAGCTTGTGCTATTTTACTTGCAAATTTATAATTTTTGAATGTTATGTGTATTATAATATGATGAACAACTACCACAAGAGGGTCAGTACAGTATTACTTTTTAAAAATTCAGTCATGATTGTTTGTAGCAATCTGTCTCTCTTTAAGCATACTTAAATCTTGTGCTAACTATGTATTGTCTATGTCTTTTCTATTGATGTGAAACTGTTCACATAATCCAGGGTCTAACTCATACAGTCTATTTAAAACCTGCTACAGGGCCACCAATTCCTATTGGTGGCCCTGTAGCTTGTGTCAGCTCTTGACTATAAAGCTTAAGTGCCACCAGCTGGATTTGTTGCTGAATGGGCTGTTTGGCAACAAATTCAGAGTAAGCCCAGTAGCTTACACTTCTACAGTAGTTTTTTTTTTTCTTACAACCTATTCAACCCAATAAATACAACTATGTCTTTATGGGCTATTTGGCTATTTAGAAAACTTTTAATCTATCATAAGTGACATAAGAATGTGAAAAAAGAAAAGGTAAATAGTATGCAAGACAAGTTATGACAATTGTGGGACTAAACGAATGTCCACAGAACTGTTTTCAACCGACATCAACAATATGATTTATGTTGTTCTTTGAAAAATGTTGTTTCTGCTAGTTACTATCATAAGGTGCACATGCTTCTTATAGACTGATTTGAACTTAGTAACTTGCTTTGACACTTAGAAAACTCCTACAATGGCAAGTTAGCATAATAATACAATAGACTCTCACTAATCCAGACACTCCTAGCACAAAGGAGTGCCAGATTACTGAGAATGAATAGGCCTAAAGACAGTGAGTGAGGCAACCTGCTACCTTACAGCACTCATTCTTTTTGGAGGTATTTCAAGCAAGCAAATAATATAGCATACTGACTTGCAATACTGCAGAAAGAAATAAAATAGTCATGTCGCACAACCTGTTTCCCTAACATTTTCATATAAATGGAAGCACAGATGATTGCACTGTAAGGTATGCCAGATAATCGAGAGTATACTGAATCTCTGTCATAATAAATTGATGCAGTTAAACCGATTCTAAAAACTCAGGAAATATTGTATTGAGTTTTTAGAATCGATTTTATTGCAACTGCAAAACTCCAAACAAGGAAGTCGACGCTGTGAGAATCTATTGTATTTATTAAGGAGAGATTGAGAAATCAACCTTAATGCATTTCATGTGTTCATGTCCATTGTGAAGTTACATATTTTTTTATACCAGACTGTGAAAATTGTATGTTACAGAGGGTGTCTATTAAGATTTCACTGTACATAATAATCCATTGTAATTATATATATAATTAATAATTTCAAACTACTGTATTTAATTAAACATGTAAAAATCTGATTTTACAATTTTAACAAATGACTAAAGTTATAATTACTTAATCTTACCAAAGCAGATATAACAGCATTAGTAGCAGGTAGCGATGGAATAATTTTTCCAGTCATAAATCGTATTCTTAAATAAGATTCAGTTTTGATATTATACATTAACGCTCTTAGATTCTAAATAATAAAAGAATAAATTTTATTAAATAGTTTCATAATTTAATTATTAGTATATATATTACTTTTACCTTAAATTTAATACAATAATTTAGTTAATTTAATGATAATATTAAGAACTGTTTGTCAATAATGACTTATTTGATTTCTTGCTGTCAAAAACTAGAAGACAAATGTCTCTTTCTGATTATTTTAATGTTCTCTTTTGAATTCAAAATCTTAATATTGTAAATTATTTTTAATATATTATTAGCAAACTTAAATATTAGAGAGGTTGAGGCAGACGTTTTAAACGTGTAAACGTGTAGGTCGGACGTTCAGCGCCGCTTTCCCGTAAGCCTAAAAGTTTGACAATGGTGTTTGGATAGTCGGTGAAATCACGCTCGACATTCCAAACACCATCGTCAAACTTCTATTCTAGGCTTACGGGAAAGCGGCACCGAACGTCCGTCCTACACATTTACACGTTTAAAACATCTGCCTCAACCTCTATATTACATAACTTAAACATTTTCATTTCTTTAAGAAACAAAATTCCATGGGTTAATTTGGTTTTATACACATTCGTATCAAGAATACTTAATATCTAATGTCATAAAGGCTTATAAAGCTAACGATTCATTGTTCTTTATTGGAACATTTAATATACTGCTTAATTATTTTATTTTAAGTCTTAAACAAAGAAATATACTTAACAGTTATGTTTTCTTTTTCGAATGCATACAATTTTAATTATACTGATGAAATTGGAATGTTTATACTTAATTTTCATTAAAACTAGTATCAGTGAAATATGTCACTGTGACTGTTCCTCATATTAATTAAGATTTATTGAAAATATAATCAATGCTCAATACATTTCTATTACTGTACATCATTAAGTTATAATTTATTTGTAAATTTTAATGATGCTAGCATATTAATATATTAAAAATATCACAGTAAAGATACAAATAAACACAATACTGCTTATAATTAATTAAGTAAATGGTCCAGAAAAATGTTTAATCATAAATAATGGTAATTTATCATCATATTAGCTTAGAATGAATATAAAACCTTTTGAAAACATTCAATGTTGATCTAAGGATATGTAAATCATCTTAAAAAAATTTAGCCATAATAAATGGATGACCCTTAAACTTTATTAACTATCATTAGCTTTCCAACTTAAGAAACATATTATTACTAATAGTTTCTTTTAATATTGTCTCCAATAACTAAGGAAAATAACTAATTAACTGTTTTGAAATATCCTTTTTCCTGTATTTACTTTTATGTTCTTTATTAATAAATGTCTGCATTTAAAATAGTTATGTTATTAACTATCATAATAAATCATTAAAAATCCAACTTACCGAAGCAGAATATATAAAGTCCATCTGACCTTCTGTTTCATCATATTTATTAAATTTTAGAGGTAACATTTTCAAGCATTCTATAAAAATATTAAAAAACATTTATAAAATTATTAAATAGTATCAAATTTCATTTACAGATAGTATATATAGTAGTAAAATGCACTTAATTTTAATATAGTATTGTAGTAATTACAAGTAAAAAGCTTTTATCTAATACAGAATTTAATCCAATATTAATTATCATTTCAGAGAAAACACCTCAATATAGCATTTAGAACTAAGCCAAATCATACCCATAATTAATCAGGCTATTATTATGCTATAATTAATATATATATATATATATATATATATAAACATACTTAAAATTNTATATATATATATTACTACTAAGTGTTAAACTATACAATTTTGTATAGTTTCACACTCAGCAGTAATATTATGCAGAATAACTAATAATATTGTTAAGACATGTTATTATCAATTATTTTGTTAATAATTTTAAAGTATTCATTAAAAAACAAATCTACTTTCATGACACTTTCAGTAAATTATCTTTCTGTCTTGTCATAATGCAAGATTATCATCAATAAAGTAAACTAATGCGGATAACTGTTTGTCAGGGGAACATCAAGTACATAGATGCCAATATTACAGATAACTTGGACAAATCTGTGAGAACTCTCTTATGTAATATGTATGAAAATGATTAGCCAAATTCTAGTCAAACAGTTTAGCAAATCTACGACTGCTTACAGCTCTTTGAGTTCCCAACCACATCATCATCTCGTCAGCACGCTTAACTGTCTTGTCCAACAGAATAGAAAGATATAACAATATGATGTCCACTTTGTAGAATATGAATTCTTTTGATGTTGTGTAGTAGATAAAATGTCAGTTCTGGTCTAAACACAAAGGAAAAGCTGACACAACTCTCTTGGGAAATATTTTAATAATATTGTTAAAAAATATACCGTAACTTTTTCTAGAGAATAAGCGGGATGGATGTGCTTCTTGATCAACAGTCTAAATGAATAGCTATGTTTATAGATTGGTTTGAACTGATAGGATAAGGCAATGCATTACTTGGGAAATCTACCAATGGGATGATACCCAAGAAGACTTTCTGCAGGAAACTTGAACCCTATTTAAGTGTTAGTCATGTGAATGAAACCCAGAAAACTCCACTTGGTCAGCCCATTGGTGAAGTTGCAAACTCATAATCAATTACTGATGTTCTATGGTTTTATACACTTGATCACTGGAGGGTGCCGTCTTTATAGACTCTTATGTCAAGGACTAAACGTGAACAAGCCACTGTTGTTACTATTATGAAAAAGTTAATAGGAAGATCTGAAATTTTAATGCTGTTTTAATTTTTCTACAGTTATTTGAACAGGTTCAATTGGCAATTCCTCCCATCTCATCAATAAAATACAATGAAAGTCCACCTCCTCAATTAATATAAAAACTTTAGATTTATCTACAACTAAGTGTTAAACTCAGTGATGTTATAGGTTGTTTTGTTTGATTAATCTGTGCCTTAATTTTGACTTATATACAAGCAAATGAATATTTCACTGTAAAATAACAATTACTGAGTTAGCCTTAATACACCCCAATAATCTGGCAGATCATTTGGCATTAATTCAATGTTTGTATTAGAAATTGACTTTTTTGCATTTTTGCTTCAAATAGTTTTAGTGAAAACATGTAAATACTTTGGTTAACTATATATTTTTAGCATATTAAAATTGTTTCTATATTTATATGATATTTATTTAAGATTATACTAACCATTATCAGTTGATTCCATTTCCTTTCTGAGAATTTCTAGAAAAACTGGAACTGTTTGATCTCCTTCCTCATTCATTTCAGGTTTTTCATCTTCTGCAATTACAACTTTCTGTAATCAATTTAAAACATTTATCTTATTAAAAACCAAAGGTAAACAGTGCATGTGATTATATAGCCATAGAACCATGTAAGAAATAATAATTATTTTAATTTTATAGTTATTTATCAAAAATATTTATTGTATATTATAGCATTTACTGCAATGGCCATTAAAAAACCATGCAGATATTGCAGCATAGATTTTCCAAATATATTAATTCAATAAAAATAAAATAGCTGTTCTGACAGTAAAGTGCATTCAAATATAAACATGATTTGGTTTATTTTTCTTCAAAACCAAATGATGACTCCCTTGTCCCATTCTGGTATCAAGAAATTAAGGTCAGCCTACTAAAACTAATTTGAATGCTCTACTATTACACATGATCAGTTAATTGTTATTTCTAAAATAGAATGTTCTGTTATCTGCCAAAAAACTTTCAGCATAATATTAATTGCTGGTTTGCGAGTGTAATGCAATTGAAGTTAATAGATATTAACGTCATGACAAATTTCTCATTGGACAGTAACTTTTCTATATGTTGAGGCTTTTCCCCACTTCAAAACTTGGGCAAAACTTTACATATAAAAACAATTTTATCTATTAACTGTATTTTTAAATTGTACTGTACCACTGCAAGAAGAAGCATTTTTATAGAAGTTTACATTAAATACATTGATTCCACTGCTTTATTGTCATTCCTGTGATGTGAAAATGACAAAGATATACAGGGTGTCCAAAAAGTTTCCATAAATACAAAGATAAAATGTAACTTTATTCACAAAACATTAAAATGTCAGCATTAAGATTTGTGTCAGTGGATTGACGGAGTAAGGCAAACACATGGGTGATCTGCCAATGGGGTAACTTCTAGCAGGACTTCCTACATGGAAACTGGATTCTGTTTAGGTATTAGACACATGAAGAAAACTCAGAACACTGCATGGTGGCCAGTTCATTGGTCAGGCACAAACCAATGACCAAGTACCAGTGTTCAATGGTTTTATTTATTCAGCTACTTGTGGGCTTGATTTGTATCACTGTATGGAAACTTTTGGGACACCGTGTATATCTGTTATGTTATAATCGATTTATGAATTTCAAATCAATTAATCATTTTCATTCAATAATTTTATTAATTATTTGATAACAATGTGTTATACTAAATTTAGTAATGAGACAAATTAATTAAAATATTTAAAATTCAAACTTTATTTACTTACTTTATTTGGATCCGGTTCAAACTGTGGTAGATTTACATGATTTAGTATCTGACAAATGTTGTTAATTTCTATATCCTAGCAAATAAAAATAATAATTAGAACATATCATCTTTAACCCAATTGATCAGAAATCCAGAATATTGTAAATTAAATTATGCATGGTAAAAAGAGTTGCAGGTTTGAGTTCTGCTCTGGGACAATTCTTTTCTTCCATTCTATATTAAATTTAATTTAAATTATGAATAAATAAGTTTTATCATGAGATTGCAGCCTAACTGCAAACTCTGGCCAAATTACTTTGTTTTGGATTAATAATTAGACTTACAATAGCACGACAAAAATCTGGCAGATCATTCGGTTGTCATCTTTATTTTGAATTCCATAAATTTAAAATTATGTCAAGCACATTTATTGTATAGAATTTTTAAATTATTTTAATCATATTAATAATGCATCATATGATTTTTATACTCTAAAAATCAAAACAATATTGAAACTTGAATTTTCTAATAAATTATAAATAATTAAACTGAAACTTCTGGGGCTAGATTCATAAGCATCTCATAAGTTACAATGAAATTTCTCACAAGTTGCTCAATATGAAGAGTTTAGTAGTCACAAAACAGTGTAAAATAAGATACTGTAGAAAGTCTTAGCCATCACTTTCCCAGTACATTGATTTATAAGTACTGTATTTGGCACTATCAGCAGATAATCAAAGTCATTATTAGTAATTCGAACACAAATCAATTATTGTATTTATTCAGACACTTGGCAAATCTCATCATTAAATTTTATTCAGTTGATACGTGTTCATTGTATTTTTACATGTTTCGGGCATTCCTTGCCCCTCTTCAGCCAACTGTAATAAAAGTTCACAAATTACAACAGTCAAGAACAAGTCAAGAAATACACATATTTGAAGATTTAGCTGAATTAAAAAAGAAATTTCTCCTGGCAGGTTACCCACAAAGACTGTTAAGAAAATGGAAACTTAAAATAAATAATCTTAAAATGCCAAGAGACAATAAAAAAACAAATGATATAAAGTATATTGGTTTCCCATACATCAAAGGACTACACAAACAAATTGATAATGAAATACGTAATATAAACTTTAAGTTAGCACCATCACACCAAAAAATGTATACAAGACTTAAACAACTCAACACTGAGGAAAAACAACAACTACCAACTGAAGCTAAGAATGTGGTATATAAGATTCATTGTACTTGTAACGATAATAAATATTATATAGGAGAAACTAAAAGGAAGTTAAAAACCAGATTAAAAGAACATATAGCAGATCTAAAATACAATAAAATAAATTCTGCCTTTCATGATCATTGCACTCTGAATGATTTTAACATTGATAAAGATAACGTACAAATACTTCACAAAGAAAAAGAAACATCATCATAAATTCAAAGAAAGCGTAGAAATTATCAAAAGTAATAAATGTATAAATAAAAACCTAAGTATTAAAATAAACGAAAACTGGCTCAATATCTTATAAAATTAAAAAACCTTTTAAAAAAAATATTCCTATATAAAAAATAAATATTTTTTTAAAAATGTTGCCACAAGGAGGCCTACTCGTCTTGTGACTGTGCAGTAGACAGTGGGCAAGCTCAACTGGGGGAAAAAAGGGGGACGAAAGGTCAGCGGAATATGTTTGTCTTTGATTTAGATGAAAGATGAGTATGTAAATTTTGGTATTGTTGTTAAATAGATTTGAACGTGATAATAAATGTATAAGAAAAAATTTTAAAATTGTTTAAATTTTATAACAATTCAAAATGAATAACTAGGTACGTAATTTGCAGTATTGTTATCAAAATAGTTGTATACATGATAATTAATGTAAAATCTTTAGATATGAAGTTAAATATATAAAAAAATTTTTAAACATTTTTTAGATAAGAAGTCGTGTGTGTAAAGGCATTTTAAAGGTACAAACCATACAAACATTTGTAATTTGATGGATAACAAGTTAAATGTGCAAAGAAATTTTATGATTTTAACTTTCAGCAATCTGTAATCAAAAAGGTATGTGTTTTGGAAAACACAACCTTATTTGTTTGTTTATAAAACTGTTGTAACTTGTGAATTTTTATTTTAGTTGGCTGAAGAGGGGCAAGGAATGCCCGAAAAGTGTAAAAATACAATGAACACGTATCAACTGAATAAAATTTAATGATGAGATTTGTCAAGTGTCTGAATAAATACAATAAAATTGATTTGTGTTCGAATTACTAAAAATTACTGGCATGGTTTCAAAAATATCAAAAAAGTTATTATTCTTAATTGTCTCTTTTAAACTATTTCTAACTCTAAACCTTTAAGAAGTCATTAAATGCGAAAAAAATTGATAAAATTCCTCACAGTGAAATTAAAACTGTTTATAAAATATAATAGCTATAGATCTCATTCATTATCCTTACTTTTTTTTGTAAAAAAAAACTATTAAGTTGTCAATTCCTTTCAACTTTATTCAATATTTTTATTAATATAATTGTCAGTATCAGTTTTGGACAGTTCATTCCACACCTACATCAGTTACAGTTTTCTTTTGTATTTAGTAATAATTACTATCTATCATATTTCTTCTCCTTAAGCTATTTATGAAGCATTTTTAATAAAATAAAATTTGATTATCTTTCCTCTGACATTGCAATGTGAAAAACAAGAAAATTCTGAAAATACGTCACTAAACACTTTTTCTGATTGTTAAAATGAAAGTGGTCATTAACGATATCATAATACACACACTCGTTAATAGTTTATTTTCTTTTGTTGTAAATGCTACAATATTTTTTGTGAATATAAAGTATACAACATCCTTAGTCTCTCTCCAATATCATAAAGTTATCAGAAACTGTCATATCTTATGAGATAGTCATGAATATTTTTATTTTAACAATTTTTTTCTATACACTATTACCATATTTCTTCAATTTTAAGATGTAGTCCACTGTTTTATCCATTTCTACTTATCAGAAACGAAGATGCATCTTAAATTTGCAATGACAGGTCATTGCAAATAGTTCATGTGTGCATGACAAATGTTTCCAGCTACACTGCTCAACAATTACATCAGTTTAAATGAGTTCTCTCACAAGTATTTAATTTAAACTCTCTAACATTTAAATGCACATTTCAAAACATCATAATGCAGCATTAATTTTGCAGCTCTATTTCTGTGCTATGCTTCTTTGTATTTATATTGTTTTCCAGCTTATTGCTACTGAACAAAACTAAGGGAAATTTTAAAATAATCGCCATAAAAACTTCAATTTTATTTCAAAATCATGGTGCATCTTTGAATATGAAGAAAATATGCATAAAATTATACTGTGATTTCTTTTATTCTATATTACAATTTAAAAGTTATTACAATCAATCTTTTCCGCAATTCTCATAATTCAAATTAAGAATTTGATCTTGCCAATGAATACAATGTACTGTATATGCAAATTATACAAAATTCATTATTGTTATTTCTTTGACAGTTAGAAATTAAGGCAATTTCCAATGAATGAACAAATTAGCATTTTGATTTGGATGTGCAAACTATTCATTTATATCACTAGAGTATGTCTATTGTATGCAAATAAACAAAAACTGGAAACTGGTTGTTCTGTTCATTAAAATATTTATTCTTAACTTCTACTTTCAGCTTTATCTACCTTCAAAATATTATTGCACATATTCAGATACAAAAAAAATTGTCCTATAGACCGGTTATTCGTGTGCTTAAGGGACATTCTGAGTATGGCACATTGTTTTATACTCAATCTGCTGGAACCAAGTCTGTAAAAGGATACCTACATAGAAAGGATTTTTTAGCTGTTGATGCTGTCTTGAACAAGTGATATAAGAAAACCCAGAACAATTCATAAGTGTTTTATAGTTTTTATTCACTTGGCCAGGTAGGCATATAAAAGAACATGACTATTATAAATTGGAATACTTACATCATTATCATAGGAAATATTCCATAATTTAGCATGTAATCTGGCTGTAGAGACAATGAACATTCTATGCCTAGAAAAGACAATTTTAAAAACCTCTAACTGTTATTACATAGTACTGTAGATAAAAATTGTATTAATCTTATGTTTTAAAAGATTTTAACTTAGCAAAAATTAAAAGTAATAATTATAACTGATAAATGGTCTCTATTTTTTCTTTAAATATAAAATAAAATTTTAAATTGATAAATAATGATTCTCTTTCTTCTCCAATATTAAATTAATTTTAAAAAATAATAGAATATGCATCCAAGAATACTTTCTATTCTTTAAATAATATGCATGGCCCAAATTCTGACAGAGACAAATATTATAAATTTTGTAAAATATAATTTGTAGTATTACTTTTCATTTAATACTTCAAAAAAATATTTTTTGTCATCTCAATTATTTTTATGGTCTTGGATATGTAACACAATTTAGTAATTCTGCTTTCCTGGAGAATTTAATATTACAAACAACACATAACACACTGTCTCTAGCCCTTTTATTCCTGAAGATACGCTAAAATAAAGCTAAAAAAAGTTGATTAAAAAGATTATTTCAAATTTTTTTTAATAACATTCTTTTATCTCTGAACATGAGCTTTAAAGTATGTTCAGGGAACAAAATATCTCCTTTTATCAAGCTCTCCAGTAAAGCAGATTAAAGATATACTAAACACTAATACTAATATTATATATATAAAATACTACTAATACTAATACTAATACTAAAAACAGCTATAAAAAAGGAGTTGCAAGTCTTTGAAAATGTGTTCACCATAACTGAAATTCTTCTGATAACATAGACAATTTAAACAAAAATATTAATTAATAGTTAAAACTCACTGTGTTCAGCATTATTAATCGTTTTTTCGTTCATTCGAGCCCTTTCGATGAATGTATTTCTGTCATCTTCAGACGAATAAAATGCTTTAATCGAACATGAACATTCGAGAGAAGAACACATATAAATTTAAATGTAAACAATTTTTCGATACGAGTCCGCTACGATTTTACGTACGATGTTACAAAATGACATAATATGGCGCATGCATGGTACTGCTTCCTGTTAGTGACGTAACATGTGATGTAACTCGCCATTTAATCATTTATATAGGGCGATCCATATATTAGGCAGCTCTAGAGTAGGTGTGTTGCACATTTCAAATGTTGTTATATACAGTGACTCCCATACAAAGAGTAGTCTTCGGTCGTTGCATGCCCTGAGTATAGTGGCGTGGGCCCATAATGGGTTATAATTCATGTCGCATACCCTTCTTGCGAGTTCAGTGCTGCAACTTCCTTTTGCTATATCATCCTGATGTTCAGTCAGGCGGGTAGCCAACATTCTTGCCGTGGCCCCAATGTATCTCGTGCTGGTCCCCGTTACAGGATTTTCTAATGGAAATGCATAAATTCCTGACTCCTCGAGAGTAGAAAACTTGTTACGCATGCGCCGTATTATGTCATTTCGTAACATCACACGTAATTCAAATTGTAGCTGACTCATATCGAAAAATTGTTTAAATTTAAAGTTATATGTGTTCTTCTCTCAAATGTTCATGTTCAATTAAAGCATTTTATTCGCCTGAAGACGACAAAAATACATTCGTCGAAAATGCTCGAATGAACGAAAAAACGATTAATAATGCTGAACAAAGTGAGAGTTTTAACTATTAATTAATATTACTTAGCATGAACAGCATATTAACCTATATAAACAAAAATAATTGAAAACTTGGACTTCTTTGTGTAAGTTTTTAAGAATTGATAATATGAAGTTAAACAAAGAATATTTATAATATTAATTTAAACTTACAAGGCATTTTTCCATTCAAATAGCAACGGAATAGGAGCACATTTGGGATACTGCCAAAATGGTTCTATAATCAAAAATTACATTGTTGTCATGTCACCAAGAAGTTAATATTCAGTTTCTTATCAATAATGAGACTTACTTCCATCGGAAACATAATCGAGGGGAAACAAATGTAACAACTGATGAGCCTAAAAAATTTTCGTTATAACATAATTCATAAAGCATTTTTCATTAGGCTTAAAATCAAGTAATTATTGGTTATTAATATACATTAAGTAATAACATCTATTTTATAATATATAATGAAGGCATATTTTTAAAATAAATTAATTAACTTCAAATATCTCTAATTTTATTGGGACATCTTTGTTACTGAGTAGTATTAATCAATAGTCTTTGGACTTGTACTTAAATTTATAAAAAGTTTTATATATATCAATTAATAAAAGTGCTAGCAAAAATTAAATTATATGAGGATGCCTAGAATAATGGCTGTCTTTTTGATTTGAATGTGACACCATGTTTCATCCATTTTCACAATAAAAAAATGTTAAACAATTTTATATACTCAAATCCAAAACATTTGATTATATAATGTATAAATCAATATTAAAGTTATTGAGGATGATAATCAAAATGCTATCAAAGAATTACCTGTAATAATTAGATAAATTTGGAGAGATACTGAAGATAAATAAAGTTATTTATATTTTCTTGAACTATGCAGAGATCTACTTTATTACTTACATCTATTTTATTGATAAATATTACTATATAAATCACTTGATTTTTAACATTTACTTACCTTATTACAAAAATACTTTTCAAATTTATGTCTAGCAAACTCAACACAATCCTTCCAAGACTTAGGCCTTATCAACAGTAACTTTATGGCTGTCGATAACCCATTAACTCTTTCTCCCAATTCCAATCTCTATCAATTAAAAAATCTGTTAATAGTGATGTATTTTTAAATATGTGTAACATTTTAAATAATAAATTTTAATTAGACTTGAATGACTGTTTAAAAATAGATATAGTAATATAAATGCTGGATTATGGAATATTCCCAATATAATTGAGATCAATGATGTCAAAACTAAACTGCTACAGCTAATTTAAAGCTTTGATAATTACATACATAGATTCCTGATTATTCAAATTATTAATTAATTAATTAACTGAATCACTGGTAAGAAATATGAGATCAACTAGTCAAACTCTCCACTTCTGAGACAAGCCATGTGGTCATTGCTGCTGTCCATTCAGTCTGTTATATGTATCAGTACATCATGTAGATGTTCCGTGTGATTGTCAAGCATTGTAAATTTTTGGGGTCGACAGCTATGACAACAGACTGTTGTCAGAGCTGTAAATAATTAATTTTCTGAAGAAAAAGTAATCAAGAAAGAAAATTGCTGAAAATTATGGTATCAAAGTAGCCAATTTCTGACACTAAAAAAAATAGAGAGTCAATTTAACTATTTGTTTCTTTATTAGAAAGTTAAAATGGTAACTTGCAATATTGAAATATAAGAATTATACAAATATTTATGTAAAATAAAATGATCAGCTGGATAGCCAATTTCAGAACCATTTTTATATGAGAAAGTTTTAAGAGATATTAGTAATGTAAAAGTCAATGTTAAATTACCATGTAACTTTAAATCTCAACATGAAATTCAAGAGCTTAAACTGTCTGTTAACAAAATATGTTGAATGGTTCTTCAATAAACTAGCTTCACTTATTGAAATTGTATATAAAACTGAGATTGTACTTCTCAAAGCTAATAAAGTAGGTTTACGCTAGAGAGCACTGCCTCAAAACATGAATACATTGCTTTTAATTATAAACTGAATAAAGATGAGTGGTAGTAACAGTTCATGCTATTTCAAGTGCAATTAAAAATGATTTGACTTTCCAATTAGAAGCAAATGCAAATGTCCAAGAGTTCTAAAGAATATAAAATAAAGCAGTATGTGCAAATAAGACTAATGAATTTTATTATTAAAATTTATACTATTTAATTCATTATCTTATCCAAATCACTAACGTTTCAACAAATAAAATTTTAGAGATTAATAAGAAAAAATAATTATTATACCTACCTCTATGATGCCATTTATACCATTATTTTTCTTCCAAATTTCATTATAGGATGACGGTTTGATGATAAATAGATTCAAAAACTGCAAAAATAAAAATTCTATATAATTCATGTAACATAATTAAGTTTTTATAATTTTTATGAAATGGAAAAGTCAACATATTCTGTTGTATAACATTTAAATAAATTTTATTGTAATTAACAATAACATTTTAATTCAAATGAACTTTTTCTTCCTTATTTAAATAATGATATAATAGAAAATAACTTACTTTTTCATAAGCCCATTGAACAGTATGTTCTATTTGCATTGGAAATGATTTTATGGTACAGTAAGGGTATTCAACATCAGAATAATCACACTTTTAAATGAAATTTCAGTAATTATTAATTTTACCACATCTAAAATCAGAATTATTTTGATAGAAACTTACAACTGCAGTATAATTTTCGGTTAAGTGTGGTAAAATAACTTGAACATGTCCATAAAATCCCATTGATCCAGTATCGATCCATGGTTTACCATTTCGTATGCAACATCTAAAAGATAAATACAAAAAATCAAACTCAACAAATAAACTAATTAAAAATTAATGTTACATAAAAGTTTTGAATTCCATAATTAATAAATTAAAATAATAATTCTATATTATTATATTTTTTAAATTTGTTCATAAAAAAAAAATAAGCATCTTCAAGAATTTAGTTTGTTTGAAAGGTTAAACTCAAATTTTGTTTTTATTAAAGTATTTTGAAACTATACACAATTCTTAATCTCAGTCATCAAAATACTCTGCTTTAGTAAAGAAAGTAATATAATAAAATATTTTAAGACATGAGATTTTTTTTCAATAACAATTAAAAAAAGAAATCACTCTGTGAAAGCAAAATTTTATTAGAAATTTTTATAGAAACATGAAATATATTGTCAAAAGACAACAAACAGAGAAACAAGATATAATTGAAGTAAATATTGGCAACTTAAACATCTGTACTATAAACAAACAATTAACATTTAATGTTTGATGTACTGGTTGAGATTGATTTTGCAAAAAAGATTATTTAAAAATGCCTAATAGGAGATGATAATAACTATAACCAAACACTGATTACAGTAAGCAGTGCTATAATGTGTTTTAAGAAACACAGTAAACAACTGTCTTTTGGCATTAAAACTCTTTAATAAACATAAAATATATATACAAGTACTTTCAATGGTGCATTACTAGGGTTGCCAGATGTCCCAGTTTTTCAGGATTCTCTCCCAGATATTTTCCAATCATCATCTAATGACAGGAAGACTTTGTTGTAGGAATAGCTTTTAGAATAAAATAATTTTTCCATATTCTAAATAAATTTCTGTCATTGTCAGAGTAAAAACACACATCTTCCATATCCTGTAATTGAAATGTCCTGGTATCTTTCAAGAAGAACTCATTTTGTCCTGGATTTTATCCCCAAGTATCTGCTTATCCTATGTATTACCATCTTCAGGCAAAAGATTTTTGTAGAAATGAAATATTGAATAAAATTTTTAAGTATGAAAATGCAAGTTTAAATTTTTCTTATATGCATAAATACTTAACAATCCTTTTGGTAATTTTTTTATGTTTGATTAAACACTAGAGAACACAAATTGATATAAAACAAGTTTACAAATAATGAAAAAGATCATATTAATACCTTTTTAAGAATTACAAAAATAAAAATTTCTTTTCTTTGCACTGTTGAAAGTACTTGCAAACATATTTTGTTTATTAAAGAATTTTAACACCAAAAGGCACTTGTTTATTGTGTTGCTTATGTAATTTGGCATCAAGTGTGTGTTCAAATTTTGGTAATGTATTTTAACTTATATGTTTTAGAACATGCTAATTAGATAACATATAACAATATCTGCAATTACAGTAAGCATATTATACTATATAACAATTAAACATACTTATCCAAATATTTTCTGGAGTAAACATTATCCACATTTGCTATTATAATATCTTGATTTTTAAAAAAATTGCCATCATAGATTTTATCAGTTTCCATAGATACTATAAATTAAAAAGAGAAAGAGATAATTCAGTATATGTATTTAAAAAATATACACAATATCAAAATATCTATGCTTCATTTCTTATGCAATACCTAGATTTTTAAACATCAAAAATACAAATTATAGATTAATGAATTGAAAACAAGTAAAAATATTTTTTATCATGGATAAATACTACGCTAAATACAATTGTATATATTAATAAACAAAGATGAAAGTTTATTAGTGAATTTCCACTCCATGAAATCAGTTTAAATATTAAGCAAAGAAAATAATTTATACTTCTTGATCTGAGTAAAAATCTAAATAAGTTAACATATAAAGCATTTGTTCTATTATCATGAGCTAAAAAGATAGTCCAAGGTTTTTTCCTCCAAACTAAATCCCATAAATTTGAAGAAAACATTACAGAAATGTAGAATAATTCTGTTACATACTGAGAATTATAAAGTTTGCCATCAACTTCACTTAATTAATCAATTAGAAGATATATGATTAAATGTTTCATATCAATTCCTTCCTTTTTAATCTATACTATCATCAATGATGTGGAAAATTATTTAAAGCCATATTATCTACCGAATTATAAGACTATGCTTCAGTAATTTTAATTAAAATAACTTGACCTGCATTTTTAATATACAAGGGGTGTTCAAAAAGTATCGGACCTTTATTTTTCCCGAGTAAACCAATGATGCATGGGAGGTCTCTTTCGGTGGAGTTGTGGAGGGGGCAGTCATGCACAGTCTTGAATTTTTTCTCGCCTGCAGGAAGCATCAGTTGCTGGCAGTCAGCCTATGAGTGAGGACGTGTAGTGAGCGCTCGTCGGATTCCATTAAGTTGGAAAATGACTGAACAACGTGAGCAGCAATAGTACATCAAATTTTGCCAAAAGCTTGGCGATACCCAAGCGGAAACCATTTGCAAAATTCAGCAGGCTTTCAGGGACAATCCTCGAGGCAAAAAAAGCACGGCAGGTCCACAGAAATGTCAAGGTCATGTTGACAGTTTTTTCGACTCCCGTGGGGTGGTGTATCATGAGTACGCACCACAAGACCAAACCATCGCAAAGGAGTACTACCAGGAGCTCCTTCGTCGTCTTTGTGATGATGTGGGATGCAAACGACCGGATCTGTGGTCAACCAAAACTTGGCAGCTCCATCATAACGCACTCGCCCATTCTGTGCATCTGATTCAGACTTTCATCGCCAAACACAACATTCCTGTGGTTTGTCACACTCTGTACTCTCCCGATATGGCTCCGTGTGACTTTTGGCTATTTCTCAAGCTGAAAATGCCACTAAAAGGAGCCTGATTTTAGTCAAAAGAAGACATCATGTGGAATGCGACGGACCGACTGATGGCCATTCCAAAAGATGCATGTCAGCAGTGTTTCCAGCAATGGCAAGAGCGCTTGGAGAAGTGTATACATTACCAAGGAGACTACTTTGAAGGGGATTAGGGTTTTATACCTCAAAATCAATAAATGTATTTTTGCCGACCAAAGGTCCAATACTTTTTGACCACCACTCATATTTTTGATTTACAATAAGAAAAATTTGATTCTCTGGTATTTTAAATGGATATTATCTTTACAAATATAATACATATATTAAATTTACTAATAGTAATTTTAATCAATTTTGAAAATCTAAGAACATTAAGAAAAAACTATTCTCATGTTTTATATATTATTTGCTGATTCAGGAAAATGAAACAAAATAAAGTATGCCAAAACAGAAATAATTATAATAATAGCAATAAACTTTGTAATATGAAAGTTTCAATATTTCTTTTGAGTAAAAATGAAACTATTTGATTTAAAATGATCAAATACTTACATTTGTTTGTATTTGGAATAATCTTCATTTCTAGAAAAGATTAAAGAGCTGAATAAATTTATAATTAAGTTAAATACAAATATTCAATGGGCAGCCTCCAATTTATGATGGTCCAAATTATGACACTTCACAAAAGAAATTCCAAAAATTCATTAAAATCCAAATAAAATTTTAAAAATACAAAACCTGGCAGTGATATAATTCTTAAAACATTTATACCAATAGTGCAGTTCTCTCAACAGATGTCACACCACTATCAAACAAGATCAATAAAGAGCTTGGCAGTTTACAACAAGAAGAGATTGAACTCAACCTAAGTGTTCTAATTTAATTTTTGTCACTTTTAAACAATTACAGTACATTATCATGTTATTTATTAAAGTATAACTATTTATAATAGTTCTTTTTCCATCCCCAAAATATTGTAAACTCATTCAAAAAATACATTGTAACTTGTATTCCATTTCTGATAATTCCAAAAACATATCATCATCATAAATTGGGGCTGCCTATATAATCTAAAAATTAAAATTTCAATAAACAATTTTTTATGATTTTATTTAATTTAGAAACTACAAAATTATAAATTTTTTCTGTTGTTAATTAAAATATATTTAGATAACTAATTTTTGATGATTTCTTTTAATTTTTACAAGAATATTTTCTAAGAAATTTCCTCTACAACATTTTTTTAAACTACAGAATGATCAAGTGTAAGCTGGAATCACAAAAAATAGGACAAGAAGTTTGGTGATGCTTTGAGCTGGCTGTGTTTGTCACTGCCCCACCAGAAAGCACATTAAATCTGATTACAGACTTGAGAGAGGATATTTGAAACTCTAAATACACAAACAAATATTCATTATTATATTTAAGGCCAAAATTGATTATTTTTTGTTAGCTGTGTGAACAGAGTCATGAGATAATCTGATCTCTTGAGAAGCACTTTAAAGAATTTGCGCAACTCACTTCTAAGCATATTCGAATGTCTCAATTTTTTCCTTAAATAATTTTTGTTTGCTTTAATTATTTTTGTGAAATTCAAATTTTTCTTGATCAATATTTCAATTAATTAAAGTAAAAGGCAAAGTTAATGATTTCTTAATCACAGAAATCAATTAGGAGTTATAATAGATACATAATTGATGGATGAAGATACAATTTTGTTTTATATACTGTAAATAAATTAAAATAATAGATTCGAAATTAAGACATACTTGAGTTAACTTTCAAAATTTCCTCACTTGCTGCAATGCTCTTATATTGCTTGAAATATATATATAAAAAAAAGTTTGATTATATAAAATCTGAGATACATAAAAGTTCAAAATTTTTTCTAGATTTTGATTTACAATAAAATTCATTTTAATAATTCAAAAACTTAAATGTTTTCAATAATAATGTAAAAATTTAAGAACCTTTTTCATCAAGTTTAATTATTTTTTTTACATTTCTTACATTAAAATTAATAATCTGTAATAATTTAAAATAACAATAGCTATAAATTATATCTAACAGGCATGTAAAGCATACATCTAAATTAAATATATATATGTCTGAACTTTTCCTAAATAGATTTTAATCTTTTATTGGACTTAAATTAATTATAATTTCAGAAATAAATGTAAATATATACATTTATACGATTCCTTGAATAAAGAAAATGTTGCGTCACATGCGATTTTCCAATAATACTGTCATCAGAAATTATAATCTGTAAAAATAAAAACATAAAATTAAGTGACTTCTGTCATACATTTTAATTTTTGTTAACTTTTTATAAAAATGTATTATACATATTTTTATGATTACAAGAAATTTGGCAATGTTGAAAGTCAGGATGGCTCTGCTAAGTTTGACTCGGAGCATCATCAAACTCCTCACATCTCTCACGAGTCCTATCTATCTTTCAATATTGATCACCCAATATTGGAAGATTTAATCTAACTTTCTATGTACCTTTAATGTATTTTTTTCATTTTAGAAATTAATAAAATTTTAGATTTTGAAGAATAAATACATACATAACACTAAGTATGTAGCAAAATGTATAATCATTCACTTATAATATTCTTTGCTAATGAAAACAAATTTAATACTGTGATAATATCTACTATACATTTTATTCCAAAGTTAGATAAATCACTTTAATCATGTTTGGTATGTTATAACATACTTTGTAACACACATTTTATATAAATAAACAACTATTTATTTATATAAAATGTGTTTTACAAAAAAATATATATTTTAAATTATTAAAATATATTAATTAGTAAATTCAAAGCAAATCCTTCCTTTCAGGAACATGGTTTATAACTCCAAATATGTGTTAAAAGCAATTCATGAAGCAGTACATGAAACTTTAAGTGATATCAGGCTTTATGTGTAGATTAGTGATATATTTATAAATTCAGCAGAAAGTAAATTATTTTATACAACTTTTTCTTCAACATTTAAAATTGGTTTAGAAAGAAAAAAAAACATGTAATGTTTTTAAAAACTTATAAGAAAATTTTAAAAATTTTCACAAAAAATTAATTGAAGTAAACAGGGAGGGATTCTTCATCTTTTGTACTTTTCACACCTCAGAAACAATCTGAGTTGACCTTCTATTGAAGGCTCTTATCTACCTCAATATATAAAACATGTAAAATACAATTAAGCCATTGCCAAAGGAAAATTTAAGTATATTAGTAATTATTTGTAAAAAATGAAGATGTATATGGTTATGTGAAAAATTGTGTAATCAGAAGGTACATAATATTTTTATAAAAAAAAGACAGGATGCTACAGTAGCCCCATACAGCCCTGGTCTTGACCAGAACCAAATCATATATTTGTATACTTGTGGGCCTCAGAAATACAATCACTGACATCAGCAGTCCAGATTAAACTTAATCATTATTCTTTTAAGGCATATAATATAAAGAATAAAATATAAAAAAATGTTTTGCTTTATTTAATTAAAATTTTACCAGATTGATAACAGTTTATATTTAATTAAATGATTTTAAATGTTTAACATACTTTATATAAAAATCCAAACATTTCTGGGCTTATAGATCCATCCTTAGAGAGGAAAGAATCAGTCTTGATCCTAAAACGTTTGGGATACTTTATATAAAATCTGAACAAAAAAAGCAGTGTTTTGTAATTAAATTTTTTGAAAAAAAAAAATGTTTGTTTATTCTTGTGTTATAAATTTATGCGTACAAATGGTATTTTTTCTAAAAATAGGGAAAAAAATTAAAAATACAATGAAATAAAGCAAAATCTTTCAATATATTACAGACCAATGAATAATTAGGGAATTTATTATTAGTATTATTTATTACTTTCAACATATTTAGAAATAAATTTGTGTAACAGCTTATTTTTATAACAGACTTATGATAGCATTTACTGAACTTTTTAATTAAATAAAAAAATTACCAACTGAAATAAAAAAGAAATAAAACAAAAATTAAAATAATTATAAAATTTATCAAAATAAATTTCATTAAGTATTATGAACACAGTATAAAATATTTATATACAAAGTGAATAAAATTGTTAAATAAACCATAACTAAGACACAATTTTTAAGTTTTGCATTAAGTGGAACCTAAATTTACACTACTGTATTTACTTGCATGTAAGACGAAGTTTTCATTCATTTTTCCCTACTTCAAAAACCTAGGTCGTCCTATATATGTGAACGAATGATTCTTTGCATTTTCAATAATTTCTGTGAACTATGTATAGTTCATGCTGCCATTATAGGTCTACAGTCTATTTATTGTAAGTTTGCATCTACTGTAAACAAACTAAGATACACTCCCCTTTGCTTATTGGTTGAAACGTATGTCCATCAATTAAAAACCATATTGCATCTCATTTGTCCGAAGAAAATACTTCCTCATTACTTATCAAATCATTAATGAAATACAAGTCACTTAGCAATGATTATAAATGTAGTTATTTCATATTAGTTAAATTTTTATTTTTAATGAATATTAGCACATTCTGAATCATTAAAAATTTAAAAATAAACTTTTTCCAGTCATGCACATTATGTTTTGGTTTTGTTTTCCATTCATCATGTATTAAAGCAAACATGGTTGTTTGCCTTAACACATGCATTTGGTAATATTTTATTTGTGATTAAATGATCTTTATTTTGACCTTTAGAGTCACACCTCGTCCTATATGCGAAATTATCTTATACAAGAGTAAATACAGTATTTGACAATGTGCTGAATGTTTTAATCACCTAACCTCTAGCGCACAATTTTTTTTCTGTCTTTTATCTGAATTTTATTTATTTTTTGATAAATATGCAATTTATACATTAAAATGTATAACAAATATTATTTGTTTATTTATAATAAAATCCTCTACCAGTAAATAATTTTTAAATATATAATTATTATCATTTTGAAGTCTAATAAATCAACTTTATTAAGTTTAACCTTTAATTACGTTAACATATACACTTATTTGTTTTCTTGGAGATCAAATAAATCTTTCTTAATCTGAACACTCTTGGACCTTTCAACCTATTGTTAGAGATACAAAAATTGTTACTATATAACAAAATAAAGAATCCAAATCCAAAACCATTGAGAAATTCCAAGTTACTTTTCTGTTACAACAATTTTTGTATCTGTAATGATGGGTTGAAAAACTTGAAATAACTTAGGATTAAGAAAAATATGTTTGATGTCCAAGAATTTTCAAAAAGTGTAGATGTTGATAAAGTAACTATTTAAGTTTTACCTTTCCTTGTCCAATAGATGCATTTAACAAAGCAAGATTTTTCAATATTTCACAGCTGATACTTCCACATCCAACCTATTCAAAAGACAAAAATAACTGTAGTTTTATTCAAGAAATTCAAATGTATTTGATTGAATTAAGTACATATACACCAAAATATCTTCTAATGTAATTTCTAAAATCATTTAATATCTTTTTATGACTTATTTTATTTATATGTTTCTATCAAAACATACTGAAAGACTTCAATATTTTCATCAGAGTTACTGTTTCATATTTGTTTAATATTCTGTTATTATACTTTTGATATGTATGTTTTAATAATCCTTTTGGCAAAGATATCGTCTAGTCCTAAAGTACTAAAACAAGTTTAGATAAAATATAACTGCGTGCAGATGATGTAAACAAATGATACAGTGCAATACAACACAATAACTAATGATCAAATTGTAAAAAAAGTCTAGACCAATAGTTCTCAACTTGTGTTCCACAAAACTGACCCAAGTGTTCCATTAAAAAATTTTCTGAAGTTTTATTGCAAATTTATTCTAATGTACTACAACATATTACTGAATTCATAGAAAATTCCATTTTTTAAATTTCGCTGATGTAAAAATTTTTCAATAAATAAAAAGACAGTCAATTCCAAAAAATTTTTGTTAAAACTTTGGTCGATCACCTTTTATTTCCGTTAAAATTTCAAGATAAACTTCAGCGACCGGACCTTCCTTTTTAGGCTACACGGTCGCCTATAAAACAATCCTTTAAAATACAGAAATAATCCAATTTAAGCATTAAAAGTTGTAAAAAATTGGAATTGGTGATCTTTTGACGTCTTTAGGTTTTCATCCTTCTTCCATTCGGGAGTTTCGGATCCTTATATTCAAGGAATGCGCTGTTAAATGTAAATTGTTCTTATTCTCCTCCTGGCGGNTAAATCTTTCTTAATCTGAACACTCTTGGACCTTTCAACCTATTGTTAGAGATACAAAAATTGTTACTATATAACAAAATAAAGAATCCAAATCCAAAACCATTGAGAAATTCCAAGTTACTTTTCTGTTACAACAATTTTTGTATCTGTAATGATGGGTTGAAAAACTTGAAATAACTTAGGATTAAGAAAAATATGTTTGATGTCCAAGAATTTTCAAAAAGTGTAGATGTTGATAAAGTAACTATTTAAGTTTTACCTTTCCTTGTCCAATAGATGCATTTAACAAAGCAAGATTTTTCAATATTTCACAGCTGATACTTCCACATCCAACCTATTCAAAAGACAAAAATAACTGTAGTTTTATTCAAGAAATTCAAATGTATTTGATTGAATTAAGTACATATACACCAAAATATCTTCTAATGTAATTTCTAAAATCATTTAATATCTTTTTATGACTTATTTTATTTATATGTTTCTATCAAAACATACTGAAAGACTTCAATATTTTCATCAGAGTTACTGTTTCATATTTGTTTAATATTCTGTTATTATACTTTTGATATGTATGTTTTAATAATCCTTTTGGCAAAGATATCGTCTAGTCCTAAAGTACTAAAACAAGTTTAGATAAAATATAACTGCGTGCAGATGATGTAAACAAATGATACAGTGCAATACAACACAATAACTAATGATCAAATTGTAAAAAAAGTCTAGACCAATAGTTCTCAACTTGTGTTCCACAAAACTGACCCAAGTGTTCCATTAAAAAATTTTCTGAAGTTTTATTGCAAATTTATTCTAATGTACTACAACATATTACTGAATTCATAGAAAATTCCATTTTTTAAATTTCGCTGATGTAAAAATTTTTCAATAAATAAAAAGACAGTCAATTCCAAAAAATTTTTGTTAAAAGGTGATCGACCAAAGTTTTAACAAAAATTTTTTGGAATTGACTGTCTTTTTATTTATTGAGAAAATTCCATGTTTACCATTTTATTTAATATAATAAAGTTTATTAGCTTATTGCCTCATTGTTTTGTGAGAATAGTAAATGTGAAATTGCTTATCAATTTTTGAATATATTAATGCAAATGTTCCTGCAAAATAAAAAGTATATGAATTGTGTTCCACAGATGTAAAAAGATTGAGCACTACTGGTCTAGACCAGCTGTTCTTAAACTTTTTGCTCATGTGACCCAAATGCTTATAATAAAATTTTAAAAAAGCCTGATAAACAGGAGCCACTGTATATTATATAACAACACAAAATTATGCATTATTGATAATAATTTCTATGTGTGAAATGTAAGATTGAGTACATTTCTATTAAGAGTGGTTTGGGCCAATTTTGATTTGTAACAAATAACTTACTTCTATTTCAGCCTTTATTATTGAAATTTAACTATTAAAAAATGTAAGATGGACAATTTTATATTAAACAGACTCTTACTAAATTATTTAGGAGTCTTTTTTACTTTGAAAAATTAATGTATGCTTAATTTTAAAACTTAATAAATCCTTTTTTAATATATAACTTGTTAGTAAGAAGTTAAGGTTGTAAGAAGATTTTGTCAATTTCATTTTGTATTAATATATACTCAAAAATAATTAATTGATCCATTTGTGCCAAAATTCATCCATTATTTATTTTTATAATTTATTGTTATGTATGACAATAAACCTAAAGTTTAAATAAACAAGGAAATGTTTTCAAAGCCATTGCAACTTAAATAGCTTTATCACTACAACCTTATATATAATGATTTTTTCTTTTGATGTTATTCAAAATTAAAAAGAGAAATCAATTTCATATACACACATTCTCTGATTTTAACTTTATTACTAAATGGCAATAATAATTATCTTTTAATGATATGAAACCGTGCTTTGCAATTTGTTTCTGCTCTTAACACAATGAAGTGCTATAAATTAAGACACTTGGCGGGTTTCCTCAACTAAATAAAGATGAGGAAACCCGCCAAGTCTTAATTTATAGCACTTCATTGTGTTAAGAGCAGAAACAAAATAATAATTATAACAAGAAAGTTCTTCACAGTTTCAATACTTAATAGATGCATCTACTGTTGTCAGTTCTTACAGAATATTTCAGTAATACAAGTATTACAAATATTCCTATGGAAGATAATGTCATTTTCCAACGCAACCCAATATTGGGTTGCGACCCATAGTCTGAGAGATGCTGGTCTAGACCATGATGTTTTCTAAGTGTTAATTATAGGATAATGTTTAAATCATTTTTTTATATAAGAATTTGCACAATTTAAAAAAGTAATAAAAATTCTAAGCTTAATTAATTCTAAATAATTTATATTATCAAATTAAAACACAAATACATACCAATAATCAATGATTTCATTATTAATATAATTTGAATGTTACATTCTTACCATAAATAAATTAATATTTTTTAATTTCTCCAATAATTTTCCATCAATGCAGATTGATGACATATTCTTACTGAAAAAAAATTGTTTAATTTTAGTATTTAAAAAACAATTATTTTACTTTCACAATTATTATCACTGAAAAAATTTTATTTTATTTATTGACAACTGTAAACTTTTTAATTAAAATTACATAAATTTAGCTTTAAGAAAAAAATCTTTAAAAAAGTGGTCAGATATGCATTATATAATGGGACCTTTGTCTACCATTATATAAATACATGTGAGCTATTCTGCAGAAATTATAGATAATATAATCTGCAATACTGAAACACACACAGACCTCTTTCTGTGAGAAAGTACAGATTAAAGAGTTGAAAAGAGTAGAGATTTCAAGAAATTCAAGAAGAGCAGTTAATATTTCTACAAATTATTGTATGTACATTACTTAGATGAATAATAATACATTTTTAAATAACAGGCTCATTAGATCATTACTTCTGATTGGACAATAGAGTATCACATAGTCATTATGGAAATATTTTTAAAACATTTGTTACAGAAGTGAATGATGCAGTTATTTTTTTAATTTAACAATTAAATCTTAAAATTTCATTTCAAATTCTTCTTAAAGTTGTATTTACAACAATAATTTAGCTGTAAAACTTCTAAAGTTTCATCAGCAAAATCTCTTGGATAAAACATAAATTGATTTTATACTTAAAATTTATTAACTTTTATATATATTTTCAAATTAAGTAGCCTATATCTTTTTGTTGAAACAAAGAGCACCTAAGCAAATTTTCGTATGGATTGGACAAAGACAGCAGGAATTATAAGGAACTCACATATACATGCATTAAGGCTATTATACTAATAATAAACAAATTATATCATCACGAAACATGTACAGGGAAATTTACAGCATAAATAATACCAGGCTTTATTAAATAATTTGTATAAATGCAAAAAAAAGTTTTGAAAAGTTTAATATTCTGATGCATTAAGATTAATTTTAATATAAAGCAAACCAAAATTGTAAATTTATGATTTGTGTTTTTACAAATTTATTAAATGTGAAATTCATTTAAATTTAACAATAACAATAATTTATTCCTTTAAAATCCAGAACTGTTTATACTAATTCACACTATTACTCAAACCATTATGATTCAGTCAGATCCCTAATGGTGCAGGTAAGTAAGGAATGATCAGATCAGAGATAACATCCAGAGTAGAACATCTAAGAAAAATTCCTGAAGATTTAAATTGAATTTAAAGCCAAATCTCTCAGAATGGTACTTGTAATCTTTTGTCTCCTTAGCATGCAGTTGGCTAATATTAATGTTTTCAAAAACATTTTTATGTTAAATTATTGGAAGCAGTAGTCAATGGATTCACTTCATATTTGTAGATAAATAAATAACATTTAAACATTTTTTACACAGTTTTCATTAATTAAAATTACTGCTGTCTAATACTAATCTATTATTGCTTAATTTCAGTAAACAGAAAATTCAGCTTATAATAATTTGACATACCATTTGAAATAATGTAGTACATGTTTTGTTAATCTCAATTATCTAATATTTCATATTATTATTTATAAATAATTTTTCGAGTAATTAACTTTTAATTACCTTCCAACATTCACTGGATCATCATTTACAATTTCAGGTGTACAGAAATGAATCTGAAACATATTTTAAATTATCAATGTTCATATCTCATTAAAAATTTCTCATATAGGTACTATGAAAAATGTATATTATTAACAATTATCAAATACTTCGCATAATTAAATAATATTTAAATAAAAATATTTCTAAATAATTTCAGGTTTGTAGTAGCTGTATATACACATTATCTGTTAAAAATTAATCTATTATATGATAATTACCCAATGATTAAGATGATCAAATTTCTTTGTTATTGATTTTAAAACCTCTTGTGAAACAATACCGCCCACAAATGTCGAAAGAATTGGTAGGGTTCTTTTTGAATTTGATAGTAATAATTCAAACAAATTTTTATCTATTTGAATAATCTGAAAAATAAACATGAAGTTATTCTCTTATAATATATGTATATAGACAACATATAAAATGAAAAAATATGCTGAATAGCATAAACATAAGAGGGCAAAGAGATAAGGATATAGAAAAGAATGGTAACTAAGATTAATGGAAATTTTAAGTTGAGATGACTTCCAATAATGAGGAAATCCTGAAGAAAAAAAAAGAAAAAATATTCAATTGCCTTTACAGCAAATTCAATTCATTCTTTATAACTAAGATATACAGTATTTTGTAAATAATGTGCATTGAGTAAAATATATTTTAAATTTACATAGCTTAAATAAGTGAATGCTAGATAACATATAATAAAAGATGATAATAAATTCTTCTAAAATGTTAATAATTATACTAACTGAAAATTTTTCTTTTAAACTTTCTGCAAGGTTTAAAAATGTATTGTGATCTTTTTCATTCCTATATAAAAGTTAAACAAACAATGAAATATAAATTAAACATTTTGTATAAGATAAATGTACATATTAATAATACCCAATATATGGATGTCTTCCAAACTCCTCTTCAAACTTATAAAGACATAATAATCCCAAGTGTAGAATCTCTTGACTCTGTATAATAAATAACATTAAATTAAATTTTTATAAATATTTTTTATGTATTTATTATCCTAAACAAGTTTCTTAATTATAAATATTTATTACTGGATTACAGCATATCTTATTTACACACATAGAACATACAGAAAATGAGCATGGAACCTGCAAAACCATAAGGTAGAACCATAAGATACAGATAGATGAGACGACAAATTGTATAATTTTAGAATTGTAACTATACAAAAGCATTTAAGTTTAATTTGAGTATTAAAACCAAACAGTCTACTAGAAAAATTCCACACAGTTTTAAGTATAATATAGTTCCCCAGAATGTCTGTATTGCACTTAAAATTGTGTGGGATTTTTCCAGTACAATATTTTGTGGTTTTTAATACTCAAACTTTAAAAAAATTATGTAGGAAAAAATAAAATATACATAGATATATTTTTAACAAAATAATGTGTGAGAAAATTCCCATACAAGTGGCAGAATGTCAAAATTATATGTAGACATTTTGAAAGCAAAGTATCAACAAGAGATATATATCTTGGATGTTGTTAAGATATCACAATATCATACCAACATCTATAACAAAGTATAAACTTGCTTTCACAGTGTCTTTAATAATAGTCAATCAATTCTACAGTTTGTAGAAGTACCAGAGACAGAGACATTCTTAAAAATTTATTGCAATTTACTCCTTATTATTTATGCCCATTTTTTTCTAATAAATTTATTGCTGGATGTTATTTGCCATGCCATATTATAACACTTGTAGTATTTCACGCAGACTACATATGTTAATGCATACAAAACAACTTTGTTTACAACTACATTAATCATTTGGTGATCATAAAGCAATGTTTTAAGCATTTTACTTATGATATGATAGTTTGTTATAGTCTGTAATATATAATAACTGTTTTTTTATTTATTTATATATATATATATTATTTATAAACACAATAAAATATATATACATATATATATATATTTTATTGTGTTTATTGTGTATATATATAGGTGTTTTAGTAATGATTTTGGAAAATAGTTGAAAGATTTAGTTTGCCATGACACATTATAATTTCTTTCTTACTTTAAAGTAATGGAAAATAGACTTGCAGTTAACATTTTCCAACAAAATGTCTGATTTTCAAGAACAAGTTATTGACAGAAAACGAGGAATGAAGTATAGAGGAAAAACATATTAAAAATATAAAAATATTTTTGATATTTTTCTTAATATTATGCAATCTAAATATTAATATTAATCTAATGATATTGATCTTTGGCTAAATCAGTATAAAGTTATGAATTTTTTGTTAGAAGATTAATAATAATAATAAACAAATAATAGAATCACTCAATTTGTATTTAAATTAAATAACTCTTTATTAATAACATATAAACTTTATTTTTCATTTCAAAGTGTAAAAAATAAAGTAAATTGCACAATAATACAAACGTTTTGTGTTATGTTTTTCATTGTAATAAGTCGTTATAGGAAATATAAAAAAATAATCTTTAATGCAATTCTTTTCAACAAAATAAAATAACCTATAATATATATTATTAATAGTGACAGAAATTTGTGGAAATATCACTAACGTAGCATTATGTAACTAATTATTTAATTGAGAAAATTAAATAAAATGTAGGCCTACATTACCTGTATTCCGGAGTTATCATTTATTAATCTTGGATTCCATATTTGTTTTTCTATTGTCTGAAAAATAAATTATAATAGCATCAATGCCCCCTTATATACAAGCTACCATGCCAAATTTTATTTCATTATCTTCACCCCGTCCTCAGATATTAAGTGAAATAGATGCCAACATACACACACATATCTACAGAATGTTTCTGCCTTTTGTTTTACTTTTTTGGGTTCAGGGGATCTCAAAACGTAAAGATTTGCATAAAACTGGGAAGGTCAAATTTGACATGATTCCCATACTTTCTCTTGTTATGTATACATAACAGTCAGGAAAGTAAAAGTGAATGGATAAAACCACTGAACACTGGTCATGGGTTTGCACCTCATCAACAGGCCAGCTGCATGATGTTTTCTGGATTTTCTTCACTAACAAACATCTAAATAAGAGCATTTCTTATAAAAGCCTCTCTCAATTAGCAAATACCTTACAAGATGTTAATTTATATTAATTATTCAGTTAGAAGCTTTCAAAATAAAATTAATTTATTTATAAAAATCTAAAGTAAATATAGAAAAAAACTAATTTACATAAAAATTTTCAATGCATATTAATATTCATAATTAAAACAAATACATTTTATTCTGTAACAGTAATAAAATCATTATAGAAAAATGAATAGTAAACTCAACATAGAAAATAGTTCATATTATAAATGTAATCATTTATATTTAGAGAAAAATAAATATTTTAATTCAAGCTTATCTTCTGTTAAAATATACTGTTTAATTGCAAAATATTTACCTCATATTCATTTTGCATTATTTGCTCATTATTAATGCTTCCTTTATTACATCTCAAATCACAGAATACTGAACATAAGATTCCAAATGTGTTTGCAGAAATAAACTGAAATATGAAATTAACATTAATTATTTTTTGGAAGTATTTAATGGAATTAGTTTTTTCTAATTGGTTCAGAATATCTTTATTTTTGAATCAAATGAAAAACTTCAGAACCCTTCCAAAACATTAAAGAAACTGCAGAAAGTATTTTTAATATGTAAAAACATTTCTTATTGTTTGTACTATTGCGACTACTTATTTTATATCACAAAATTAATTTTTACATTAATATAAAATATTGTTGATTTTTATCTCATTTGAACATAAGATAAAAATTATTTGTCTTGTGAATAATTTTCATTTAAACATTTAAATAAATCAAAAAAGCTTGTTAACATATCACAATTTTATGTTAAAATTTTCTTATCCTTTAATTAAATCATAACAAATCAGAAAATTTTATTTTAAATTATGTAAATTTTAATCTTTAAATGCTTTCAAAATTCAGCATTTAATTTTCAGAAGTTTTAACAGAAAATATGAGGAAAGAACTGTCCTTGAGTATTCCATTATTTCTGGTTTCTTCTGAAGACAAAATATTGAATTCCAAATTAATTATGTGAAAGTAATTGTAATTTTCTAAAATAATGCTAACTGATTGTATTTTTGATTTCACTAAAAATTATTTAAATAAAGAAGTTGTAGAAGTCATTTATTCAAGTATCAATCTAGAAAGTTTTACTAAACTTAGGTCTGAATTCTTTTCTACATTAATCTCTTCTAGACATTTAAAATTCATTTTAATTCATTTAATACTTCTATTATTATTAAAATATTTATGAGATAACATTGCCTACTTCAGCCCAAATCACTAAATAAGTTAATTAATTTAAAATCTTATAAGAATTTAGAAAAATTCCAACAATAATCAGATATTTAGTTTAAGAATTTAACACTGAATTAGTTTTTGTATCCAAAAAAAATCATAATAATACCTTTACTCTGAATTGTAATTGTTTATAGTATCTTTATTTTTCCATATTAATTATGTAACACAGTAGAAATTCAATTATCTAAAATCCCAGATTAGCCAAAAACCTGGAATATTTAGTGTTGTACTGTACATACCACAGAGTATAATATAGAAATGTCAGGAGAAGTTTGAACTAAATAGAAGAGAAAGCTGATTGAATTTGAATGTTCATTTTATAAATCATTCTGTTTAATAATGTAAATAAAAATAGATATATTTGGCAGATTTTAAATGAATTTTGATAATTGTTTTATGGGTTTTCATGATTTTTTTCATTTTTTTAATAATTTTTTCTTTTGTATCTCCTAAGATGCAAGAGCATTATAAAATAATAGCACCAAGATAGTATTATATCAAAAAACTTAATAAGAAAATTAAATAACTGAAAAGTTAACACTTAATTTGAAAATATCACAATGTAGTTTAAATAAACTTACTTTAATAGGAGGATTTTGCAAGGTACAAAAATTATTTACAGTCATTTGTAACATTAAGGATTGATCACATAAAATTACAAGCTGAAAAAGAATTTTATTATTTATTTAAATATTAAATATAATTATGCAGATTTTTATTATTATTTAATATTATTACCTGATAGCATAATAGAGAATTCAAGTCTAAATTTTCAAGACCTTGTGTTTTCACTTGCACTTCTGCATTTGGATTCATTGTCTTTAACTTTTCATAGCAAACTACAGCTCTGAATAAACATTGTAAAATATTTATATAAATAAAAATTAAAATATATAAAAATTAATTTAAAACACTGTAATTGTTAAATTAATATTTAGTAACATCCAAAATATAAATATTAGTGTATAAACCAATCTCTAACTATAGAATTAAAACAAATGATCAAGAAGGAAACTGTATTAGATCCAATACGAATCAAACAGATCTTTTTTTTTTATTCTGATACAAATATACTGATATAAACTTCATATATGACACTACAGATCTAATATATAAAACACCCTTTATTAATTAACAAACCAATTATCACTTATTTTATGTAAACTCTGTGAGATTTGGAAAATTGTTTTTCAGTAGAATGTTAGCAAAAAGCCAAATTATAAGAAACTTTTCTTCATTTCATCCATTTCCCATGGAATTAAACAGAAGAGATGATCAGATGTTATTTTAATGGTCAACAAACGTCCAAAGACACTCAGGTTAGCCGGGGTCTTCGAAACAACCAGCCACCCTCCCCTCTTTTGACCTAACAAAGTTTTGTAAAATAATCTTAACAACTAATTGTCAATCACTGGGAACATCGACTTTTAAACAATTCCATGATAAGAATACAAGTGAAAAAGAAATAGTAAACTGTCCAGCCAGATTTGTTTAATTCCCACCATCTTAACTGACCCACCAATGACAGCTTTGGAGTGTCATCATGATCAAACATTGAATCATTTGACCAAATTCCCATACTGGAAGAGAATATAACAGCCACACACCCGCTCTTTGGGGCATTTGTTCACCAAGAAATCTCTTTTACCTTGTTCCTAAAACTCTTTCTTTTAGTGGTAGCAGTTCTCATGGCTTACTATGGTGGAAGATATGTGGTGAGGCTCCAATCTCTTCCATGGTGACTGTCCATATCTCACTTTGGATGCCAAGAATGTGCCCTTAGTATGTCACCTACTTTGCTATCACACCCATTACACCATTGATCTTTGATAGTAGATTCTTCTGCTGCGCTGGCCATTCCAGACTTCGTACACTATTGAGTGGCACACCCTAACTACCAGTAGCGGATGACACTACTGATATCCTCACTTAGTCTAGCCCACCAGCCAAGGCAGTTTCCCAGGGTATGGCCATTGGCATGCACTACCAACTACTTGGAGCCATAAGTGAGAGTTGGGTCCTCATGGGGAACAGTCTACAGTGTCCATTACTTCAGTACAGCTGGCACTTTCAAAAGTTAGCTCTCTAAGAACCCCATACACCCCAAAAACATAAAATAGAATTTAAAAAAATAAAATAAAATTCCATTGCCATGTTTCCCAACCCAACAGACAGAAAGGCTATTAAAACTGTATGACTGTAAACAGTTGATAATGTATATTGAACTGACAGATAACCAACTCTCAGTGATTATAAAAATGTTATGATCATCTTTCATAATAGACTGCAAAAAATAACTCTTGTTCTTTAAGGATGCATTTTGCAGAAATATTCTGAAATATGGCATATTATTTAAAGATATGCAATTATGTAAGAAAGGTAACCTGAGAATATGAAACTAAAGTCACAAAAAGACAGAAATAAAACATCCGCTAAACTCTAGCTCATTGGAGATTTAATAGCACATACTAAATTGTTCTCATTAAAATGTCTTTTAAATTTATTTGAATTTTAAAATGTATCTGATAGTATATTCTTGTTCTTCAAACTATCTCAAAAAATGTTTTATTGCATTAATAAAGCGAGTCCTTGAATGCTCATTAGCATTCTCATGTTGTGATGTTATTTATGGAATTGTTACCTACTAAAAAAATTACAATAAAATATATTTGAAGAGCTGAAAATGCAATTTAATACATTCAATATAAAAAAAAGTTAAGATAAAATACTAAAAAAAATTATTTTTTAAGTTTCATCTTTTTCAATTTGAATTCAGATAACATCAATCATCATTTAATAAAATATGAAAATAGGAAAATAAAATAATCTTAACTAATGATATATTGTCTACCTGTTAACATTTCAATAGTCATTTTTCTAAAAATTAAAAGTAATAAAGGCAAAATAAATTATTTTAACCATACCTATTTGTATTTACATGATTATTTCCCCATCTTATCAAAAAATTGTTTTCTATATCACTTTCTGATATATTTTGACTGTCTTGAATAGTAATATGCTAAACAAACAAAACACCACATTTTGTTAAATTTGATATATAAAATAAAATGATTTTAATAACTAATTGTAGATAACATAACATAATACATACTTTTATTCCACTTAAAATAAGATTCTTTGCTGTAAACAAAAATAAAATCAAAAGTATATCTAAATATGTATACAGTAATACCCCAACTTACGCGAATCCGGAGTTACGCGATTTTCAAATCTCGTCGATTCGTCTTTTGTTTGAGCGCCACGCAACTCTTAATTACTCATTTCCCCCACACTATTATTCGGCTTACATGTTCAGACGTGTTCGACATATAGCTACAATTTATTTTGTGTTATTTGTATGTATTTATATGCAAAATTATACCCCGACTTACGCGAATTCGACTTACGTGGTTATCGCTCGGTCCCACCTATCGCATAAGTTCGGGGTATTACTATATAGTATTATATAGATAATGACATTTATGTTGATTTGATTATTACCATTAATGTATCAAGATCCTTAATATACAGGATGTCCCACTTATTAACGAATCCAGCTTTTCTTTAAAAATTTTGACACTATTTGTGCAAACAAAAATTCCAATGTGATATATGAAGAACTCCTTCATTCCGAGAAAATTGTGTTTGGTGTGGTGAGATGTCCCAGCAGCATATAACTGGCCCCATCTTCTTTGATACAATCATCACAACAACTGCATATATGGAAATCTTTAACACCTTTATAAATCAACTGGATAAAGAACTCTCCATTGGATACTTCCAGCAGGATGGAGCAACATGTTATACATCACATACCAGCAAGGCCAAAACTCAGAATTTTTCAGTGACTGGATCATTTCAAAAGAACTTTGGCCACTCTGCTCACTCAATCTAATGTAGCCTGATTATTTTTTATGGGGATATGTGGAAGGAAAAGTTTACACAAACAAATCACTAACCATAGACAACTAAAAGCAAACAACACTGAAGCAATTCACGCAGTCACAGCTGAAGTATTGGCAAGGACATTTCAAAATATGATACAATGGGTTCAATGTTCTCTGGACATAAATGGTGGCCACTTCCAACATAAAATATTTCTCACAAATTGAAGTAAGCCCACTTCAAATTTCATTGCAATATCTTCATTACTGTCAAAATTTTTAAAGAAATACCAGGTTCAGTAGCAAGTGGGACACACTGTATAAAAAATTTTTGAAGAATTTCTTCTATTAGATATAATTAGTTATAAATACAGGTAGCCCTCGGTTTACGCCACAGTTCCGTTCCTACAAAAGCCGGCGCAAATTGAATCGGCGTAAAACGAACCCATATAGATATATTTTTAACAAAATAATGTGTGAGAAAATTCCCATACAAGTGGCAGAATGTCAAAATTATATGTAGACATTTTGAAAGCAAAGTATCAACAAGAGATATATATCTTGGATGTTGTTAAGATATCACAATATCATACCAACATCTATAACAAAGTATAAACTTACTTTCACAGTGTCTTTAATAATAGTCAATCAATTCTACAGTTTGTAGAAGTACCAGAGACAGAGACATTCTTAAAAATTTATTGCAATTTACTCCTTATTATTTATGCCCATTTTTTTCTAATAAATTTATTGCTGGATGTTATTTGCCATGCCATATTATAACACTTGTAGTATTTCACGCAGACTACATATGTTAATGCATACAAAACAACTTTGTTTACAACTACATTAATCATTTGGTGATCATAAAGCAATGTTTTAAGCATTTTACTTATGATATGATAGTTTGTTATAGTCTGTAATATNGGTCAGCATATCATAACTAGATACAAATGTGAATTATTTTGATCAATTCTTGGGTCTATCAAACTAATTCACTTCTGTATCGTCTGATCTCACAGTGCTGAATGAGTTGTAAAACTTAAAACACTTTGGCCTGGTTTGGTTCACTTTGATAGAAAACAATAAAATATATGGATGATCTGCTGAGGAAAAAATATCTTTCAGGACAACTTTATATGGAAAACTGGCCCCTATTTTGGTGTTAGATGTGAAGAAAACCCAGAAAACTCCCCATAATCAACTCATTGGTAAGGCACAAACCTACAACTAATTGCAGCATTCAGTGGTTTTAGCCATTTTGCCACTGGTGAGTCAGAAAACTCTATAGATGATCTGCACATCTTGGCAACAGGTAGACAGACTAAATTAAAATAGACTAAACTTCTTTGGACTGCAGATATGTTTCTAGCATCTCACTTTCCAAGTAAAGGTATAATTAATAATTAGAGTATTTTGCAACTGAACCAAAGTATTAAAAAAAAAAAAAAAAATTCAGTTAATTATTCTTATTAGAGATGTTGCAGCCAAAGTTTTCATCTCTAAAGCGTAAACGTCAAACGTTGTGTGCCACCATCTTGTAAGCCTAGAAGTTTGACAACAGCATTTGGAACATCATGCATGATTCCAATCATGTTCCAAATGCCACTGTCAAACTTCTAGGCTTACAAGATAGCGGCATGCAACGTTTAACATTTACGCTTTAGAGATAAAAACTTTGACCACAACCTCTCTATTACTTAAAAATCTTAAATATAATTAAATATCAATTAATTATACTTAAGATTTTTATTTATCACAAAATCACATTAATGCACTGGTTACAACTTCACTTTTTTTTACATCCTCTACATCTTTCACAGACTATTCAAAATCCTTTGGTGTGTCACATTGCACAGGCTTGCTTTGATGGGTCACATCTCACAAAGGTTGCTCTTGTTTCTATGGTTACATTTAGTTTTGAATAATTACACCTCTAACGAGATGGCTGGAACCTTATCAGAGCTGTAAACCATACCTACAGGAGAAAAAGTCAAAAGTCAAAATCTATGTGCGACCCTTGTCAAGATAAGGCTCCCAATTCAATGCATGTAATCGGGAGTTGTGCTGTGCTCTCCACTAAAACTATTGCATTTAACTATTTAGCCCTGACAACTATGCTGGCTTAGAATAGCCTGCTTGACCATTCGTGTAGTACTCGACGTTATATAGTTTTACGGAGTGTGGGAGCTTGCCACCATTGTGTCGAGATGTGAGCAATAGCAGGAAGTTCTGTATGTCTTTTCTCTGTAAAGTTCTGTGCCTTTTCTCCATGTTCTGTATGTATTCATGCACCGAAGTCCACGACTACATACAGAACATGGAGAAAAGGCACTATACCAGTACACGGTAAAAACTGGACTTCGGAGGTGAATATCTTGCAAAGGGTTGCACATACAGTTATGGTTTCTTTGACCTTTTTGCTTGTAAAGGGGGTCCACAATTCTGGGGGTGAAAAACCAGTAAAAACTGACCTTTGGAGGTGAATATCTTTTGAAAGGTCACATATACAGGTATGGTTCCTTTCGCTTTTTTGCTTGTACAGGGGATGGGAACCTCTCATTCAGAGTTCACATCTTACCTTCACTTTTTGTTCATACAGGGATTGCCTGCAACTTTAGCAGGGTGTCAATAGTGTCTGATATAAGTTTATCATTTTGAAATGTTGGTCAAGATTCTAAGACATTCTGATTTAATTTTTACTACATGTCCATTTATATATATATAGATTATGAATATGAAGTATATTGATAAGAATAACTTACCTAAGATATAATGATTGATCCATATTAATTAAGAATTCTATGATGATCTTACATTTCCTAAAACAAACAAATGTTTAATTCAAATGTCCTTTTAAATGATAAAAGAAACAAAATTATAGGTAGAGATTATTTCTTCCAATAGCAAGACTAGTGATCTTCATCATGTCTCTCTTAATTATCCACAATAAGTATGATAACCAGCGATGTGATAATGATCACTAGTTTCACTATTGGAAGAAGAAAACTTTACTTATAGTTATGGTATATCAACACCATTTTAATAATTTTATTAAACAGTTTACAAAAAAATATAGACTTTGTACAAGTTTACAAAACATATGTCAAGATATACTCTGGGCCAAGGGTGTACACAGCGAGGGACAGCTGCCGCTCCCTAGAAGAAAAATTAAAGTGTACACAGCACACATGTATAAATTTTGTATCAATTGACACACAGCACAGATGTATCAATTTAGTATCAGTTTTAATAATGAATATTGTGACTAGACTAGAGCCTAGAGCCATCTGTTGTAAAATCTTACAACTATTTCGCTGTTCGCTGCTATTCTTGCACTCAAAGAAACTATGAGTTGACCCTCTAGTTCAGATCCTGGGTATGCCACTGATTTTGGCTTATTTTTTTTATATTGAAAATGCATTGTATGTGTATATAATACTATATAGAGATGTAAATTAAAAGATTATGTAAAAAAAGTTTGACAAATTAATTATACTTTTTTCTACAATATTATAATGACACAATAATTAGAAACATCTGGTAAATTATAAAAATCAAAATATATTTAATTCAGAAATATATAAATTGATATAACTTATTCAGAATTCCTGTTCAATTCATACATTATTTAAAGATAGATATATATAGATTACACTCATTGACAAAAAAAAAAGTTAAGCACCCAGACAGACTTATCTGATATAAACAAAAGCAATAAATAAGCATGTCATAGGCAGATATTCAACTGATGTTGGTTTGGAATTAAACAGAACAGAAATTTCTACCAGAGGGCTTAGATGTAGCTATCTGATAAAACAGATTACAGCCACCATACACACTCCTTGTGTACTACAGTGAATGTATAGTACACTTTAAGAGGAGTTCTGTAAAGATGAGAGATGCCTAGAAGATGTAAGACATCACTATCAGCAACTAATGAACTTTGAAAGAGGATACATCATTGGAATTCACAAAGCAGCCTGCTTTCTGAAGCTATATGACATGTCCTTTCTCATAATGTGACTATGTGAAGATGTCAGAACCAGTGGGTAACATGAAGGAACTCACACTTATCAGGAAGGCTCTGGTCAGCATATCATAACTAGATACAAATGTGAATTATTTTGATCAATTCTTGGGTCTATCAAACTAATTCACTTCTGTATCGTCTGATCTCACAGTGCTGAATGAGTTGTAAAACTTAAAACACTTTGGCCTGGTTTGGTTCACTTTGATAGAAAACAATAAAATATATGGATGATCTGCTGAGGAAAAAATATCTTTCAGGACAACTTTATATGGAAAACTGGCCCCTATTTTGGTGTTAGATGTGAAGAAAACCCAGAAAACTCCCCATAATCAACTCATTGGTAAGGCACAAACCTACAACTAATTGCAGCATTCAGTGGTTTTAGCCATTTTGCCACTGGTGAGTCAGAAAACTCTATAGATGATCTGCACATCTTGGCAACAGGTAGACAGACTAAATTAAAATAGACTAAACTTCTTTGGACTGCAGATATGTTTCTAGCATCTCACTTTCCAAGTAAAGGTATAATTAATAATTAGAGTATTTTGCAACTGAACCAAAGTATTAAAAAAAAAAAAAAAAATTCAGTTAATTATTCTTATTAGAGATGTTGCAGCCAAAGTTTTCATCTCTAAAGCGTAAACGTCAAACGTTGTGTGCCACCATCTTGTAAGCCTAGAAGTTTGACAACAGCATTTGGAACATCATGCATGATTCCAATCATGTTCCAAATGCCACTGTCAAACTTCTAGGCTTACAAGATAGCGGCATGCAACGTTTAACATTTACGCTTTAGAGATAAAAACTTTGACCACAACCTCTCTATTACTTAAAAATCTTAAATATAATTAAATATCAATTAATTATACTTAAGATTTTTATTTATCACAAAATCACATTAATGCACTGGTTACAACTTCACTTTTTTTTACATCCTCTACATCTTTCACAGACTATTCAAAATCCTTTGGTGTGTCACATTGCACAGGCTTGCTTTGATGGGTCACATCTCACAAAGGTTGCTCTTGTTTCTATGGTTACATTTAGTTTTGAATAATTACACCTCTAACGAGATGGCTGGAACCTTATCAGAGCTGTAAACCATACCTACAGGAGAAAAAGTCAAAAGTCAAAATCTATGTGCGACCCTTGTCAAGATAAGGCTCCCAATTCAATGCATGTAATCGGGAGTTGTGCTGTGCTCTCCACTAAAACTATTGCATTTAACTATTTAGCCCTGACAACTATGCTGGCTTAGAATAGCCTGCTTGACCATTCGTGTAGTACTCGACGTTATATAGTTTTACGGAGTGTGGGAGCTTGCCACCATTGTGTCGAGATGTGAGCAATAGCAGGAAGTTCTGTATGTCTTTTCTCTGTAAAGTTCTGTGCCTTTTCTCCATGTTCTGTATGTATTCATGCACCGAAGTCCACGACTACATACAGAACATGGAGAAAAGGCACTATACCAGTACACGGTAAAAACTGGACTTCGGAGGTGAATATCTTGCAAAGGGTTGCACATACAGTTATGGTTTCTTTGACCTTTTTGCTTGTAAAGGGGGTCCACAATTCTGGGGGTGAAAAACCAGTAAAAACTGACCTTTGGAGGTGGAGGTGAATATCTTTTGAAAGGTCACATATACAGGTATGGTTCCTTTGGCTTTTTTGCTTGTACAGGGGGATGGGAACCTCTCATTCAGAGTTCACATCTTACCTTCACTTTTTGTTCATACAGGGATTGCCTGCAACTTTAGCAGGGTGTCAATAGTGTCTGATATAAGTTTATCATTTTGAAATGTTGGTCAAGATTCTAAGACATTCTGATTTAATTTTTACTATAAAAGTTGTATATGTGTAAAGGTGTGCATTTTCCATCTTTTTTCATTATAAAATGTCTCTTCTAAAAGCAATTTAATTGATGTTATTTCTAACGAAGACAAGCAGACGACTTAAATTTACCTGTGAAGTCTTTACGATATCAGCGCCCTCTCTAAAATTGTTATCTCGTGTCTACATACACAAATATTTTTAATGGGGAAAAAATTTATTTAGATATACACAGTATTAAGTTTAAAGTACTTAAATAATTTAAATGATAATTATAATAAATTTTAAAATAAATTTCCAAATACAGTATTTTCATGTTTTCTAAGAGTTTTATGAACATTTCCCCCCTTTCTTTTTTAATGGTTCTTTTCGATAGCTTACATTAAAAGACAAATGACTAAATAAAAACTCAATAAAAATAAAAATTAAAGATTTTCAAAGAATTATTTTTCCAAACATATATCAACAGCGTTATTTGACGCCATCTTATACGTAACCACTATGTACTGTACGCGCGTTTCTTTACTGTGTTGACATTTGATAATTCCCTGTTCTACTACGCACATGACCAATGCCCGAATGGTCGAGCGGTCAAGGTGGCAGCCTATCGCTCTGTGGACCTGGGATGGAATCCGGACGGGTCGAAGAAGCCCCGGAAATTTTTCCGGTGGTGGTCCGTCCGGCTATGTCGGGCCGCCTGGCGTTTATATTTTTATTTATAAATTACTTTATAAGTATTTGTATATAATTTAGCGTATTTAAAGTTTAATTTTAAAATATTTGTTCAAAATATAAATTATATTTTATAAAATATTTTTTTAATTTGATATTTTCCCGAAAATTATTATTCTATTAAATATTTTAAATTATTAGTATTATTTGTATTTAATATTTTATAAATTTGTCTACAATATATTTCATATTTAAAAATTTTTTGTTTATAATTATCGATCGTTATGTCGCCATCTGGTGCTGAAATTCTATTTATGTACATTACAGTCCATGTGGTCCCATTTGAAAGGTTATTTATAATTAAGTAATTGTTAAAGATGGATGATTTGGACACTCAAAGTATTTCACGTGTTCAAGTTAAATTCTTCACTAGACATACAGAGTAAGCATAAATTCTATCGGTTTAAAAATATAATTTTAATTATCTTCTGGATGATTAATAAATTATTTAAAAAATAAATGTAAATGTAACTGTAGAATGGAGAATCAATTACATATCCAAGATTTGTAATGGGATAATTTAAATATTAAATACTCTTAATCAATCATCATCTGAATCTACAGATGTGTTTATGATTAGAAATCATTATTTTCTTTTGTGTAGAAGATGAATGTTTTATTAAAATTATAAAATATTCATTTTGCTGTATAATAGCACTAAATTGATATTCATCTCNGTGAAGTTTGTTACGGAGACAACATTGTTATAAAAAGGTTTCGTGGATTGTTATTACTCAACACAGTGTTAAGTTATTAGAAGTTGTTTTGTGTGTTTTATTATTTCATATTTAAAAATTTTTTGTTTATAATTATCGATCGTTATGTCGCCATCTGGTGCTGAAATTCTATTTATCTACAATATATTTCATATTTAAAAATTTTTTGTTTATAATTATCGATCGTTATGTCGCCATCTGGTGCTGAAATTCTATTTATGTACATTACAGTCCATGTGGTCCCATTTGAAAGGTTATTTATAATTAAGTAATTGTTAAAGATGGATGATTTGGACACTCAAAGTATTTCACGTGTTCAAGTTAAATTCTTCACTAGACATACAGAGTAAGCATAAATTCTATCGGTTTAAAAATATAATTTTAATTATCTTCTGGATGATTAATAATTTATTTAAAAAATAAATGTAAATGTAACTGTAGAATGGAGAATCAATTACATATCCAAGATTTGTAATGGGATAATTTAAATATTAAATACTCTTAATCAATCATCATCTGAATCTACAGATGTGTTTATGATTAGAAATCATTATTTTCTTTTGTGTAGAAGATGAATGTTTTATTAAAATTATAAAATATTCATTTTGCTGTATAATAGCACTAAATTGATATTCATCTCCAGTCATTTTATGTGGATTTATAACCAAAGTGGAATTGACATTGCTGGATTTACATTGAAATTTGGTGTGGTGAACTTTGAAAATATAGAAAATACGATGTAGAATTTTATGCGAAATACAGTAAAATTTCTATAACGCGAATATTTCTTTAACTATTTGTAGGTTTCAATGGAATAGCATATGGGTTTAACATCTCCAAGTTGAAGGTTCTCGTAGTCCCCTGACACTAATTTATGTTACTATCAACTTCCCCGAATCAAATTTTAATATTTATTCTATCAAAAGTGATCTTGATTATAGGATTTCCATGAAACTTTTAGACAGTTGTATCTACTATTCAACACCCATTTGCAGACAATGTTCCAATCCAAAGTGAGAGGACCTCTATCTTTATCTCAACAAGATGTACCTGCAAAACTGTTCAATTCCATCAGTTACGTTGAACATTTTGCTGAAATGCAATATAATGGCATGCCCTCTATGGAAGCTGTGGAAGCACCACTTCCCTTGTATTTTCTAAAATATAAATACATATTGTGTGATTATTTTCATATTATAACATACTTTGAATTAATTAAAATTAATATTTTATTATAACCACATTATATATCTTATTTCTATACTACATGTGAAAAAATGATAAGATCGCTATTGTATATTCGAATATAAATTCGTATATGCATATTTCCAATGGAAGTGTTATATTGTCAAATACAGAACAGCTACCACAGCGAAAATATTTGAATTGTGTAAAGTGGCCAGATTATAGGCATTCGTGCATGCACTTTACAGAGCACCAACCTCACGCGATTAAGTTTGTGGATGCTACACACCAAAATATTGTATAACACTTCCAATGATTCTATCCAGGGCCAGCACAGCTTCCCTATTATCAAATGTCACCACATGCAACAAAAAAACTATCCAAGATTCTTTATATAATGCATGAGAGATAAAAATATAAATCTATTCAGAATTGGCATTTTTTACTCTATTGTTCTCTACTCGAAGCTTTTTCCGCTCCTTGGAGTTTTGAGGTAGAGAAATTTTACTGAAATGTATGTTATTGCCTATTTCTTGTTATGTTAAATTGATAAACTGGCTGCTTTACAAGGTATTGGCTTACTTTTATGAGAGATCCAGACAAAAATCCAGGCAATATTCTTTGGATAGGAGATTGGAACATCATTCCTCATTCCTCACTTATACTGATTATTCTTAGGTTAAGCTTGATATAAGATTAAATATTATAAATGAGGGATTTTGTATTGTTATACAAATACATGTAAATAATTGATTTTTGAAGTCAACTGTGTAAGTATTTTACATCAGTAAAATAATCCTTAAGGGAAGGTTTATAAGGTTGATATAAAGTATCAGATTTTACAGTAAACAGTGTAAAATTGCTAACTTACTTATCATTGCTAATATTGTAATAATGGATTTCCATTGATTGTATTATTACATGTTCATAATTTAAGTCTCAAACATCCACCAATTAGATACTGCAATTGACATCAAATTTAAATTAAAGAATTGCTTTCATTCATCTTCTAAATAAATCAGATATCTAAGAATAAATAACCATATTTCATATAAAAAAATTATTCATTATATATATATATGTTTAACACTTATTCTTGTAAGTACTATTAATTTTTATTTATGCTGTAATAGGTTGCTTAGCACTATTCTGTAATAACACTGGAACTTTATTAACTTAAAAATTTAATTATTTCTACTTTTGTTATATAACGGATTGAGAAAAAACGATCTTAGCTGGGAACATTTGAAACTCTTGTTTCATAACTGTCAACATTCTATTGTTCTCACACAGCTTGCAGCTCGACTTGCACAAAAGTTTATAATTAGCATCCAAATTTCGTCATTTGCTTTGGGTCCCGGGAACACCTATAACCTTTATCTCCTATAACAACTGACCACATGACCGATTTTCCCAGCAAAAAGCTATAAAAGATGCTTCCTTCCCCCTCTCAGGGGAGTCTCTTAACAAAAGCCAGACCTACGTCATCTGATACCATCGAGTTGAATCTCCGAACATGCCATAAATTCCAAACCTCTAACATCGAATATGTCCATTAGTCGCAAACTTTTATATTTGTGTCAATTTGGATTACCCTAAAAACACCACTTATTGGATATCAATGTGCATTAATGAATGCAAATCCTCATGGAAACCTACAAAGAGGTATGAAAATCTGTGTAAACTCTCTCTTGCACTCTTAGGCACGTTTAGCATCACGATTCGAATTAAACCAACAATTGCTAGAAAGGAATTTAACCTTAAAGCCGACACGACCACTGATCAACTCACTACGTCACCAGGAGAGACACAATTGACTACATCACAACAAATCACTTACCTTGATCCTTGGGATGAGTTTATTTTGGCCTCCATACCCACTCCACTACTGGAAGAACAGGCAGAACCATAAAGCAATAGTGAGAGTGAAAGTGATGAACCTAGTAGTAGCCGCATACCTTGATTTATTTCTCCCGCCACTAGATGATATCGCAGATCTCACATATATGTTTATTTTCATTAACATACAAATAATTGAATTAGTGAATTATATTCTTGTTGGTTTGTCCTTGTACAAATCTTTATTAATATTAAACTGATCTGGACTGAAGTTTGTAAGAGTCTTGTTTGATATTTGTATTTAGCCAATGCATTTATTTTTTACAGATATTCAATTCCAGATACAACATATTCGATTCCAAGTCACGTATCATGCAAAGAACTTTGCACTTTTATTAATAAATTACTTTCAGGTAATTTTTTTTAATCATTTTTCTATGGATATTATTTAAAATTTTCATTTTGTTCCATAATAATTCTATATATTTCAAGCTACATTTTGAGTTAATTAAAATATAGTCTGACCTTCACAGAAATGTGTTTTAACATTATACTTAAGTACAGTGTGTCCGAAAAGTTACTGTGCAGTGAAAAGTTTATAATGACATTACAGTTATACATACAGCATTGCATACAAGACCCGTAATTTGTATGTCTCATGTTTCCACTTTACTGTAGATGGGGTTACTGTTTGCTCATAGATGTTCTTGTTTTTAGACTACAATTTTTGCAAGACTTATTTGCTAATCGCATAATTTCCTATGGAATCTGGCTTGCTAGATCTCTGTACCTTCTGGATTTTGATGTTTCTGAGGGATATTTTCAGCATTTGGTGTAGGAGAAACTGCAATTTTTATGCAAAACTTCACTTTTATTAAAATTTCACATAAACCATTTCCACTGCACAGTCTTTTTTCGGACACCCTGTACAAAATAAGGTAGAAAATGTTGAGTTTTTTCATATGAATATAATGACATACTTATTTTTTCTTCCCAAGTTTATTGAATTTCTTATTTTATGTACTTTTGCAATTAGATGGTTCTGAAGAAACTAAGAAAATTGCATTTGATTTTTTGATTAATGGAGAAATATTAAGATTACCTTTGCAACAGTTTCTCGAACAAAAAGAAATTTCATTGGTAAGTTTAATAATATTAAAATTAATTAATTTTTATTGCCTGATGAATTGCTGCTTGTATTTTGTGAGTGAAGCTAACTGTTTCTTCAAACACTTATTACTCTTCATAAAAGTTCAATAAATTTATATATAAAACAAACACACACCAATGTATGAGAAGAAATTTGACCTTATTTGTTTTCAACACTTTTACTTCTTCCAAAAACTGGTTGTATGTAATAAAAACACACCAAATATAATCAAAAACCAGTAAAATCATTTAATAATACAAACATTTTTGTCCATTATCCACAAATATCATCAAATATCGTGTATATTAACAAATACCGAACAGAACAACTTTAAGCAGTCAAACACATTTAAATATAAAGGTTATGTATTTAAATATTACAAAGCTAAAAGATGGCCAATGCCCTTATTAGTATTGCTATGAACACATGGGGCATTGGTCCTAACGCTACTAAGCTCATTTACAGGGGTGCAATTCAGCCAGCATTCCTCTATGCTGTACAAGTCTGAGGCCACGTGGCCACCAAAGTCCATAACCATAAAAAACTGTTATCTGTTCAAAGGATTACAGCTCTCCACATTTGTAAGGCTTATAGGACCACACCCACTAGTGCCCTTTTGGTAATGTCAGGATTGACCCCCTATCAACTTAGAAATGAAATGCATTATTTGGCAGGAAAATCTCAACACCTTACCCTGGTGAGATTATAGCAACTCAGATGTCAACAAATTGATTAGATTAGGTAGGATTCCCCCCCAGTTTGAACTTGATCGATGATATAAAAACATTCAGCATTGCCCAAAATACCTCATGACTTACAATTACCACTCCTCCCATCAGCTTGCCCCTGGCATTATGATAACAAAATATCGAAAAAATGGAACTTATTGCAATAATGCCTCTTTAGATTGATTCTTAGCCTATCCTGGAAGTTAACTAGTTTGGCATTTTTTTTCTGATAGGATTTCCAGTCCAATCTGGAACAAAGAATTTTCTATTTCCACCAGTTTTGTTAATTCAGAATATAGTTACTTCCTGGTGTAATGAATGGGTCTGTTTAAGCACATCCTCCTGACTTTACCAAGGATGGGTTCACTTCCCTGAGGGAGGTGGATCTGGAAAAACAACATGGGTAAGATACTGTTCCTTTTACAGGTGATCATCCCATGTTTAGGATATACACTTATGGTTCCAAGATTGCTGACAATGTGGGTGCTGCTTTTGTAGATTACTCCAACTTAGGCCGCGAGCTTCACAGTGCTTGCTTCCATCTAGGTACACACTGCTCAATAGCACAGGCAGAAATTTTAGCTATTTATATGAGTTTAATTCACATTATGCTCAGGAAGGACAAAAGACACTACTTACACTATTGCATTTATTTTGACAGTAGGGTAGCTTTACACAGGATTGCGATAGCCACTTAAAACTCATCCATCTCATACACCACATTCTCAGACACTTACAGTAGACAACAACATTATAATAGAATTCCAATGGGTCACCAGTCATGCAGGGGTTCCCAGCAATGAGACTGCTGACCATCTTGCCAAACAAGCTGCAAAGTCTTCAGTCACTAGTACTTTCAGCTACATTCCTACCTCGTACATCAACAATCATGTCAAGAAGTAAATCATTCTATGGCAAGACAGCTGGGACCATGACACCACTGGTAGGCTCACCTACACTTTCATCCCCAAGGTTGACACTACTGCAATTCTTCACCACTTTTACCCTAGTTACACCCTCACTCAGCTACTTACATGGCACGGCAACTTTAAGCAATACTTACATAGATTTAACCTTGGGGACAATCCACAATGCGATTGTGGTATTCAGGAGGACCAAACACCACTTCATGTAGTTTTTCACAATAAGTACAATCACATTACGGATAGTTTAATGAGAGCTGCTATTCTTGAAGGGTACAACTGGCCTTGTGACCTGCACCAACTCATTCATACATGTACAATGTTCCATCATCTACTCACATTCATATACCTTAGTGGGGCCCTTGAGAGCACTCACTCCAGGGGCACGGATGGCAATTAGCTCTCCCTTGCTTAGTTTCGACTGTCGGTATATATAGCTGCTTTTTAACTTTGTATTTTAATTCTTATTTTCTGTCTTCTTTTTTCAGTTTGTCCTAGTTGTAAGTTAGATTAGGAACTCTTAGCTTGGTTTCCAGTTAGGTTAAATTAGATTAGGTTTTGTTAGCTTTAGTCATCTAGTTAGGTTTGTCCTCGGTTATGGTAGGTTAGTTTAGTTAGTGAGTAAGTTAATGTTTAAAAAATAAACAAATAAATTTTTTGGGGGGTCTTGCTTGTTTGTATTTGTCAGTCCATTCAACTCTAGTTTGTGTGATCATTTCCTTTTTGCACTGTCTGTCTAGCTGTTAAGTAGTATTAATATTTGCGATTGCATTCCGTTTTATAAGTATTAAGTAGATATAAGTCTTCCTACTAACAGCCACTTGACACTAACTTCTACACTTAGCTATTCATGGCAGCACTCAATTATTTTTTGTTCACTACACTCACATTTTCTTTTAGACCCTTTGGGGACTACGGCCTTGCAGCCTAAAAACTGCATGCCAGCATCAAACATATGTAGCCTTATGTACACCATTCAGAGGGATCCTACCTTGTCTATCTCCTCTCCCTCCTTCTTCCCCTCCCCTTTCCCTTACTTTTTTTCTGCCAGCTAAACACTTTGTATATGGTTGATGTCTTTCTTGTATGTATGTATTTAAATATTTAAATTACTTAAAACTTTTATATTTAAATGTTTTCAATTGCTTAAAGTTGTTCTGTTTGGTATTCTTTAATATATATCTGATAATGTTCATGGGCAACAGATGAAAATGTTTGTATTTTTAAATGGTTTTATTGGTTTGGGAAAATTTTCTGCATTTTTCTTATGTATTTCTTATAATCTGAGCACTTCTGATGCACTCACATTAACTTACGGAAATGTCAAACAGGTTTGAAAATTACATAGCTTTTGTTAGTTGGTGACTATATACATTGAATATTTGCTTTTATTGTATTGCCAATGAACCTCATCATTTTACTTTTTGATCATCTCTTAAAATAAATTTTGTGATATTGGATATGAAAAAAATGTATAGGACCCTATGTACCTTTCTTCTCTTTTATACCTTTTCTTTCTGCACAAACAGAATGTATAAAAAATAGAAAAATAATCAGTTTTGTATACAAAGTTTAGAATTTTATAGTAGTCATTGCCTACTTTTTTATTTTAATCAGGACTTATTACACTTGTAGTATGGAAGGAAGAAAGATTTCTAGGTTGTTTCTGTTTTTCTTTTTATTACTCAAATGCATTTTGAACATTTTCTCTTCTTCTTCAGTGGGTACAAAGGTAAAATTATTTGGCACAATATTTTGAGGCTAAAATCATAAAATATTTTATAATTCAATAATACAATATTTATATAATAATAATAATAATAATAATCATATAAACTTTTCTACCTACATATTATACAAATAGTATACAAAGTTTAGGACTTATTAATATCAATTTATACATGAGTATAGGTGATTGTCTGTTGTGACATCATCACTATAAAGTGACAAACAGTATGATGAGATAAAGTCTTTCATCGATGCTGGAATGAAATTCTAGTGACTGGCAAAGGAATGGTATTGTCAGTTTACAAAAACTAGTTGTAAATGTGGATTTCATTGTTTATTAGAAATCAGTGTTTGTCTCTATAACAGAAGTACACATCCTGGATTTGGAGGTCACTTACCTTTAGGTCCAACATAATGTTAGGAAGGTGTCATCATCAGTTAATCTGTAGCCATTACAAAAAATCTACAATTGTCTTTGGGAATTTCTTCTTACTTTATCACCAGTAGTTATACATAAACAACTTTCTCATTGATCCATGCAGTTCCTTTCACTTTGTCGATACAGGAATAAAACAAAAATAGATTTATGTGCAAGAGTTTGGAATTTATTATATCAAGAATTTTTTTTTCTTTTACCTCCTACTCCAACATCAATTGTATTAAAAATGAACATAAGATTGCTTTCATTCTCTGCTTTTTATATAAATGAATCTAATGTTTTATTTTCAATTTTGTAGGAAACTGTTGTAGAAATAGAATTTATTCCTTCTTATCCTGAACCAACACCAGAATTAAGTCTTGCTTGCGATGATTGGGTTAGTGCAGTGAGAGCATGTGAGAAATGGTAAGCTGGTTTATATATATATTTTGTATGATTAGAATTTTAGTAATTTTGATTTTTGTTTTATGTAAAATTTCAAAAAATTACGTAAAATAAATACACTTAAGTGTTTTGGCGTTACTGTTTACAGCTATTTAGAGCGTAAAAGGTGCTCACTAGTACTTTCAGTAGCATAAAGCTACCATCTTCAGGCAAATATTGAATACAAATATTTTTCAAGTGATTAGTTTTCGAACAAACTTATGAAAATAAGTGGTGCACGTGGATGGAATACAGAAATTGAATTTAAAATAAAAGATGTTAGCTTCTGTTTATCCCTCAACCAATTTCACTACAGAAGAAGAACAAAATACCAGTATCTCCTTGGATCTACAGATATACAGATCACCTGATTTTATGTTTTCTGTACATCACAGAAACAAGAAAGCACTACATATTATTCCTGCTGCAGCCTTCCAACCTTCATACTTTGTGAATTCTGCTATAGCATCTCATTCAGAGAGCATACCTACTCCCTTCCACCCAAGCACTAGTCAATGAGGAATTGCAACTTATCACCAAAGCAATGCAAAATGTGGGTTATTCTTTGTCTAAGTTTCACTTTCTCCAAAGTCATGTCAAAGACAAGTTGTTTCTGCAGTCCTTTCTTAGTAACAGAGAGAAACTAAAAATAACACATCCTTCAATACCATATTTAAGCCCAATCTTACTAAAAATAGCACATCTTTTTAGAAAGAATGGTTTTATATTACCTGTAACCCCACAATCAACACTAAGAAGACTATTGTGCAACAACACAAATATTCTTAATTTGAATGAAAAATCTGGTGTGTATCAAATCCGATTAAAACATGCACTCTCAGGAGAGGAAACAAGCTACTAGGGGCCATGGCTAGAATGCTAAGCTTTTGCATTCTAGAACATCAGGAGGACATTATAAACGATAGACCGTCAACCAAATTAGCTAAAAAAGTGCTTGACCAAGATTATCTCTTCCTCTGGGCCCAAACCAAATTACTCAAATGGTGCAACAATCGTAAATAATTGTAATCCAACTCGTATCTATAAACCTTTTACTGGTGCACGTATCATCACACTCTACAACAGTTACAAACGTTTTCAAACCTTAATGGTTCGAAAATGTTTGTAACTGTTGTAGAGTGTGATGATATGCACACCGGTAAAAGGTTTATAGATACAAGTTGGATTACAGTAATACAGTGCAGATATCCCACCATTTTTTGTAAAGAATTGTTCATATGGGAGAACCTATACATTGCTGCCATAACACCATGCAATACCAACCCTTGAAATTCCACTATTGTGGATAACTTTATTCAAGCAATTTAATTTATAATTCAAATTTCTCTTTTATTGCATGTTCATATCATTCACTCAATTGCTTTTTAATATATTTGGGGATATAATAACATTCATAATGCTTTTCAAACTTTAAAACATCTTTTATTTTAAATTCAATTTCTGTATTCCATCCACTCACATCACTTATTTTCATAAGTTTGTTTGAAAGCTAAGTTCTATCATTATATATATATATGTTTAACACTTATTCTTGTAAGTACTATTAATTTTTATTTATGCTGTAATAGGTTGCTTAGCACTATTCTGTAATAACAAATGTAAAGGAGTTTCTTATAATATACCGCAAAAGCACGTCAGATAGGTGCATGGTCTTCTGTGTGGCCACCAGTTGAATGATGGTGGGGAGGCCAGCCTCCTGTCAACAATGACATTATCCCTTGAAAATTATCCTCTAGATACCCAAGAGGATCTCAGATTTCCATAGACTGTAACAGGCCAAATCTGTTGCCACCAAACTTCAATCCTAACTTAGGATGTGCCACACTGCTAGACTATCACAGGTCCATTTGTAATAGTGCTGTTTTTTTATAATGCTATTGTTACTAGAAAATATAAAAGAATGGAAAAAAAACATGTTTCATGAGCCAAATGCTTGTAATACACTAAAGGCCATTAATTTTAATTACATACATTTAGTTAATCAGTGTGTTTTACATGTTTGTGTTCCTTTCCATTACTCCAAGCTTACTGTGATCATTCTATATTTCTTGTCTCTTAGATCATAACTGATAGCTTAGTACACAGACAAAGAGAGATGTTCTTAATACAATTTCCTGCTAACAAGAATTAGTGTAATAGAAACAACTCATGTCTCTGAATAATTTTAATATATTTTTAAATTATTTATAAATAAACTTGTATTGTCATGTTTTTTCACGATTAAAAATGGGGATGGTGGGAATGGCGTCATCCCCACCAAATACATCACTACAGTGCATTCACATATACACATGTCATGGTTAAACTTTGCATTTGGTTGTGTTTATTGGATTTCAGATGGAGAGGATGGGAAGGTTGGGCCACTCTCTTAAAGCATTATTAAAATGTATTGTTGTCAGGATTAGGTATGTCTTGAAAGTTTCATCATTCCATCTTAATTAGAAGTGGATAAATTTCAAGCTGCATTATTTCTGAACATGATACAAAGAAAATTAAATAAAAGCATTTAAGAATAGTCAAGAAAATGAAAAGAGCTCACAGTTATCCACTCATTCTAAATGTAAACTGCTGTTCATGGTGCTGTTCAATATAATGTACAATACCTTGCTGTATTAATCTGCATTTAATTACCGGTGTTTTTCATATTTAATATTTACAGTATATAAATAAAAAATAATTACTTAGGATTGCATTCTATATTTAATATTTAAATTGTGTCATTTGTCACTTACATATCATAATTGCTATATATTAGCATAAGTTTTTCTTAATTTATTTTTGATTGTCAAACAGGATACTAACAGGTTGTTATGATAATACACTTCACATCTGGACATCCGAAGGAGAACACAAGTTGACCATTCCTGGTCACATTGCTCCTGTAAAATCTGTTGCTTGGATTAGTATTGGTAAGAAAAGATATATATATTTATTTTATTTTATATGTATTTTAAAGTCCTCTTCTTTCTTCTAGTGTTTTTTCTACTGGTGAAGGGTCTGCTTTCTTGCATGCTTTCTTTCACTTGACTTGATTGAAGGCATCCTGGGGACATTATCCTCCCTCAACTGTTTTTGCAGTTACTCACACATTCTTCCTCTACCTGGGCTAAGATGCAGTGCTGTCTTTGCCCTAATTGTCTTTCACTCCCTAACTATATGCCATATCAGTGGAGTCATACTTCCTGCATTTTTTCAGTATAAGTTCCACACCCATGTCTCTTGATGTTTCTGACATGGTTAAATCAGGTCCTAGCTCTGAGTTATCTTGGACAGATCCTGTCCTCCAATGCTGATGTCATTTGTATGTGGGCTACTCTTCATATATTCCAGTTTAGCATTGTGATACTGGTCACCCAAGTTTAGTTACCTAGTTGAGATGGTCATGAAGAGTTGATGCCACATGGCATCCCAGCAACTTCCATGTATCAGTGGAGATATCATCAGACAATTGGTTCATACAATGTTTTATTAACAGAAATTTAAAAATTTTATCATTTCTTTTATTACAGCTGGAATGAAATTGCTCATTTCTGAATTTTTTTCTTCTTGAATTATCAGAAATGTTATAAATACAAGTTTTCTGAATTTTACTACATAAATCTTCACTCAATTACAATTTCATTAATATAAGTATTTTGTAAAAAACATTGTTTAAAAATCAATTCATGAAGGTTTTGCTTTTACAGATAATCCTGTGAGCATTTTTGTCAGCACTTCTCATGATGAAACTGCAGTTATTTGGAAATGGAATCAACAGATGAATGCCGTGGAATGCATTCATGTCTGTCGGGGGCATGCAAGGAGTGTGGATTGCGTCGACGTCAGCATGTGTCGGAGAAAGGTAATTTGTATTAATTAAACTTTTAATGAATTATTTTGTTTATATATCTATACTTTAATGTTCATTACATATTGTAAATTTGAAATATGACAGCTATATTCATTTTTTCTGTTCACTAATATATAATTTTTATTATACTAATATAAAAAATATCCAGCAACAAGTTGCTTAACTTTCCCAGCACCATTTAAAACTGCATGTTTGGTGCCATCTGTTAGGATATTTTATTATTAAAAACTTTTTATATTTTTAATTGTTATAAGGTGACCAAAAGCTTAATTATGAGGGTAAGGACAAGTTTTTATAAAAAATTGTAAATGCTAATAACAAGCAAAATCATCATTAAGTCTGACCCTACTTAAGATATGACACACAACCCCTTTATCTCCTTACCCCATCAACCTTTAACCGCCAAAATTTAATAGTGTCAATCTCCCTAATACACAAACCATCCTGCAAAATTTTAGAAATTTTCGACAAAAAGCACAGGAGTTATTAAGCTTTAAAGAGGGTGTGAACAAAACCATGCCCCTCATACATACACACTAACATCCATACATACAGAAAATCCCCCAAATTTTTTGCATTTCTCAGCATTTCAAGGTGTCCGAATCCAAAAAGTGTAAAAATCTTCAGTGGTCATTTTTTGAGTAATTACCATATTTTCTTCTCTGTTATTTATAACAGAGCCAGGAAAGTAAAAACATTTGATTTATGGAAATTACAATTATAAGACTCACAATATTAATTAACATAATATTTTTTCTGAATTTTTGGATAGTAAACCCATATGTTAACCAAATTTTTTTCGCTGCTTCATAGTTTACATCAATAACTTACTCAGTTTCTATTTCTAAGTGCTTTTAGTTCCATAACCTATCTTTAGGGACATTCATCGATAATATTTTACATTATATATTATAAAACAATCATTAATTATAAATTTGGTTTAACACAAAACTCTCATCTATGCCACATACTTTGATATTTCTCATTTGAGTTGCTTCCCAAATCTTCAGGGATGCTCAGTTTACATTACAATATTATGAAACAATGAAAATTATACCTACAATCTACCCCATACAGCAAATTTTGATACTTCCTATTTAAGTCAATTTCCACTAGAAGTTGAAAAAGGTGACTGTTTTGTAATATTTAATGTAAACAATTATGAGTTAGTATTCCTGAAGATGAGTTATCAGAACTGAAAGCATTTGAAAATAGAAACTGGTAAGTGATGTAAACTCTTAGCCATGTATAAAATTTCTGTTTAAGAGTGGAGTTTGAAGTGCAGTAAGTTATTAAGTTTAGTAAGGATGTGTTAAGTCATGTACAGTATGATTAACAGCATACTATATTTAAATGACCGGATGTTGAATGGTTAGGATGGCAGACTATCACTTTGGAGGACTCAGGATCGTATACGGATGGGTTGAAAACCCCAGGAGTTTTTTGGGGAGTAGTCCATCCAGATATGTCAGGCCTCATTCCTCACCTCTCATCTGTGGGTTCCCAGACGAGGTTCAAACTCGAGTAAACCTTGAAATTCTTATGTGACGCCAGATGTAAACAACAAGACTTGGAACTGTTTGAGTATGTGTCAAACTATCTGTCAAGGGCTTAGCGGAAGACAAACTCTAACACGAACGCTCATAAATAGATAGATCATTGACTCGCAAGTCTATAAAAGGTTGACTGAGATAAACCTTTTCAAACAAAAAAAAGGGGGGAATTTTTGATAGATGAAGGTTGAAAATGATCGTTAAATTCTTAGACGTCAAAAAATGGTATAAACAACAGCCTGAATTATGAGTGAAGGTGTTATTGTTTTATAAACAATCACCAGGCAGAGTAGACAAAGAGGTATCAAATGGACGCCTTGAATCGGACATTTCCCACGACCGGAAGAGGTTTCGTCTTGTGCCTGGAGACAAAGGGGAGACCAATCGGGAAGTGAGGAATGGGACGAGGGACCAATCTGAATTGCAAATAGTGGGGGGAAAAACTATAAAAATTGGAATTTCAAGGTCAAAGAGGAGTCTCCTCTGTATTCTGCAAAAAAGTTGTGATCTGTATTGGGTTGTGTTGTTGCCATCAACTTAGAACTCTGCTGCACCATTTCCCAATCGTCCGTTTTGCCCACCCCAGGGCTATGACCGACACCAAAGTTCTTACCTCTCTGAAGGACACTTGTTATCATTTGCCTCCTCCATCACAGCCCACATACAACCTCTCCTGAGGTTCATCCTGATGCGGGATTAACTGATCCCACCTAAAAGACAGCAACCTAACACATGTGCCAAGGAGTGGGTTTTCAAGTCCCCTATCTCCACTGGGTCGGCAACTTGACAAATCTACCCCACTGTGGTCCTGGCCACATCCATAATGGCTTGCTAAAAAAGATCTTCTTAATGCCCACAGAACAGAGTTTAAAGATATATATATATATATTTATATTAAAAAATATATTTAAAAATTTACTTAGGAAGAGGGAAAAAGATGAAAATAAAATAAAAGAAATCAGAATTATACAGTAAAGAAAGACTTCTTTCTCATTCAATCCGTGTATCCTTTTCTATGAAGAAGTCAATGGAAATTCTATTTACATTGAAACAACATATTTACAAAGAGAGCTCACTGCAGACATCAATGAACATAAGCAGTAAAAACAGAGAATAAAGTCGGAATTTTGCATTCTCTTTCAATCTTATATTGCTTTAGTCATTGATTTAGATGGACCGACTGATGGAATTCCATCCATTTATGTCTACTACAAACATACACTATGTATGGATATTTCTGCTGTCTCTTTATCTCTTCACCACTTACGATTCCCTTTTCGGCATAAAGAATTCCAGATTATAATATTAAACTATTTTGAGTGGCAGATAGACGTTTCTTCTTCCAAAAAAAAAAAANCTAATTCTATTAAGTAATACTGTACTTATAATTTTTTTTTAAATTTCTGCATAAAACAGTGAAGATTTTCTAGATAGGTATTACATTTGTTAGTAATCTCTAGTGCAGCAGTGAGCAACCTTTACTGGATGTGGACCACAAGGGAATGTCATAAGCTTCTGGCAGGCTGCATATATTTTTTCTCCTGGAGTTGCAGACTTTAAGTCTGCCAAGTAGTAACTCTGTAACTGCCAATATGTTAAGCACTAAAATAATATATGCTAATGATATGAAAAACTAATAATACATAATTTACTGTCATCTTTTTACTCTTCAAGTTTAGTTTGTTGTGTCAAGAATATCAGCTTAATTATGCAATAAAATGTTACTGAAGTTCCTTGGGCTACATGTGGTCCAGGAGCTATGGGTTGCTCACAACTGCTCTAGTGTCACAAATAAACAATACATATCATCTTGTTATTGCACTATTGCATTCAATTCAAATTCTAAAGTAATGCAAAATATTAGTGTCCCAGTCAAATTTTATTTGATAAATGTTTTGCACTTTATCTTGACAATCTAGATTCATAAACATAAACATGTTATGCTTATGTATCTTAGATGAAATGTTCCATTCTAGACAGCAATAAGCTAATGATGTTTTAAAATGGTGTTTGTGAATGATGCAGGTTTAACAGAGAACAGTAATCAAATTTATTTTGGGCAGAAAACAAATCCACACAAATACTCAAAGCATTAAAAAAATTTATGATCATATGGCAGTGGATACAAGTGCTATCAGTTGTTGGGCAAACAATCTGATATATGTTCAGATCTCCCATCAACTGTCATATCTGCAACACTGCAATGAGCTTACTTGGTTTGTAATAACCAACAAATTAGAACTAGAGAACTTACTATTAAACTTAGCATTAGTAATGGAAGTGTCAACAAAATCATTGGCTTGTCAGGATATTCAAACATGTCCACTGAATCCATTCAAGCATAACAAAGAACAATCATCTGTTTGGAACTGCTTGTTAATTAACAAGCTGTAGATGACATTTCTTTTCAGCAAGGTTAATAAGATATGATTCATTACTTTCAGCCAATGAGATATCATATTACAGATAAAGAATCTTCAAATACCGGATTAATATAAAAATAACCACTTAATAAAACCAATAACCGGTATTAAATAATCGTAAAATGAACTGCGAACGTTTTCGGTTCCATCCCTAGGACCTTTCTCAAGCAGCGATTCATCTTTAGAATAACTATGAACGAAGACCAGTAAGTAGCGATATTCGAAAAATTATTCTTCTTTTTTTTAGAATATTTTTTCGAATATCGCTACTTACTGGTCTTCGTTCATAGTTATTCTAAAGATGAATCGCTGCTTGAGAAAGGTCCTAGGGATGGAACCGAAAACGTTCGCAGTTCATTTTACGATTATTTAATACCGGTTATTGGTTTTATTAAGTGGTTATTTTTATATTAATCTGGTATTTGAAGATTCTTTATCTGTAATATGATATCTCATTGGCTGAAAGTAATGAATCATATCTTATTAACCTTGCTGAAAAGAAATGTCATCTACAGCTTGTTAATTAACAAGCAGTTCCAAACAGATGATTGTTCTTTGTTATGCTTGAATGGATTCAGTGGACATGTTTGAATATCCTGACAAGCCAATGATTTTGTTGACACTTCCATTACTAATGCTAAGTTTAATAGTAAGTTCTCTAGTTCTAATTTGTTGGTTATTACAAACCAAGTAAGCTCATTGCAGTGTTGCAGATATGACAGTTGATGGGAGATCTGAACATATATCAGATTGTTTGCCCAACAACTGATAGCACTTGTATCCACTGCCATATGATCATAAATTTTTTTAATGCTTTGAGTATTTGTGTGGATTTGTTTTCTGCCCAAAATAAATTTGATTACTGTTCTCTGTTAAACCTGCATCATTCACAAACACCATTTTAAAACATCATTAGCTTATTGCTGTCTAGAATGGAACATTTCATCTAAGATACATAAGCATAACATGTTTATGTTTATGAATCTAGATTGTCAAGATAAAGTGCAAAACATTTATCAAATAAAATTTGACTGGGACACTAATATTTTGCATTACTTTAGAATTTGAATTGAATGCAATAGTGCAATAACAAGATGATATGTATTGTTTATTTGTGACACTAGAGCAGTTGTGAGCAACCCATAGCTCCTGGACCACATGTAGCCCAAGGAACTTCAGTAACATTTTATTGCATAATTAAGCTGATATTCTTGACACAACAAACTAAACTTGAAGAGTAAAAAGATGACAGTAAATTATGTATTATTAGTTTTTCATATCATTAGCATATATTATTTTAGTGCTTAACATATTGGCAGTTACAGAGTTACTACTTGGCAGACTTAAAGTCTGCAACTCCAGGAGAAAAAATATATGCAGCCTGCCAGAAGCTTATGACATTCCCTTGTGGTCCACATCCAGTAAAGGTTGCTCACTGCTGCACTAGAGATTACTAACAAATGTAATACCTATCTAGAAAATCTTCACTGTTTTATGCAGAAATTTAAAAAAAAATTATAAGTACAGTATTACTTAATAGAATTAGTTTTCATATATTTGAAGCATTCAATCATTTGCATTATAACTTTTTTCTGCAGTAACTTGGTATCAAAATATTTTAATTACACTTGCTTTCCTGTAGTATTGAATATACATATATTTATACATATACAGTCGACCGCCCTATAACGCGGGTTCATATAATGAGGATTCGTATATCACAGCACAAAAATTGCGACCGTATTCGTATAAAGACGCTAAAAGAGACTCGTAAAATGCGGTAAAACGTCATCGCCGACTCGTGTCGCAACAGGATTGGTCAAATCTGGACCAATAGTGGACGAGCAACCAAACTACTTACACGCTACGAAGAGTTTAGGCGGGTAAATTGAGTTTACTATCGTCTGTACAGTATATAAATTAGGTACTGTAAGTCTAATACAGTACTGTAATTTTATACATTTCTTGTGAAAAACATTTCTTATTCAACGGCCATAAAAATTATTTCTATTAATGATGTCTCCAAAGTTCAACGAATTTTTTGCAGAAAAATAACTTATCAGAAAATGCACCCACCATTTGGTGCGATGAAAACAAGCTTAAGCAATGGCGTCGTCGAATGGTGCACACTCGGTAATTAATCCTATAATTTTTTGTTTATAGCATAGTTTATACGGATTATTCCCAAAAAATTATACGTGTTTTGGAAATGTTGAATCAAATTAGTCTAGAATCGATTAATTTTATGGAAGAAAACCTTTCAAACAGCCATAGTCCGTAAACTGCACACGTGCTGGGCTGTGATTGGCTCATGTATTTAAGGATTCCTACAACGTGAAATTCTTATAAAGTGAAATGTATCTACCGCGTTATAGGGGGTCGACTGTATATAATTTCTCAACTTTTAGATGGAGTTTTTGTTATATTTTTGTTTAAAAGAAGCTTTTATAACTTCATAGTGATTTCAACTTTTAATACTTTTTTTAGGTCCCATTGTTAACTTTATCTGGTCATTCGGAAGCTGTGACAGGAGTGCAATGGATTGATATGAATGAATTATGTTCAGCATCTATGGATAACAATCTTTCTCTTTGGGATGTTGAAATGGCAAGCTTAAAATCTCAGCTGGTAAGACAATGTAAAAGTTCTTTTGGAATCTTAAATGTCACATCTTCAAAAAAATGTATGTTTACTAATAAAACATTTTTTATTTTTTTTATTTTAAGAATGGATCAAAGCCATTTTTTGATATTTCCTATTCTCCTCTGTCTCGACACATAGTGTCTGCTTCTGCTGATAGACACGTCCGTCTCTGGGATCCTCGGATCAAAGGTAACTTTTCATAATGAGTGGCACATCTTCCATTTTTTTTTTATATACAAACTCTAGCTATTGTTATGTAAAATTTATCCCAAAAAACAGTGGGTGATCGGTTAACGAACAAATCAGATAACAAACGCTTTCGCAAAAGATTTTTATGTTCGGACAAAGAACACCTCACAGAACAAACAAGAAGAAGCGATGTAAAATAATGAATACCAATTGGTCTTCCCTTGTCTTCAGACAATTCAAAACTTTTTGGAGTGTGGGAGATGTCGACATTAATGCTCAACTCGGTGAATACTGATCAGATAGTATTCCTCTCTTGCTGTCATCACTGAGATTTAGTCACTGATTAGCTGCACAGTAATCTAACATCATATCATTAGACTACCACAAACCTATTTTAGATGTATAATATAATAATAGCGAGGTTGAGGCCAAAGTTTTAAACACGAAAACTTGTACGTTGGATGTTCAGTGCCACTTTCCTGTAAGCCTAGAAATTTGACAATGGTGTTTGGATCAGTGGAATCACGCTTGACATTCCAAACACCATTGTCAAACTTCTAGGCTTACAGGAAAGCGGCGCTGAACGTCCAACATACATGTTTTCGCATTAATTGTATTTTTCCAGCATTGCTTGGAAAAATACAATTAATATGCTTTTAACTCTTATTATAGTTAGATAATGGCATATAATACACAGTGTACATAGAATTTCCAAGTTCAAGTTAAAATTTTAATGTCATTTCTCCAAAATAAAAGTATTCTATGATGTACTGTACATTTGCTTGAGAATGGCATAATGCTGAAAACATTGCATTTAGTTAACTTCTAGATATACAGAGGTTGGAGTACTTTAAACTTGAATATGCAAGAAGTCATAAATTTATCTCAGTCCCTTATATAACCTACATGGTGTCCTATTTAATGTTTAATGACAACCAAGTAGATGTGAATGTCATCTGATACAGCATAATTTTTTAATCTATAATTGTTTCTTCTTCAAGATGCGTCCACTGTACTAAATAAAATTGCATCTATGATGTGATTCAACAAACTTTGTGTTACTCTTGCCATGCTATAACCAACTGCTGCAAGTCAAATATATTTCAGGAACATTTTGGCAAATTATCTATTTAATTAATTTAAACATAATGCATTTTAGAATCTAACTGTAGAAAGATATTTCTTAAAAAAATATCAATAAATTCATTCATAAAGAGGCACTTTGTTTTCTTGCAACCAGTGAAAAGGATCTGTGAGAACTGGTACTCTTCTTTCAGTATAATAAAAAGAATATAGTTTGTTGTAGTTTTGCTTCATAGCTGTGAAAATAAATTTGCAAATTGGTGATTTTATTTTTTTGAACTGAGCAGATTAGTGGTAACCAATAGAAACTCTTCTTATTCCCTTTCATGTTAATTGATTGTGACATCTAATTCACAGTCATGCAGAAATATTCATATATATTTAGAAGATAAATTACTCTTTCAGAAACTTTCCTAAGGAATTTTTAATTTGCAAGTAAAATTGATGTTGACTTTCAAATGATTTTATTTCCTTTTAACAAACTTACTATTTTTATTTATTTTAGATGGATCAGTTGTTCAATGTGCATTTACTTCTCATAACGGTTGGGTTTCGGCTGTTCACTGGTCTCCTGTCAGCGAACATCAATTTATATCTGGATCGTATGATTCTGTTTTGAAACTCTGGGACACACGAAGGTAAAGATTAAATTTTGTGTAAAGTATATGAAGATTTCCATTGTTATTCAGATATGTTTAATTATTTGTAAAATCAGTATGCTAAAACATTTTTATCTAATTACAGTCCAAAGGTGCCATTATTTAACATGCTAGGACATGAAGAAAAAATTCTGTGTGTGGATTGGTCGACACCAAACAGAATTATTAGTGGAGGTGCAGATAATTACATAAAAATTTTTGATTCTCGGGTAAGTTCGTGTAATTTCTGTTTAATATTTCCAACGTCATTTAACGTTCTTTATTAAAATTTTTTAAATTTAGTCAGGCTTATCTTCATAATAGTTAATAAAATATCTAAGTCAGAAGCCATTTAACATTGAACTTTTCAATGATAGAGATGTTTTCATATGTATCATTTTAAGCCTGATAGTTATATTAAAACCAAATTGGGACTATTAATAATAATAAATAATGAGTAATTTGAAGGCCAAATCACTCAGTATTTAATTATTAATAATAATGGTAATAGAGCCCAATTTAATTCAGCAATCATTTGGAATTTAGTCTATCATTTGATAAAATGATAGACTAAATCAGGGGTCGCCAAAGTGGTCGATGTCGACCCCCCAGGGGTCAATATAACATTATTGGGGGTCGAATGAAAAATTAAAACTAAAAATCACAAATATAACTATACATATTATTATGTTTTTGAATATTTTTTCGATGAATTTAAATTAATTAATAGTACAGCTACCCATCAACGCTTAAAGTGGCTACGGATCAAGTCGCACAGGACAGACAGATATTGCTGAGTCCGTGCTCCGGTTCTTATTTATACAGTCAATTCCCCTATAACACTGTTGATTTTTCCGTTCTATATGAATTCCGTGTTGTACGAGTCACTTATATTTTACAAATACGTGTGCTGGGCTGTGAACGGCTCGCGTATTTGTAAAATCTAAGTGACTCGTACAACATGGAATTCATATAAAACGGAAAAATCAACAGTGTTATAGGGGGGGTCGACTGTATAGTATAGTATAACTGGGTCATCGAAGTCTCACCTCGCCTTCGTGAACTCTTTTTACGACTGGGCAAACTTAATTTGGCATGGTCCCGCTGCAGAGTTGCAGACTTCCATCCTATTTTGCAATGTTTTCGCTGTCTTAGATACGGTCACTCCACCAAAAACTGCAGCAAGACTACTCCCACCTGTAGCCATTGCTCGGGTGAGCATTCTTATAGAGAATGTAAAAATCTGGAATCCTCCCCTATTTGCTGCAATTGTAAACATAGTAAGGATGGTTGCTTCAATCATAATGCTCGTGATGGCACATGCCCTCTTTTCCGTAAAATCAAAACCAACCTAATCAACCGTACTGATTATGGTTCGCCACATCAATAATCAAATTTGTTTTCTGCAATATAATACCGGGCGGAGCATAGCTGCCACTTCTGTGTTAANTTTCTTTTTCTTTCCTTAAGCAAATGTTGGTATCAGGAGATCACATCCAAAATGCCTTGTCTTGCTTACACTCTTTTCAAAATCTGGATCATTCGTTACAATTTGATCAATGATTTCAGTTATCGTTACCAAACTTTTACTAATTAAATCTGTAGAAATTCTTTGGTTCTTTGTTTTCAGAATCACTATTTTCCAGTTCTACACAAATTCCTTGTTCTGCCAGTTCTTGAAGATCATCATTGGTAAGGCTCTCACCAGAAATTTGCAGTACCTTCTCAATATCCTGCTTGTCTATATCTCCTAGTCCATTATACGGGACTAGGAGATATTATAACAGGACTAGGAGACCCAATCAATATAAAGGGAATAGGAGACCCGTTATATTGATTAGGTTGACTTTGTCAACCTAATCAATACAGCGATAGGTTCTTCTCATTGAGAATTCTTAGATACCTCCAGCCATAACTTCTTCCACACTCTGTTCATGCATTTATCAGTTAATTCTTGTCAAGCAAAGTTTTTTCTTCATCCTATTTTGCTTATGGCTGTCTCTTTATAAGGATGGACTTCGTGTATTGGTGTCGAATGTGACTGGATTTTAGCTGAAATCGCACCAAGCACAATCTTCGAGACACCGCTCGATCGTCAGTGTTTTCTGTATTGTATTGTATTGTGTTATTGTATTGTGTACCTATTACGCCTGTGTATTTTACCTTTATATTATAATTAATTATGTATTTTGTAACACCTATATCTATCTGTATCTTTATTATTGTAATTTGTTATCACAGGGTAGTGCTCACTGCGGAACCCGGCATGTACTATTGTGTGCGTTAATAAAGAAATGAATGAATGAATGAATGAATGAATGTCAAGCAAAGTCGTTATTGTCTACGGCATCCATGACATTATATATTTTTCCAAAATTACATCAAACAAACATAGATTTAAGGAATGTACAGTGCTACGACAAATTGCCACCTTTTGCTGATTGGTTCATGTTTGGGAATAATCATATTATATATGAATCAATGAAATGCTGCAATAATTTCAATTAGTGTAAATTTTGAGTTTTTTTAAGGCTTCGAGCAGACTGCGTCATATTGAATCAGCGTTAAGCAGGGGTCTTACTGTATATGTTAAGCTGCATAATTTATTAAAAGATACATAAATTTTATCAAGAACTCTACCAATTTAATAAATTCTAAATGCATTCAGGTTGATGACATCTTGAGAAAACTGAATTTACTCTGATAAGCTTTAACTTTTACTTCAATGCAGTTTACAGAGGTTAAAGCACATCAATATGGCAACCTGAATGATATCTATACTTTAATGATGTCAGTACTACAATTATAATGTCTTTAATTAAAAAGTCAGTTTATGTCATTTTTTATTAAAAACATTTTTCCTCTTCCTATCTGTTTCTTAATAGTATCCTTTTGAAATATTAATCCAGTTATATTTAATGCAATCCTATTAAGATGCTTCAATAAAAAACATCTTGACCTTAAAATCACTAAATTTTAAAACTAATTTATAGTATCCAGTTTCCAAGAATAATTCAAATATTCCATAATACTGAAGATGATGGCATAATAATTTCTGTTATTGAGAATAATTGATAGTAGTAGTATATATGTTGCTTCTGGTGTAGTGAAAATTGGGAATCTAAAATCATAAAATTATGGTCAAAAAAGCACAAAAATCATATAAAAATGTCCAAATTCTTAAAAAAAGAATTTAAATTTTCACTGCCATTCTTATCTCTTTACATTTGTAATTTCAGTTGTGTTTATAAAAAAACAAAAAAAAATTTTTTTTTCCTTGTATTTAATCTGAAAACAAAGATAATTTGTTATTATGATAAATATAATTTTAAAAATAATCATCATTATTTTAATATAATTTCTAAATTTATAGATAATAATAGAGAAATAAATTTTAAGTTATGATTTGGAATATGTTATGTATAATTAAATTATAAAAAAATTAATAGGAAATTTGAAATAGGCAGCCTAGTTTATTGAATCAACATTCATGAAAAATCTTGTTACAAATTTTAATTTTAAAAAAAATCAATAAAATTATAAATATAAATAGTATTATACAAAGTATGAGGTTTCATAAAATTTTAACAGAAAAACAAAAATGTTGTTTTACAAACATTACAATTTGTGTGTATAAATAAAAAAGTGTCATTAAATTATATTGAAAAACATTTGCTCATTCATTATACACTCATTAAAAACAATCATAGCACAAATGTACAAAATTTTTCTTTATATATTATATACATAAAAGCATTTTATAAAATAATACAAGAATCTTTTAAAAATAAGGCAAAACATTCGAGTTGAGCATTCATTTTGATCACGTGTTGTAAAATCTGTAAAATTTTCTCAAATAAGCAGTCTAAGTATACGAAATATTTATCTAGCTGCAAATAACAATAAAACTTTCTAATAAATTTGCAGTTCCAAATGGAACATATATTTCACATAGTTTTTTTTCCTCTTGTTTTTCACATTGTTTCATAGCAATTTCCATAAATTTTTCATCCATAAATCATCATTTATTAAATCTTTTCAAACATTTTATTTAAAAATTATTTTAAAATGTTCCAGTACATAGTTCTCTAATATTTAACATGAAGTTTATTGTTAAAAACAATTTTAATAAAATGCAGAAAATGTATCTAAAATTCTTATTTGTAAATGTGTTACAAATACGTACGAATAAATTCATTTACATTTATTAAGATGTATCAAATACAAGTAAATAAAATAAAATAAAAACTGTTGTATAATGACAGTCAGCTAAAATTAATTTCAGTTTAAACTTGTATATTATTCAGTACAAAAACTAGAAAAAATTCTTAGTACACAGCTTATGAACACTGGTAACCTACACTTCAATGGTGTATAATTAGCATATACAGTATATGTATCTTATAATTTGTCAATTTTTGATGAAATTACAAAATTTCAAAACATTTTTCTTTTGTTTTATAATAATATAAACTTGTTAAAATAGGATATTTGGTAAAGTTAATAAATTATCTATGCATTTCATTCAAATAATTAATAAATAAGCACTCAATATTGTGTAGTAGTACACCCTTTTGAGATGGAATATAGCACAAAAAAGGAAAATTAATTTGTTTGTCTTGAACAAATTTTTTAAAATTTTATTTTATACGAACAGTAATCTTACAGAAAGATAAGATTAAATAAAGAGAGAATAATTTTTATATTAACCGTGAATATAAATTTTCTCTTGGATCTTGTATACTTTCCAAGTCATTCTGATTTTTCACAATACAAATCTTAATTTATTCAAGACAAATTATTTTAGATTTTCCTTCTTGCACTACAAACCATATTTATCAATTGTTAATATTTGTATAAGAATAAATAGTGTCAGAAAATTTATCAATTATACATTTAATGATTTTATTAGCTTTTGTAATTTATGATAAAAATAAAGTTGCAATTAATGGCAACTTATTCATTTTATACAATTTGAAAGTTATTTGATAAACTTAAAATTTTGTAATATTATTTTTATTACATGCAACTTTTTCTTTTCATCAATACATATGAAATTATTGAACGTGCTTGAAAAAAACTGGTTCATTGCACAAACAATTAATACATGTAATAAAAAGTTAATAGCAAACATTATTTTTTACATTATTATTTAATAGCTGTGGAGTTTAAGTAAATTATATCATTGTTATTGCTAAACAGTCAGACTGACTATATATCATTTGTTTTGAATTAAATCAAAACATATTTCTAATGAAATTCTTTTGTCAGTTATTCCCAGAAAAATCTTATTAAATTGGTTTATTGTAGATTCACTATACCTTTGTTTGAAATATAAATTTATATAATTTGAAAAAGAATGAATTTAGAAAAACTTCTTTTTACATTAATTGTATAAATTATATATTAATAATTCTATTCTTATTTTTGATAAGAAATGGGAAATTTATATAAATTTTATTTAAAGATTATAGTTATTGATATATTATTATTTTCAATCCTGAAAATAGTTTAGGCCTACTTGTAATTATTTTTTCATCATATTCTCGAGAAGAATTTAATGAAAATAAAAAGTTTTTTAAAAAATCAATGCTTCCAACATTAATATAAATATGAAATTTATTCAGGAGTATGTTAGTTTATCATTTGTAAGTAACAGTAAACCATATTTTCATCAAATTAGTTATTATGTTCTTATTATTGCATAAATTAAACTGTGGTAATTAAAAGTTCAGTTTAATTAAATGATATCCATGATATAAACTCAAAAATTACTACTACTATAAATAACAATGCTCATTGGAATATGTTGATAGAAATTATAAATTAGTAGTAATCAGAAAATATAAAATTTGTTTAATATGATGAAAAAAAATTAATTTTTAAAATTGCACAGTAATAATAATGATAAANCATTGAGGATAAAAAATGAAAAATACAAACATTTAGTTTTCTTTCCTGATATTTATATAATATTTATTTACAAATTAAATTACGATTATGTAGATATCATTTTGAAAAACAAAAAAGATGTAAATTAGAATATAATTTTTATATTAAGATAGAATAAGCTTACTGAAACATTCCAGAAACATGTATTTAGTTCACCTATGCTCTAATAAAATAAAATTTTATAGATTTGTTCAAAGTTATTTTTTTTGATGACGTTAAATTCATTAAATTTTCTTTTTTGAATTACTTCAAAACTGCTTATGCTTTTCATGAATAAAAACATCAAACTACACCTTCATTAAATTTTTGTTCTCTACTGGATTAATTAAGGTGTAGTTTGTTGTTGTTATTGTTATTATCATGATTTAGTATTTAAAGTGTGGTTTACATTTACATGATTGATCAAACAATCTTTTCATTTCATTTTAAAAAATTTTCTAATATACTCTATATTACATATTCTTGTTCATATTCAGTTATTACGTCTATGTGTAATGTTAACTTATTTATGTATTACTTATTTTCACATTCATTAAATTCTTTGTAAATGCATTAAATTATCAATATTTATATTCCTTCCATACCTACAATGAATATCATTCATGGTATATGGCAATTCATATATAAATTTTTTACATCAAAGTTACTTTCATCTTCTAATAAAAGTTTTCCCATTTCTTATCAATATTTCAAAAACAGTGCAAAATGACAAAAAATTAATCAAGTTTTAATAAAAATTTTATAATATATTGATATATCTATTATAAAATTTTAAAATTAAACCAGAATTGCTTATTCTTTTAAGACAAACATTGTGCAATATTTTTGTAAAATTTTAATATTAACACATGAAAGTCATATATAATATCATATGCTGAATACTAAATATATGATATAAAAATTTTTAAAATTGAAAATTTGAACAAATTTACTTGAGAGGGAGTCATAGTTATAGATTTTATATATCAAAAAATATGATCTAAAAACTAAAAGTATGAATTAAAATAGAACAATGGGATTAAAACTATAAAAATTAAATATTAAGTTAACTAAAATAATTTTTTACCTAGGTAAAAAATTATTTTATACAGTCAATATAGATATAAAGTTTAACTGGTATCACAAATTGTATAAGAACATAAAATAGTTAAACTAAAAATATATTTACCTTGTGGCTTTACCCAGGACCATTTTTTTAAAGAATTGTCAAGAGCTGAAGAGGTATTTAGACCCAAAATGCATACAAAAACAATAACTCAAAGTGATTAATTTTGTCATGCTCTTACATATCCTGTAAACAAGTCCTACATTTGTCAAATTGTGAGATTTAAGAAGTACAACAATTGATTAAGACAAGAAGCTTTGAACACATCTAGGCCCCACTAAAGAAATTAATATTGGAATAGTAGTATGTCGTCGTCACATTTTTAAGTGTTGAAGTTGTTAGTGGTGCAGAAATCTAAGATGAATGAGCATTCAAAACAGGTGCAAGTCAGATACAAATAAACTAAAAGTTTTAATGAAGATAAAAATGAATTTCCAATGTACACTACTAAAGATAACCAGTTACAATTTCCACTGACAAGTTTCAGCAGTTTGATTTTGGAAGGTCAAGGAATAGCAACACATTGCCTAACATACATAAACAATGCATTCTGTTGTACCCGAGAAATGTAATTTTCAAAAGATTTGCTGAAGGTAGATATCCAGAATGCTAGCATGAAGAATGAAGAATTAAAATTTGTGGAGTTGATGGGCTGTTTTAAGAATGAAAGAGAATTTCATAAGCACATAATTTTCATTACAAGTCATTGATTATGATGAAATCTAGAGTCATCAATATGAGCCTGAGTCTAAAAGACAGTCTACTGGCAAATTCAGATGTTTCTATTCCATAAAGAAGTTTAAAGTGACAAAGTGACATCAGCTGACAAAATTATGCTGCCTTTGTTTTAAGACGACAAGAATCTCATTTTTATGCATTACAGGAAACCAGATACTGTATATCAGTACCTAGTAATTGTATTTTGAGATATTTGAAAATGTCAAAGCCAACAATAATAAAGAAACATCATAAAAAACAAGCAAACTCCTCCATTTTCATTCTGAAACAGCACCAAGAAAATTGTCACTAAATTAGAATGAAAGTATTACCACATCCTCTATACAACCTTGTACCATCTGATTTGCAGTTGTTTGGACCACTCATGGTAGTACTGTTATTATAAAAAATATTCCAGTGTAATAATGACTCAAAAGCATCAGTGCAATTCTGGCTTTATAAGCAACCAAAATATTATTTTACCACAGAAATATGAAAGATGGAAAGGAGGAAGTCATACTGTCAAGAGTGACTATGTCAAGAAATATCAATAAGCTACAGCTTTTAAAAATAAATATTTCTGAAGTCATTAGTAATTATGTCATTAATTTATTGAATAGACTCATAACAATAATAATAAAATTTGAATTCGTTCTTTATTTGTAGACTTTATAATTTTGTTTTGTTGATGGAACAGTATTAATACATTTACACTACTGTTTGTTTACAATCAAATTTAATAATTAAAAATTTTGATTTTATCAAGTTATTAATAAAAGAATACAAAAATCTTAATGAGATAAATCAAAAGATGATGTTATTTCCAGACCAAACAATTTTTATCTATTGTTTTTACATAAAACTATGAATATTTTTATCATAAGCAATTTTCAATTTACAATATATTAAAATTATTGGATCGCTTTTGAATAGACTTTTTAATTTTTATTTTTGTTACATTATTTTTATGCACCCTTGATACTTATATTTACACTTCACTGATCTGAAGAATGAATTTTAGTGCATTTATGTAAAATATTTTATAACTTCTATGACCTATTCAATTTTTAAAAAAAATTTAATAATTAATGAAAGAATTGATTTAAGCTTTGGTTTTTTTTATTTGAAACTTTATTACTGCTATTTTATTTTTGAATTCAAATTTATTATTTTTGTAATTTTTCATTATTATTTTTTTTAAATTACTTTCTGAAAAAATTTTATAATTATAAATTTGTTTTAATAATTATAAATTAATACTGTTCTGCTGTGGCATGCCATCCATGGAAGCTGTGGAAGCACACTTCCCTTGTATTTTTCTAAAATATAAATACATATTGTGTGATTATTTTCATATTTTAACGTACTTTGAATTACTTAAAATTAATATTTTATTACATTTTGTATTTTATTACAAATTTCTATATATGTGAAAAACAAGGATAAGCAAAGATTGCTATTGTATATTCGAATATAAATTCGTATAGCCATATTTTCAATGGAAGCACTGTATTGTCAAATACAGGATAGCTCCATGGAAAAATATTTGAATCATATAAAGCAGCCAGATTACAGGCATTTGTGCATATGCTTTACAGAGCAACCTCACATGGTTTAGCTTGTGGATGATACACACCAAAATATCATATAATGCTTCCAACAATTCTATCAATTAGCCACTCGCAGGGAGCTATTTGACTAAGTGCATTGTTTTAAAATTTAAAAAGTAAAGATTTTATTTTTATGTATGTTTCTTTACAAAGCTATATTTAATTATAATTATATTGACAGATTTTCAGACATAAAATCTTTAAAATTTTTATTACTTTTAGATGTTAATAATTTTAAATATTATTTAAATTTTCTGAAGCAAGTTTTAATTCTTTAAGTAAATTTTATGGAGAATTTTTTGATTTATCTAAATTATNTATTATTGTAATTTGTTATCACCGGGTAGTGCTCACTGCGGAACCCGGCATGTACCATTGTGTGCGTTAATAAAGAAAAATGAATGAATGAATGTATAGTATATATGTCAAGCATTCGTAAGCTTGTGTCTGATTCGCAGTACACAGACGTTATTAGCACCTCTACAAGCCATTTTTAAGCCGCTATTCATTTAATTTAAGTATTTCACATATATATAATAAATGTGAAAAAATGTAAAATTAAAAGAGATTATTAAAATAGTAAGTTTTTTTATGCTTCTATGACAAACTTTTTGGTGGGGGGGTCAATGTGAGGTTTCAAAAAGTTGTAGGGGGTCAATGATCAAAAAAGTTTGGCGACCCCTGGACTAAATTCATTCTTGTATACATCAATAACAATTGAAGTTCTGGAATTAATATTAAGCATTGTGTAATCTTCAAATTAATCAAGGTTTAAATTGTATTTTTAGGTGGAAGTTACCAAAGGAGAAGGAAACAGTTGATCTTGAAGTCCGTGATTTGAAAATATAATTTATGGAAAGATCTTATTTGTAAATTTAATAAAATTCCAATAAAATAATCTTTAGTATTATTGATATTTTTCTATTGATTTTTAATTTGGGAAAAAAGAATGTCTTTATCATAGATTACATTATTTTATATTTAATATATGTAAATAAACTGTTTTTATGAATGTTTATCCAGTAAATATATCCATTGTGGTATTCCATAAAAGGAAAGAAGAGTTGGAAATGGACTCCTAGATATAATATTTAAACTGAAAAAAAATTTTTGATTGTATCCAGACTTGGTCTTATCATTTTATTGGTGTTATGATCCAGTTTTCTATCACTGGCAGGCTTCAGTTCAATGGAAAAATTCTGTAACATGATATTCGAATGAAGAACAAATTTTAAAAAATATGCTATGTTCTTGTGTGGATCAGGGAGTGATGATAAAGCTCTTGAAAAACATTTAATTGAACTGAATAATTGCTTTCTAGAAACTTTTAAGCACATTATAAAATAAACTTATACAATGATATTTTTAATTTAGTGTGTTAGCATTTAACTTAAATACTAGTTGCTGCTCAAAATAAACATATTACTGTATTTACTGGCATGTAAGACGAGATTTTTATTCATTTTTCACTGCTTCAAAAACCTAGGTCGTCCTATACATGCAAACAAAGGATTTTGCAATAATTTATCCGAACTTACCCTTTTTCTTTTATCTCATGAGAGAAAAAAGATAGTTGATTGGTAAGGTGACATCTGAAAATGTATTATTATAAAAGCAAAGCCACATTAGACTACAACAAGTGTAATTTGGTCATTATTCTATAGTATGGAGGCACATAAACCTCAATCTAAATGTACAAATTAATATATGCATATCACAGTTCAGAGAGAATTTTCACTTCAAATTTCAAAGTAGCTGTATTTTGAGCTAATCGAATTGCTTTACATATAAATCTCATATTACTGGCTGCAAAAAATAATAGTTATGAACTAACAGGGTTTCCCATACTACTCAATAATATATTTACAAAACGATTGGGGTTTATTGGTGCAAAAGCCTTTTGGCCATATATCACAAAATGTGGATTATAATGTAAATTCTTTTGTGACTTACCAATCTTGAATATTGCAAATAAAAAAAAGACAAACTAGAGAGACTGTTATATATTTTTACATAGTTATAGATCTGTAAACTCCAATAAAATTGAATACAGCTAAGTTATTCAAAGGGATATATATGTATGTGTATATTTAAAACACTTTTATCATATTTAACTTCTTAGAAGACAATTAAAATTGGAAAATTTATAAAAGATTTTGATCAAATTAGAAAATTATAACTCCACTTACTCTTGTCTAGGTCAAATTAAAAATAAAACACAAAATACTGTTTCTAATAATAATTTTACTATCCCAATCCACAAGAATTATCAATTCATACAAATCTAATTTAATATATAATCAACTTCCAATAGAATCAAAATAGATGTTTCTTTTCATTATTTAACAATTAGTACTGACCTGTATCACTGGTCAGATATAACAGTGCAGTGGCTGTTTCTGGTACGTGTCCCAAAGTGCTCGTTGCTGTTGGATCGAATCCTGCAGCAATATATTCCGTGGTGGCTGTCAATGTAGATGAGGCATCATTTGCTACACTTGTTAGAGCTACAACTGTAGTAGTATCATCTACATTTGCATCTGCCGAACCTTCCTTTTCTTTGACAGTCCTGTCTATGTGAATCTTCTGATGACGTTTCATGGCATATTGAGTGTTAAATCTTTTGTCACATATGTGACAAGAAAATGCTCGAGGATTTTTGTGTATGGACAACACGTGCTTTCTCTGCACGGAACGAGTTTTAAAAGATGCACCACATATTTCACACAAAAAAGAACGAGTGGTGGAGTGTACTGCCCTGTGCTCGTATAAATGAGAATGGGAACGAAATACTTTCTCACAAATGTCACATTTTATGTTAGTATCTACCTGCTTTTCATTGTCGGAATGCGTGATATGATGCTGACGCAGTGCATCTCCTCGTTTAAAAGCTTTTCCACACAGATGACATAAATATGGTCTTTGATTACCATGAACATTATTCATATGACGAATATAATGCTCTTTTCTTTTGGTGCTGTAGCAACATTTATCACATCTATGTAAAGGTGACAAAAGATCCTTTACCTTATGCGTCTGCTGATGACGATCAAAGTAATATTGTCGAGATGTTTTATATGGACAGTGTGAACATTCCCACACCTTTCAAAATAAAAAAAAAACAAATTTATTTAGTTTAAATGTGATATTTAAATACAATTCAATATTTTTAATATAAACATTATATTGGTGTGTAAAATACTAAAATAATCAATTAATAAAATAACAAGAAACTTTTGGATTGCAGTTATGCCTAAACAAATTATACTTGTTTTTTTTTCCTCTCAAAAATTACTTTGTCAGACTTTATTGTATAGACATAATGATAAATAATCAAGCATTTATAAGAAATTTAATAATAACTGAATTGAATTTTATCTGCATCTATACAGTATATAGTATAGTGTATAATACTATGAATAACTTGGTAAACTTCCTCAATCCCTAATTATTTTTCAATCTCTAAACTTTGATCACATGTCACATATTAAAACAGTCCAAAACACTATAAAATCTATAAGAAACTGTTAAATATCTACGAAATTTAAGATACAATACCTCTGCTTGTTTTCTCTCTTCATATCTATTGTGTCTTTGTCTGACATGCCGCATCAGAAACTTAGCATTATCAGTCTGATATCTGCACTGCTTGCATCTGTGAACGAAAGTACTATGAAAGGTCTGATGTCTTCTTAGATGTCCCAATCTTATTGTGGTAAAGGGACATTTGTTGCATTTATACAACGATGAAACCTGAGGAGTATAGAGACAAAAAATATATTTTTAAAATAAAAAAGATGTATCAATACTCCAATATATCTGATTTTGACAAATTATTAAATTATTTACTATTTTTACTATTGAAATTTTATTTTATAAGTAATATAAACAGTTTTACCTTTCATCTTAAGTTAATAATATAATATTTAACAAATGTATAGAATAAAAAACATTAAAATTTAATATTTACAACTTGTAAACTTCTAAGAATAAAAAACCAAAGTATACAAGCAAAATTTTTGTAGCATAATTTTATTCAAATAAAACTTAAAATTATGCTACAATTATATAAAAATTTAACAGAAAGGTGTATAAATATTTTTCTATTGAGATATTTCTTGGATACAATTTTCATGAGAATGTAAATATATTAGAAATGAAACTATACAATAGTAATCTCTTCCATTCCACATACAAATTTGGTCTGACTACTGGGATGCAATTAATACAATATGTACACACATGCACACAATATTCGATGATCATGACATTTGTAATATTTGCTATAGGACTGTATGACAGTTATTTAATTAAATATAAGGATGGGTCAATAAATAACCAGCCAAAAGCAACAGCATGGCTGGTTGTCCTGGCTAGTTATTTACTGATCCACTCTTACATTTAATTATACCGTGTTTCCCCGAAAATAAGACATCCGCAGAAAATAAGACCTAGCAGAGATTTTGCTGAATTGTGAAATATAAGACCTCCCCCTGAAAGTAAGACCTAGCGAAGTTTTTTCTTAGTTGTAACGGTCATCGACAGATGGTTGAAAGTGGCCGTTGGCTTTTTGAAAGTACAGCCACTGATTGGTCAGCAGACAATTACGCCACACGGCATGATTTGCATAAGACTATGGCTTGGAAATCACAGATTTGCATAACGTTACGGCTGGTGATGGCTAATTGGTCGGCCGGGAATCACGCCACATGACATTTGCATAGTGCTACGGTTCAGTAAGCACTAATTGGTCATCGAGTCCGATGTTGATGCTATAAAAAGATGACAGTTTGACACCCCGGATATACGTCACTCTCGTCTAAGTTCGACTTGGAATTTTTTTTGTTCAATAATAAATGTGAATTCTTCTTCCTGGAAAAATAAGACATTCCTTGAAAATAAGACCTAGCGCATTTTTCAGAGCAAAAATTAATATAAGACACTGTCTTATTTTCGGGGAAACACAGTATAATTGCTAGAAAATACTAAAACTTGGGCTATAATTAGACTAAACACATAATTTAATAGTTAAATTTTTATTAAAAGAGTCATTGTCAAATGACAATGTACACTTAATTGTGTTACATTGTTGTTGAAAATTAATGTGACCAGGCTGATCCCAGTCTATTTGCCACTCTAGACACAATACAAATTGTCATTTCTCAACTAAACACAAATCTAACATTTAAAGAAGAAAAAGTAAGCCATTAGCTCCTGTCATCATATACTGTATATCAGGGATGGGCAAACCTGCGGCCCACGTCACATAAAATATGAATAAATATATCAATTTCCCAGCTTAAGGAAGCATGCAGCAAAAATTCAAACATTATTTTCTACAACTTATGCATGTAAATAGTTTTTCCCACAATGAATTTAATAAAAATTAAAACAAGAAATCAGCTAACAAATCAAAACTAATTTAAATTTAAATTTAATTTAATCTAAACTCAAATCAAAACTAATTTAAAACTAGCGGCAGTGACTAATATTTAACCAAATATTTTTTATATATTATGCTTAAATCAGTTCCAGAAGCTAAATTAAATATACCTATGCTAATTTATAATTATACATGAATAAATAATTGTGATTTACCGGCATTTTTTCCTCTTTTCTCTTGTATGCGGTCCGTGTCAGTTCAAAAGTTTTGAAATGCGGCCCTTACATAGAAAAAGGTTGCTCATCCCTGATATATATGATAATAAGGATAAACAATAAAATTAAAACCATATTAAGACATTATTTTAGGCCAAGTCAAATTAACTACACTACTTTGGTTGAAGTTCCAAATCCAGAAAAAGACTTTACACTCTTTGAAATCATCACTAAGAGTATGATTCATGGATTGTATGTCACCTTCATTAGTTATTATATAATGTTTACTTATATAATAATGCATTAAACTTAAATGATCACAAAATATCAAGGAGATAAAATAAGATGTCCAGGTCTCATGGTTGCCTACATTTTAATTGCAGGATCCTAGAGATTAACTAGAAAAAATTTGGTCTACATCAGTCAAAGGGTTCAGAACTTCAGGATGATATAAAAAGTCTTACAAACTTTAAAGATATGTCAGGAATATATAGCCACAAACATTATCTGAGTGTTCTAATAAACATGTTGTGTACCTTATTTGCATGATTTGTCCTGCACTCTGGTACAATTTTCTGCTATATGTTCCTAAGTAAAATTGGTTTGTTTTTGTATTCTGACCTGCCTTTAAAGTTTGTCTAAGACCTTTTGAATCATCCTGTATATAGGAAACATACAGATAATGTTCTATTTTACATACATATAATTTATTGAATGACTTTATAACTTATTTTGCATGTTATTGTCCTGATGAAAATTATAGTAATGAATAAAATAGACAACTTCAAACTCACCAACTGGATACTAAATACTTCATTCATTGCAACTTATCAAGGATGTACATCTTTAAAAAATTTGATGACATATTTGTTCAAACTTAAAAATTAAAATAATTTACCTTTTTATGAATTGCACTATGCTTGGCAAAATGACTGCTTCGCTTTGTTTTGAAAGAACACAAATCACAGAAATATTTATATGGTGAGGATTTCTCATAATTCTTCTTTTTATTTTCCATATTTAATGTTTCTGAAGTGTTGTTCTCTTCATTATTAATAGTCCTGGAAGCTCTAGAATTTAAATTATCATTTAAGTCTTGCTCAGTTTGATATACACTACTTGCCTGATTGTCATTCATTTTTGAGCATTGCTTTAAATTTGTTTTCTTAAATCTGTACATTGATTTTTGAGTATTTGATTTTTCTTTTTCTTGTCTGAAGTTCAAAACATCGGAAGTTTGTTTTGATACATCAATACCATCTGTATTTTTATTTATTAAAATATTGAGATCATTCATCGTAGTGCTTTCATTGTTGAAATATTTTGTATTTTCAGAAAGATAATATTGTAATTTGCTATAAGCTTCAATAATGTCTTCTAAGTTTCCGTAAAGGGAATGATGAGTACTTCCGTTCTCTAACTCAATTCCAAGTTTTGCTGATATAGAATACTTCTGCAGAATGTCTCGTATGTCCATTGGTAACATTTTGATTACTTCAGCAGTCAGAGTTGCTTTTACTTCCGAAAATACCTAATTAATTATAACAATAAAGAAAACAAATTTAATAAATAAAATTTTATTTAGATATCGAAAAAATATAATTTACAATCAATTAATATATCAATCTTTCATTTACTTTGCCTCTTTTACAGACAGAAATAAAATAAATAAGATATTTCTATAACTAAATGCGACTTTTTACCTTTTTATTAGTGCAAAGTCAATGATATTTGGAATTTAAATTAATATTTTGAAAATGTATCCAAATAAAACATTAACTTCTTTAAAATGAAGCAGTCTTGAAATTAGTATCTGAAGTCATCAACTCCAACTCTAGCTCCTTGATTTTTAAATCCATCTTCATAAAAGCTCAATATATATTAACTAGCTGCAAGGACCCGCTTCGCTGGGTTTTTATTTGTTCGTACATTTGTATGTAATATAGTTTTTTATATATATAAAAGACTGTTTTTCTAAGTAATCTAGAATCTAGCTGCAAGGACCCGCTTCGCTGGGTTTTTAAAAAGTAACGATAGTGAAGATTAAGATAATTACATTATAGCCAATCTTACCCATTTTCACAGAATGCAAGAATTAGGTCCCCCGTTTCCAGACTAATTAGAGACCTGGTCCCGATTCTATTTCTGAATGTCTCCTGTTCACGTCCGGTCAAACGAACTATTTTCAACGTTTCTGGAACGTTTACAATCGTTCTATAATCGAACCAATATTCGAATTTTATGTTCGAATTTAATTCGAACAAATTCGAACAAAACATTCGAAATAGAAAGCCACTTTCAACCACTTTCAGCCTCATATCTCCCGCACCCTTATAGCTATCGAGACGCAACCACCCCTATGCACGAATGGAGACTTGGGGCTACCACCACATACAAACACCATTCACGTGCGATGTGTAGTTTTGGCGAAAAAGTGAAATATAGGGACATACATGTCCATTTTTATATATATATATATAGATATATATATAGATATATATATATAGATATAGATATAGATAATACCAAACTTACTATGATGATACTACAAGTATAAGACATTTCATCACTACCACAGGAATTATCATCTTACACATTACACTTACAACCAATATTTAATTGTAAGTCTGTAATTTAAATATAAGTTTAAGTTTATATCAAGATTGGAGTCAGAAATGGTGCATTTTTCCAACTCCAACTGACACCATGCAAAATTGTTCTAACTCTGACTTCACAACCATGATTAAAATATTAACATAACTATAATAAAACTTAAATTCCTTTCCTGAAAAATATGAAAAACAAACTATAAATGTTGTTTGGTTCATAATGCAGTAACATATTGTTTTAATGTTTACCTTACAGAAATGAGGTGGGCATTCAATATTTGTTTTATAGAAATCAGTACAGTAAACTTGCAATATTTACAAGATTGTAATGGAATATACCAATATCTAATTTTCCTATCAATGCACATCATAAGTGTTGACTGCCTATTTTCGTTAACTTGATATATTTTCTATTTACAGTTTAATACAGTCTTCCAAAACTATGCTATCATTTTAAATTACTGTAGATATCATAATTATTATCTGAGAACTATGCAATATATATGATGTTAATCAATAGAGTAAATGTTCAAGTTTCATCTACTATCTGCATTCAAACATCTTTTTGTCTGTTGCTTCTAGGAAGTGCCATAAACAAAAATGGCAAATCTGCAACAGAGAAAGCATTTTGTGTTCAGCAGCTTGCAAAGTTGGAATCAGTCATCACATTGCATAATGATGACTGATTCAACAGGCAATTTCAAAGTGATCTACCATGTAAGACAAATATTATTTTTACACAATAATGACTGATTCCATGTTTGCAGACTGCAGAAAACACAAAATGCCTTCTCTGTTGTGAAAGTGCCACTTTTATTTACGGCACTTCCTAAAAGCAATAGACAAAAAGATATTTGAATGCAGATGGAAGATGAAAATCAAACAGTTACTCTATCGATTGGTGTACAATGAATACTGTTCAGATAATAATTAAAATAATTACAGTAGTTTAAAATGGTAGCATTTCTTTTTGGAAGACCTATACTAAGAGTTTTTCCTATTTTATTCTAGACTTTTTTCCATTTTGGTTATGTATTTGTCTTGCAAACCACTACTGTACTGTATTGTAATGCAACAGTTAATTAAGCACATTCTTAACCTTTGTCTGTACAGATTATACACTTGAATACTAATGATAATATTGTAAATTCAAATTTAGAATGTCAAAGATAAAAATCATTTGTGTAAGACATGAATTATAAGAAAATCACTACAGATAGCTTGCTAAATTTTAAAACTTCACTTAAAAATTATTGTTATTTCATAAATATATATCTAACAAGTAGATAATGTGCTTTGCTGTTACTATAAATGTTGATGTTATCATCATTACTTAAAATTCATTTGTTTTGATATTTTTAATCTCTGTAACAACATTCATAAATGCAAAAAGAAACAAAATATGTTACCTGATAAGCTCCAACTGACACACGGGACAGTGCCGAAACATTTGCCAAAATATCAACAAGTGGCTGTTGACCAATGTTTCCAACATTAACAATATCACAATATATAGTTGAACATGACATTATATAAAACAGTTTCAATGTTTACAATTGCTTATAACTTAAAATCTGAAAAAAGAAAAATGATAAAGATTAGCATTATTTAAAAATAAAAATAGTTTAAATATATATTTTAATGAAACGTTTTAATAGTATATTACTACATTACTGTAACTAAATAATTTATACAGAAAATTTAATAATTTAACAAAATAATTTTATATTCAATATTAAAACAAATTTACATTTTAAATATAAATAGTATATTTACAAAAAGTTATTTTTTCATTATTTGTATAAGGTTAATATAATATTAATCATATTAAATGTACGAATCCTAATACAACTAGAAAGTAAAATTAAGCATATTACACTACATTGTAATTTTGCAAGATTCTAAGCATAATTATTTAAAAATAATTAAACAAACAGAAACAAAACACAATAAAAGATTGTGAAATTGCTGGAATTTAAAGGTTGTGTATTTTTATTGTGTAATTATTTCATAATCAATAAATTATCTTTGGCTATAAATACACTCAGTAGTAAACCCAGAAATTTAGCAAGGGGTGCAACTAAAAACATTGCATCCCATTTAATTAATTATGAAATGTTGTTCAAATAAAACTGCAATACATGAATTATGCATTACCATATATGTTACTTTATATGTTAATTACAACAATTAAACGTATTATATGAATATTAATCACATGAAATCACCAAACAAATCACTCACACAAGTTTGATCATTAGTTTCATATGAATGTGAAAAGGGAAAATCATATTTTATTACATTACACAGAGGCAGATTTAACAGCGAGCGTGCCAGCACGTGCCCTGGGCCCCAATCTCTGAAGAGCCCTGCAAAACCCAAACTTTACACTTTTTCCTGATGTCACCAAGTTTGGTTACATATGTGCAATTTTAATTACACAGAGGTTTACAATCAGTAGTAAAATTTGAATATAATATGATATTCAAATAGTACATAATATTTTTTATTTACTTAAAAATATAGTTAACATGTATTTTTATTTTCCCTGTGTCTATTTTTTAAGGGGCCCAATATTTTCTTATGTGCAAGGGGCCTCAACTGACCTTAATCCATCTCTGACATTACTGAATGTTTGAAACTGTATTCTATGGTTTAAATTTCTACATATTGGCAAGAGGCTTTAGTTTAATTTTACACTTACATATATACAAATTTCAACTGTTAAAAAAAAAGGATATTAGTATCAGGAGGGGAAATTGCTCCCTTGCATCTCCCTGGCACTCAAAATCAGCTGTTATGTAGAAATATATTCATAAACAATAGTTTTTATCTGATTATATTCTTTGCATCTCAACAATTACATAGATATATCTTTAAAGGTGTCATTTATTCTTTTATTTGAATCGGCTGATTAAAAATTTTAGACATGTCACTGTTTATCAATAATTATATCTTATTTTGTGATTTGAACTCTGACCAAAGCTATAGAGCACTGTCCAAATAACAATCTCCACTAAAATGTGATAAATACAAATATCTTTATCCTCAGCAAGAACTGTCTGTCAAATTATGAATAAGTATGATTTATCCTTTTGCTTCCATTTCATTTTTATTATTTTTAAATTACAATGTGACCAGAGTTCAGACACTGTTATTTTCTAGGAATTATCACATCCAATCCATAGACTCCAAAAATACTAGACAATCGATAACTTTATTTTACCCAGATTGCATTTCGGAAATTACAATATTTCCCTCCTCAGTGGGCTTTCTTTCGTACAAGCTGAACAAGGCACAAACACTTTTTCAATACTCTAGTAAATATACAACAAATACATTAAATTTACAATTATACAACTGCTAAAAATTTTTTAAATGTTTCTCACACAATTTTTCAATATTCCAATCTTTTTTTTTTTTTTTTTTTTACTAATTTCCATAATAAAATCATTTTTTCCTATTTTTTAAAAAAACATTATTGTTTAAATTCTTTAAAAAATTAACCTAATTATATTATCAATTATTGCAGTACCTGTATTCTTTTCCTAACCATACATATTATCCACAGTCCTTGTCGTCATTACCTTCATTTGTTATTTTTCAGTAGGAGGAGGAGTGTCGGTGAATGAGGTGAAAGATAACAAATGAAAGTGATTTAAAACTAGAGTATTGAAAAAGTGTCGTTTGTGCATCGTTTAGCTTGTACGAAAGAAAGCCCACCGAGGAGGAAAATATTGTAATTTCCATAATGCAATCTAGGTAAAATAAAGTTGTTGATTGTCTAGTATTTTTGGAGTCTGTGGATGTGATAATTCCTTGAAAATAACAGTGTATGAACTGGTCACATATTGTAATTTATGAATAACTAATTCATTAACAACTTTATCAGTTGTTCCTATCCATTTTGTTAATGTTATTCAGAGATGCTAAACCCTTGAGTAATATCAGAATGTATTGTTTACAAACCAAAACACCATTACAAAATGGATGCATAATGTACTGTACAGTATAGTACATTCAATACAATACAGAATGTACATTCAACGATAACAAAAATATATAGATTTAATATATTTTTTGAAAGAATTGCATCTCCATAACAACAGACACAAACATTTGTTCCTTAAGCTTGTTTACCAATTACTGAAGGTTTTACAAGAGACGTAAATAAATAGCACGTTACTAATGAAATGGATTAATATTTAAATTAATCCATTTCACTTACGTATCGATATAATGTGACGACACAGATCGACCATTGACTAAATAGATACAAGAAATGTCAAAAATTCTAGAATTATGCAATTTTATTCTGTATTAAATGTTAATAAAGTAATTAAAACGAATGCTAACATATCAAATTTAAGATTATAAATTTGAATGACAAAACAAATGCTATACGTCTACCTCAATAGTTCCATAAACGAATACTAGACGGCGCGCTATTTTCTAAAATCCCGAAATTCGACTGCCATTTTTTTTTTATTTCTTAATTTTATTTAAGATACTTTAATTTTTATGTAAGAATTATAATAATATAAAAATATTAATAATTCATAATATTTAAAATAACTTCAAAAAACTATTTTAAAATGAAATTATTCTTTGCTCTTTTTGTCCTGTGGGCAGTAAGAAAGTCTTTTCTTCAAGCTCATTGTGTGTTTTATCAGATGTCTGAGTGATTAAGAATGGGACGGACCACCTTCCTATAAATTTCAGGTGTTTTCGACCCCGAAGGATTTGTTCCTTGGACCTCAAACCAGTGAACTAACTACTTAACCACTCGGCCATCTGGCACTTAAAAACAGTGACAGATATAAGGGGAGAATTGTAGGGACTTAAGTCCTCTCCACTAACATAAAAAAAATTAAAATTTATTTGTTCAAACTTTAAAATATTGTTTTTAAAATATTTACGATGACAAATATGGTTTACCGGACCATCCGCGATTGTAACCGACGGGAAACACCAACGCCTAGGAATATTGAAAAAAAGGGATTGTTTAACTGCTGATGCTATTCAAATAAATTAACTGCACCTGTTCTGGCAATGAAAATTGTCATAAATGGTTTATCAAATTTTATTTGTTGTCTCTTATTAATTTAATCTAAAGGCGTGGTTTGCTATTTAGTAAAGGTTAAGTATTTACCTAATCTTAACTAAACCAGTCCCTCAAACCTTCAAAAGTAAAAGGTATCTATTTAACTGTTAAATAACTTTATTAGCATGATGAATTATAAAGAATTCGTGTAAAACTGATCCTATGTTAATTAAGGTTAATTAGTTATGGGACATAATGTCTTACATTATAATAATCTCCCTGTTTATATTTGCAAAGAGGGACAGAGCGATATAGAACCATTATTTAATATAAAGTTTAAAAGATCTTGTCTTTTCGTGTTGAGCGAGAGCTACTAAGCTATGGCGCGCGTGGTAAGTTTTTCGATGGCTATGTTATGTGACGTGGTTTAGTAGTTATTTATTTATTTATTGTTGTTTCAGTAGGGAATACTGCCTTCCGGGTGTCTTTTAAGGGTAACCGGTTCCTATTCAACGTTACAGTCGTGGAGAAAACCGGGAAAACTCCACGTGGACAGCCCATCCTGGCGAGGCTCGAACCAACAATCGAACTCCTAGTGTTCAGGGAACGGAGCCGCTTGGCCACTGGTGGGCCAAGTTTAAAAGATATCCACATGCATTGTCCTCGATTCGTAGCCATATTGTTTACATTTCACTACCGCCACCATAAAATGCGGAGGTAGCCGTGGGTAAGAAAATAATCGTCGTGTTAATAATAATGATAATGTTAACGTATCGATAAAAGGTATTTATTAATTACTCAAATATTTTTACTTTTGAGTTAATTATCTTTGGATACTTCTAGATCCGCTAACCTATAGAGATGCATTATATATGCCTAAATATCCAGAGGGTTATTTAGGCATATGTATATTTAGGCATAGATTATTTAGGCATAAATATTTGCCTAAATAAAGGGCTATCCAGAGGGATGGGAAGCTGGGAATTTTTCTTTTGGCCTAGAGAAAACTTAGGGACCGTAGTGATTCCTACTCCCATAAATTAGTATTATTTTTACTAACAAAAAATAAAATCTTTAAAATGGCTTTTTATTAATATTCTAGGTACATCATTTGGCGGCCGGATGGCCGAGAGGTCAAGGTGACAGCCTACCGCTCTGGGGGACCCGGGCTCGAATCCGAATGGGTCGAAAAATCACCAGGAATTTTTCGGGGGGTGGTCCGTTCAGATATGTCGGGCCCTGTTCCTCACCACCCGGCAGCCCCATTGTGGGCCTGGCCGAACCCATAATGGGCTTGCAAAAAGAGGCCTTCTTAGTGCCCACAGGGCGGAAAGAGTAAAAAAAAAGAAAAAGGTACTTCATTTATTCAAAAAAAAAATGGCAAAAGAGGTTCGTTCTAATCCCGGGCTCCATACAAGCTCTCGTTGGCCCTATACAGATGCAGTATTATTTCGTGCAGCGAGAGGGGCGTCAATTTCAAACCCACGAAAATTAGTATGGAATTCGAACCCAGATCTTTTATTAGGGTAACCCAAAAAATTGTTTAAATTCTCACGAAAATATTGGGAAAACTGATGAAAATTTCATAAACATATTTTGAAGCTTTCAGAATAGTTTGATTATTAATGATTGATGATGATAATAGGTATTTTTTAAATTTAGCCGAAAACTTATACTCGCTAATGAAACTATAGAAATATACTTTATTATTAAATTTACATAATTTACTGTGTATGTGAAATTTCATGTCAAGCGCGCTAAACTTATTTATGTGTTCATCAAACAATGAACAAGATCAGTGTTCATTTTCGTAGACTACAGCAACCAAAAAAGTACCATTTTCCAGTGTTATAAATCTCTTAAAGTGCCGGCCGGACGACCGAGATATACAAGTATAAAGCACCAGCCTCAGATATTCCGAGTTTGAATCTATGTGATGATCTGTTCTGGATATATCAAACCTCGTTTCTCATCACCCGCCTTCCCCATTATGGGCCTCGTCGAACTCGCGATGGGCTTGAAGAAAGGCTCTCTTAGTGCCTGATCCATTTTTCAAATTTATAAGAGTTTGTTGTATCATTTATAAGGTAATAGAAACACTTCCTTATTTTCCTAATTGCCCATTATTTAGTTAAAAACATTTCTCAAAATTGACATATCATGTCTTATTACCACCAGTATTTGATGCCTAATTAAGTTATGATGTAGGCGTGAAGACTAAATTTGGTCTTCTTTTACTTATTATCTATTGCAAGGAATACAGTTTATATTCAATATGGGATTAATACGATAACACAGCGCAACACATGGGCGATTTGCCAAGAGAAAAGTGCCTCCCCGGAGAACTTTCTATAGGAAAACTACCGTAGACCCTATTTAGATGCCATACATGTGAAGAAAACCTGAAAAACTTCACGTAGCCAGTCGCTTGGTGAGTAACAAACCCGCGATCACAAACTACCAGTGTTTAGTAGTTATATGCACTCATCAACCTGTTTATGTAAGAGCGAGTGCCCAAGTTTAAATGTTGAAATATGTGGAATGTAATAATTTGAATAAGCAAAACACACGCAATTAATAATCTACACGAAATAAATTTAAGAGTGTAAAGATTTAAACTTGACATCGAAATGAATTAATTTTTGAAATAAGTTTATGTATTTTGCTGAATATAAAGTGATACACATCCAAAATATTCAATATTTTATAAGGGACTGTTCATAAGTTACGTGTATTTTTAAACTACTTTTGACTCCTTCCCTCTGTTGTGCAATGCCCTTCTCCTTTAATTACGTGTAGAATTCTTCATGGATTTCATTTTTTCTAACTTATAATTTATTCACATGAATAGTAAGTAGACTTATAAGTAAAACTTCGTAGGCCACTAATACCACTAAAAATAGTTCAATACCTCGACCCTTCCCATTATGTACAATGATGTACTGTACTTTTCTCGATCTCTTCCCTTTAAATTTACATATAATTAATGGACGGTCCCTAAAGAATGTCGCATTTTGACTACATCCACTTTTTCATTTTCACAGTTCGTCGATTCCTCCTGAGTGTACCTTCGATTATTTCTATTTTTAGAAGAGTTTCGTGAGAAAATTCTTATATATTTTAATACTGTAATTACATTTTAAATTTGAATGAATCCAATTTAAAATCGAAAATATTGACAAAAAATTAATGTAGTTCATTTACGGTTAACAGATTTAATCTAAGCTCAATCCATTTATTGATTATTCAAACTTTTTGTTAAGTTAGTCGATACAAACAACACCAAGCCATGTTTTTTTTTTTTTAGAATTTGAATTTTCATTAATAACATTTATTGTTATTTTCGTACAAGTTAGATTAATAAATTACGAATGTTTAACAAAAATGACTTTTTTACACGGTGAGAAAGTGTATTATGTATTCGGATCCCATCCATGGCCGATACCCTGTAACGCTTTCCGATCACACCAAAGTGGACAGTTCGATGGCTCCCGGAGTAGTCATCTCGTTTGACTCTCCGAAATGGCTCAGTTTGCTCTCGACCAGTTCTTCTAGAGCTCTGGTCTTCTCCCACTGCCACAGATACACGTTCTGGACCGAAGTGACGCCGCAGAACACCACTCCCGATCCGATGATAATACTGGTGATAATGGCCGGTACTTCGTGAAAATGGATGAACGTGAACAGTATGACACCTACAGTTAAAAGAAATTCATTGTTATTTGAATCAGAGTTCATAATTTTCATCTTAATATATAATATTGTCAGAATTTTTATGGCTGTGGAATCCGAGTTCGAATTTGATTCGGGTTCTCATAACTATAGCTACTTCAAATCATCTGGGGATATTATCTACGAGATCCCGCTGGGAGGCAAAAGGGTCATTTCCTCTACTAAAAAGGCCTTCACTGGATAGATACCCCCAAAAAATTCTTGAAATCTTTTCAATGCCAGTAATTGATCCCGGATTCCCAAAGAGGTAGACCGATGCCTAAATCGTCTTGGAAATCCGGCGGGCCCGTAATTTCTATTCATGATAGTCACAAATTTAAAATTTTGGTTTGTAAGACATCAAAAATTTACACACAAATTACTAAAATTGGAATGGAAGAACCGAATTTACACACGATCAGACATTCCATTTTACAGTAACTAAAATTTTCTCGGGTTTACAGGATCAAAATTGGTTTAACTACGTGGCATGAATAGTAAACAGTTTGAAGATCGAGCGTAAAATTTCAAATTGATGTCTATTGTTTTTGGGCATCGAATTATGTCGAGGTCTCGAAGACCACTTTTTCAGTTTTTGAATTACTAAATTACTATCGTAATACAAATAGAATTGTTTGAGAAAACAGATCGCTCCCTGTTCGTGTAAGAATGACCAAGAATATCATATAAGAATCGACTCGGATTCATCTACATTTTTTGTAGACTTTTATGTTTCATTTAGAGATACAGTGGTACCTCAGGATACGAAATTAATCCGTTCTGAAACTGAGATCGTATCATGAAAATATAGTAAGGTGGATCATCTTTTCCCATACGATTACATGTAAAACCAAATAATTCGTTCCAACGCGAAAAACATACTCAAATTAAAGCCAAGTAATACATTAAAAAAATAACTGTAGTAAGAAAAACAAATATGGTGAGTTTTTGTTCGTATCGTGGAGCAAAAATATGTTCGAATTTCATGTCGTATCCTGAAAATTTCGTATGCTGGGGCGTTCGTAACCTGAGGTACCACTGTAGAAGCAATATTTGACTAGATGCTTGTAACACACCTGTGAAAAAGATGGGGATGGAGAGGAAGAAGCCACTAATGGCCACAATTCTTGTCTGCGAACTTCTCTTCAGAAATTTATTGGTCCTGAAAATAACGTAAATGATATTAATCTTTGAATTATTTGTTATTTAAAACGCGATAAGTGTTGCTAAAGAATATCATATTTCTCCAAAAATCTTTCAAATATTATGAACAAGGAGATAAAAAATTTTATGAAAGTTATTTAGGATTTATACGCTGTTTGGTTTAGTTATTTTAAAACTAAATACTGTACTGTAATTGTTAAAATGAAATACTTCTAACTGAAAGTTTGAAGGTGATGAGATAACAAAAGGATTTCGGTTAACCGTTAGAACCGACAGTTACTAATATCACAGCTGTAATTGCCGTAACGACCGTTAGCATTATTAGACAAACTAAGAACGAATTTAAAACATCAGAGGTGTTTCAAGATATTTAAAAAAAAAAAAGAGTGATTAAATTAGTATTAAAAATGTTTCAATAATAGAAAAATTACAAATTACACTACGTAAACAACACACAACAGAACACGATAACACAAGACACACACAGAGATAATTCCTAAAATCCATATTTTGTATTTATAAAACGTAAATTTTAGAAAGTTTATATTAACAGATGTTCACGTAACTTACGTCTGACCCCGATCACCGGAAACCGGATCCAGCTAAAAATTTAAAGAACGGGGTTAAGTTTGGGTGGATTAAGTAAGACGAGTGTCGATTAAAACTCACGTCCCACGTTCCACCACCCAACACAATACAAAATTTTCCCGAGGCCAGGAAACATTTCTTCTTTAAAAAAAAAAAAAAAAAAAGTTAACACCCAGTGACGAGAAATTTTAAATTTCTTGTAACATTTTAGTTCTAAAATTACAATTTTTGTGGATTCTTCTATAAGTTCTTATAGTAAAGTGATTGGATCAGAAAAGTTTCTTTGTGGTTATTTGTGGTAAGTATGAATCCAGACACTAGAAAAAAAGGAAATATATTATCACATTGTTATGGTTTTTTATGGTATTGATGTTATAGGCTTCAAGTATTAATACTCAGCGTGGTATTCCTCATTAAGGCTGTAACAATGCCTAAATTTCACGATTAATGCCGGAGGATGAATCGGAAACGATCCTAATCGATAACAGAATTTCATGTACCTGTATTACTTTTATCAATCCATGCAAAAGGCAGCATTAGATTGGGGGAAAGAACATTAAAACGAATACATTTCTATTAATTATACTTGTATAATAATTCTGAAATTAGTACAGTAAAATGAAGACGTACAGTACAGGAAACAAGACTATGCGTCACGTCATAAAGTTATTACGAATCACTAGACGATAAAATTCACTAGCATAAAATTACTTTAAACTTTAAATCACTCGTTGTCCTGTTCCATTCAAGTCTACGTGCTGAATGGAACAAGAACAACGAATGTCGTTATTTTAGTTAAGGTTAACGAACAGGTTGTGATGAAATCGGATCGAATATAGTAATAAAATGTTCCGTATAAAAGATAAAATATTTTAAAATTCACAAACCTTACTCCGAGTTTATGTTTCATATGTATATTTAACGGCCTTCGGAGATTAAAAAAAAAAAAAATTAATATCTGTCATTAAATTCTTCAGTAGCGAAGAGAATAAGAGATTAACATTCCAATTAGCATCTTGCAATTTTTTTTTATGGAAAATTAAAGTATTTTTATTGAATGTTTTTAAATTTCGTAATCGTTACTCAAAGTTATTGAATTCTCGAATGGTTTACTTTATAAAGAAAAGAGGTCACTGATCCCTTATCCAATTACGAATGACAAGGTCTTAATAAATGTTACATTCGTGTGAGAAAACTTCAAAGAACTTGTACTTCATCACGGTCTATTATCGAGATAAGGCAAATTTCTGAGTACATAAAAACAAGATACGTCCGAATTGCTGATAAAATTATTGCGAAAAAGTTAATTGGTAGTGAAAGTAAATCGTCGTCAAGGTAAAAGTAAGCAAAATGGACCTTGACCTAATTCACAGTGGATGGTTCTCTCGAAATTTTTTTAATTCTTTCAAATCATTCCTGTTTAAGAGTGATGAAATTCAAATAAAACAAAAGATGCCGAACAAAAAAAATAATAATAATAACACTTCTTATTGCCTGTGGCATTTATATTTCGTGAAACCGAAAATAAAAATAAGCCAATATCGATAAACACGAATAGAAATCAATATTTTGTCGCATGAAAATTGCTCCTTTCTAGGAGTTGTGATGCGTATTATACAAAAACAATATAAAACTATTGTGATATCTTTTTGGACTCTTTCAATCTAGTGTATTTTTTTTTTTTTTTAACTCTTTTCGCCCCGTGGGCACTAAGAAGGGGTTACTCTAGGAAAAGCATGGGCACGGTTATAATGGACTTCAAAAATATATAATTTTGAAGTTAAGTTGTTAATTGAATTATATTCTTACACGTAAAGCGCAGCACTACACGTAGATGGTGACATGGCATACACTATAATATAAATATACAAGCAACAGATTCGTCTATTTTAATGTACTACGGTCTACACTAAAGTATGGCTTCCATTTAAATGTGTAATTAATAAATAAAATATAATTTTTACTACATTTCTATTCAATCAAGTGCCACTGAAAATCGTCCAGCGTGCCATAGATTGCCGACCCCTGATGTAAGGTATTAAGAGTGATAGAAGAAAGGCTTTCTTAGTCGTGAATTCGGCCAGACCCATGATGGGGCTGATAGATGGAACCTGGCATATCCGTGACAGATCACCCACCAAAAAATACTTGGGGTTTTTCGTACCACGTCCGGTAAGTTAATGTTTTAATCGACTTGGCCATCCGTTTGGCATCTGATTTATATTTGCAATGCAGCCATTTTGTACAAATATAAAAATGGCTGCATTAGCTTACGTATCGATCACTATCTATCCAGGGCGCTTCATTAGGTTTTTATATATTAATTACTATTGATAATGTGTTACGGAAAATTAATCTAGATGAAAATTAATGAATGTGCTGTAAACAAAATAATTATCTAAAAAAAACCTTTCTTCTCTAAATTAGTATATTATTTGGAAAAAAATACAAAAATTGATTTTTGAATCGATTGGAATAATAATATACTTTTGTGTCTGTCAAATGGAATCGATGTGACAACAAATGATTCATCAAAATTAATAATGTAGTATTTCCTGCATTCATCAAAATAAATAATTCTACGTTTTACTAGGTATTCGGTGCCATTATGCAGCCTTCATTGAAAATAGAGAACAATGAGAATCTATCTGAATTCTGGAACCTTCTGGCAGCAAAATGAGAAGTGATAAGGAAAATTCTTTATTCTCTTAACCTTCTTCATAATTTTTTTTTTTTTTTTTTGCGAAGGGTTGAAGGATAGACAACGAGTCCCCGTTAAAAAAGAACAGGATCCAACGAAGTAATAAAAGATTTGTAGAGTTTATTTTATCTAATTTACTTCTTATACGGAATGAATTGAAGACATTTTTGATAATAAATTTCCATGAAATGTTTTATTCAGTTCACGTACTAAATTGTCGTACTTTCCAGTGACTTATGGTCTAAAAGATCAAGTGTAGTGTATCAATTATTATTAATACTACGATTTCATATTAGATTTGCTAGAATGATTAGAGAAAATTTATATTAAATTACATATTAAGTGTAGAATTAAACAGAAAAATTGCTTATAATACGACTTCTAGCGCTATTAGCTTTTTATCGAGTCTCTTTATTTCGATATAATCATTTAAATCGTTTTTCCAATTATTTCAAGACACGATGATTATTAAGTCCTTTCGAGAGCGTAAACCGGAAAAAATATAGATCTATCAAATGACACTAATCTTAATTAGGATGATTTCTTCACATTAATTCGTTTATCACATATAGATACAGTTGGAGAGTTAAATAAACCTATTGTACATGGGTTTGAAATTACCGTAACGATCCGTTCATGACGATTCCGTGCTCTAATCAAGTGATATTTTAGATGGACGGAAGAAATTTACTAGTGTTATCCCAGCTTTACGCTATTGTGAAAGAGTCGTTCATTAAAACACGATCCAATTCATAAGATTTTTCATTCTTCCGGAATCACTCGAGCTTGCAAACGACACTAAAAGCAAAGATGACGGTTACTGTAGGTCGTTGTCTGAATTTAAGCATGAGTAAATTGTTAAGCACGTAGGACCTAATAAAGTTTCCTGAAAGCGCAACGTATATGTGCTATAATGGAAGTATATTACAAACTTGATAAGTATAAATGTTCTAAAAATATTGAAGAAACGCATTAAATGATGAATAAATAAATAAATTTACTTTTAAGATCTGATTTTAAATCTCAATTACAGATCGATTTGAGGAGATTAACCTAATTGAAATCTTCAAAATGACATTTAAAGATAGTAAAATCAATATTAGAATTTGTAACGAAATATTCAATGGTGAGATTTCATTTTCAAAATTTCTATACGAGAAATGTAAATTTATATATCAATTTTCACACTCCTCGCGTATTTCTTATACAGGAACGTAATTAATTCATAGCGATATAACACCTAATCTGCCTATTTGAACGTCACCATTATATAGCCTAAATCTAAGCATCTTTCATCTGAGCATCTCCCTAAGTATGTTATAAAAATGATAAATGATTCAACATAATTTAAATTCCGAGTATGGACTATTATTAACCATCAAATGCAATCTTAATAATACTTGTCTATATCCTTCTAGTATTGCAGTTTTTGGCTACTAAGAGTATAGATTATTTAATAATAGACATGTTCAGAGGTAGATAAATATTTCTAAAAAGATCAAAATTTTTTGCAGTTAGAATTTCGAACATATTTTTTTTTTTTTTTAACCAATGTTAGAAATGAATCCTTGACGTCTCTGATCGATTAGATGCACAAAAACTACTTGTTGAAGCACAGCATAAAAACGCAGGTAAGTTATCTATGTAAGAAAGTGTTCCTTTATTTTCTCTATTATCGTCAACAATAATCGTACAAAAGATTGCATCTAAAAAGTCACACGCAACTAACGAACGGCAGGTTGCCGACCTCTGGTCTAATCAATCAAAAAAGACACGCTGCCTTTAACAATATATTCTTAAAGTTAAACGTTAAGTTTCTCACAAAGTTAATTGATTAATATTCCTGACTCATGTTACTCTTAGAAATTTATTATTGATAAAAACCACACGATTACTCATTAATATTGTAATCTGAGCTGAATTTCATTATATTGCGTGTTAGCTGAATGATTAGTTCGTACGTTAATTGTATACATTAGTACGTTGAGTTAAACGTTTTAAAATAGTTATTCGCAATTCACAGATTATATAGAATTGTGGAACTGAAAAATAATGAAATATTTGGCACAGTTATTCGTGTGATTAATATACAGTCGACCCCCTATAACACTGTTGATTATTCCGTTTTATATGAATTCCATGTTGTACGAGTCACTTAGATTTTACAAACACGTGAGCCATTCACAACCCGGCACTCCTATTTGTAAAATTTAAGTGACTCGTACAACGTGGAATTCATATAAAACGGAATAATCAACAGTGTTATGGGGGAGGTCGACTGTATTGAATGGCTGTAACGCAGCATCCATAATTCTCGTGTATTTTAATATAATTGAAGTATAATTGTTGAAGAAAATAGATCGAGTGTAATCCAGAAAAGACGTGTGATGCCAAAAAACTGAAATTCTCAACCAGGAAGCTAAACGGATACCTCTATAATTATGCTAAACACAGGTTGACATAAGTAGGTGTAACTACACATTTTAATACGATAGTTGCTACATTGTTTATATCCTGAACATTACAGTCACGTATACTTCAGATGTTATCACTTTACTTACCACTTTAAACACTTTCTAGATATGTGACTAAATCTCTGGGTAAGTAAAGTTCTTTCGAACGTCTATACAAATTTCACATTCAAGAATGGAAATATATGAAAATAAATCGTAAAAGTATTCTTACTAATTATTTAATACGTATAAATATTTTTAAAAACTTATTTGTAGATTGATATATAAATTGTAACGGCCGTTAACATCAATCTAAATTTATATTATCGCTATGGAACGAATCCGCGTATAGCATCCAGAACGAAAATTATGTACTCTACTAACGTAAAGTCAAGTTGCAGCATTTTTTATGATGCAGGGTTCAAGGTCATCCGCAGCTATTTTGGCGACAACAGGTTCTTAAAACGATTTTTGAAAAATAAGAGATATAAATAAATTCGATAAGAAGAAAAAAAATTATCTATAAACCCATCAAGATTGATAGAATAACATATGATACATCTGCACTTTAAGTGTCTTCTAGTTTAACGCCTTTGGACATAATTCTTCGCGAATTTCGTATATATATAGAAAAAATCAAAGCTATATACGAGTGAAAGAAGCCATCTTAGTACTTTATCAAGCACTTTATACAACAGAGATTTACATAGATAAACCCCCGTGTACGACAAGAGAACACGTTACATATAACTAGAACTAACGATCAGAATGCAACAAATCGAAATTCGAGTCACGCACGAATGCGCATTTGTTATTAATATATTACAACAAGAAGTAAGAGAAAATCACGCGTGACACGAATTACGATTGGCGTTTAGAATTACGGTCGATAGAACGTATTCAGTTTACAATACACCGGTATGTTTGTATATAACAATTGCGATAGGGTATGGAAAATTTCATTTAAAATTTACAAATAATGTTAACGAATCACGCATTAAAAAGAAAAAAAAGCAGTTTTTCGGAAATGTCGACTTTTTACGCCCAAATAATTAAATTTACGAGTTAATTATTTAATTATGTTCTTGTCTATTGTGACGAGTCGGAGTAACGTCTTTTAGGCGTCACCGACCGACGTTTATAATGATAAAAAAAAAAAAAAAATTAATTACTTTAACTTCAATTTACTTTTGTTTAATTGTTTCTCGTATTCATTGTCTTCTTAATATTTTCGATCCGTCTTCGTGCAAACGAATCAATTAGGAATTTTACTAATTTTTCTCTCGACATGTTGCGAGCGACGATAGAAGCGCCGCGTTGCGTCGATTCGAAAGTTCGTGTCGTCTGTTCTTCAATTCAATTTATTCAATCGATCAACGCTCGAGAAATAATTATTTTATTTTATATCCGAATTTTAAAAAATACCGGTAAGATATACATACAAATATATATATTTATAAGCATTTTGATAAATAAATAAACCGGAAGAATTAACTTCTTTTTAGAATCTTTCAAACCTCTTCAATAAAGGACGTTGTGAAATTAGGCCTAACTTCAAAAATGTCGTCTGTTTTCGGTAAGTCATAAAGATTATTTAAATTTACTCCATTCCTACTGTTTCTATGAGCCAATGACGAGCATTTTATAATATTTCGAAAGATTTTCAATGCATTTATATGGGATGAAATTATCCCTACACTGTACACATGCAAAATAAAAATATGATTTCAGTCAGCACCATTGGGGTTCATTTCTACACAAATAAAATCAGAACGCTCTTCAATGAGGCATTTACTTCTAAAATTTTAATATTTGACCAAAAATTGACTTTATTTATTATAACTCTTCAATAGGAGGATTTTCCTATTCTGTATTTTTAGCAAACAGGTTTGATTTTGCACCAAACAGCTGTAAAGCACCATGTGTTTTCTAAATTCTGGGTTATCGTAAAGCGACTCTATTCAATTCTATATACAAATATATTTAGCTCCAAATAAAACCAAATCCGTTATGTAATATTGCAGGACATTGCGGATGACATTTCCGTTAAAAATAAACCAGCGACGAGTTGCTGAACTTTACCGGAAACATTTGGTGGCGCCATCTGTTATGATATTTTAAAAATTTTATATTTGTAACCAGTCGTGTAAAAATCTACCGACTCCGACTAAAACCAGGGACGGACTTGTTACCAAAATAGAACCGGAAATTCTAATGTCATCACGCGACCTCAGAATAAAATATTCAATAAATAGAATTCTAATAAAGATAGAAAGTAGAAACGCTTTTATTTCAAAGTTAGAATACTCCTAAGTAATGACACACTCAATATATAAATATGTATTCAATAATTTTTACTTTCCGGCTGACAGAGAGAAAGTTGCGATCGGGCAAAAAATGACCCCTACCAAATTTTTACATTTTTGGACTCAGGACACCTTGAAATGTCGAGATATGCGAAATATTCGGTTTTTTCCTGATGCATGGATGTTAAACTGTGTGGGGGGCATGATTTTGTTACCCTGTTTGAAGCCTAATTACTTCTGTGGTTTTTAAATCGGAGTCGGATGGTTTAACACGGGAGTTATTAAGCTTCAAAGTGGTTGAAGTAAATCATGCCCCCATATACGTTCTAACATCTCAGGCGAGAACATCTTAACGGGATTTATTGTACTATTATAAAATGACAAAAAGCTGAATTTTTGAGGATAGAGACTTTTTTTTATAAAACTTATGTGAATGCTAATAATGAGTAAAATAGTCATTAAGCCCAACCACACTGGAGATATGGCATATTCCTTCACTTCCTTCTATGTATTCATCCTGTCTACCTTTAATTAAGAACCAAAATTTAATAGCATTAGTACCCCTTTATACACATGCTACTGTACTAGATTAAGTTTCTTAAACTTTATCTTAAACTTTTTTATTCTCTTTTATTCTTAAAAAATAAAAAAAAATTAAACAAATTAGACGTCAACGCACGCACGAATTTCTCACTCTATTTAAAATTTTTTGGGTTCGGGAGGTCTCCAAACGTGTATGTTTGCAAAAATCTCGGAGGGTCAAATTTGACACGATTCCAATAGTTTACCGTTTTGTATTATACATAAGTTGGGAAGTAAAAAGAAGTCGGAGTCGGCGGATTTTTTGACGACTCCGATTCCGACTCCACTGCCCTGTTTTTAACTATTATAAAATGGAAAAAAGCTTAATTAATGTTGAGTGTAGGAATGGGTTTTATAAAAAAAATTTGTAAGTGCTAATAACGAGTATAATCGTCATTAAGTCCGACCTTACTGGAGATACACACGTACCCCCTTTATCTTCCCATCGACTTTTAATCACCAAAATTTAATAGCATCCAACCCCCTAATAATCAAACCTCCCTGCAAAATTTCAGAAATTTTCGCCAAACTCACGGGAGTTATTAAGTTTCAAAGAGGGTGAAGAAAATCGTGTCCCAGACACACACACACAAACGCTAACATCCATACATACAACAAAAATCCCGGAATTTCTTTGCATTTCTCGACGTTTCAAAGTCCCCTGAATCCAAAAATGTAAAAATCTTGGGGGTCATTTTTTTGACTGATCGCCATACTTTCCCTCTGTTATGTATAACAGCCGGGAAAATAAAAACTTGGTACAAAAACTCTCCGCTAAAGGATTTTTGGCGCATGAAAAAAAAAACAGTTTTATTTATGGAGATACTTAAATTATGGTTTTCTGGGAAAAAATTGAAATTTGCCAGCCTTGAAAGACCGTATCATATTAAATATGTGAGAAGCATCACACAAGATCAGTTACGGCCGGCCGTTGAACAGTGTCCATCGCCTTCAGGTTTTATTCAGAATGGGGACCTCAGTGAACACTATCTCCTGCATCACAAGCCATACAAATAAAATGTTTGCATAAGACTAGTGCAGCACCAAAAGTGCCGTAGAGCGAGTTTGTAACTAATTTTTTTTAATTAAGTAAATGTCCATAACGTTCTGAAATATCACCATACCAGATTTTATTGCATTTGGACTGCTAAATATCTCAAAACAGTGCTCAATAGGGGTACTCTACGATCACCTGGTATAGTAGCCTATATGTCAGCAGATAGTCTGGTGTTCGTAACTACTGTATATACTGTAATTCTAATTACAGAATATGCAAAGTATCCATTTTGTTCGGATAAATTTTTAATCTAGTTTGTCTCACTTCAGTTTTTTGTCATTCTTAAACATCAAAATATGCATAGAAATATATACAAATAATTTTATAAGTATTAATATAATAGATATGAATATTTGGTCATATTATATCATTTTTAAAGTTATAAGTATACAAAAATTGATAAAAGTAAATTGGATCCGTTAGCTAAATACAGTAGCTAACTGATCCAAAAGCAAAGCGTTAACCGAAATGCATTATCTCATTGTTAGGTATCCTTATAATAATTAGAAGCATTAACATAGTTCAATAGAGACGTACGAATGTGTGTTGCTTGCAACCATAACAAGAATCACTCCAATAGATACAAATGGGAGAGAATGCACATTCTTAATTAAGCACTAGGGGACATTAATTAACGTTAAATAGATCTTGAAACTGTATCACCGGATTAAATGGAATTTTCCGCTTCGTATTTGTTTAGTATCTGTATATTAAAAATATATTATTCGTAATTGATGACGTCCTTAACATATATTTTCGTATCTATGCAAACTATATCAGATGTAAGTGATAAAACTCGTTAAAATGATTTTTTAAAAATACGCCTACAAGCATGGCTATATAGCTCAGTACAATTTGGGAATATATATAGGTTATGTAGTCCAAATTAGCCCCTTCAAATAATTTTTTTTAATATCCTATGTCTCGTTAGCTTACCGGAAAATCTGTTTTTCTATAGTAAATTATTTGCAACGAATACAGATTGCTGCTGTATCTATGATTTCTTTGAATTGGCATTATGGAAATTATGAGTAAAAACTTTCGTTGCATGTTACAGTGTCATTCAGTATTTTATTTGTGGAACAATAGAAGAACTGCTTTTTACGCACACCTGGAACGAGTCAAATAATAACGACTTTGAATTTCTAATCAGCTCACTAGCAGAAATTACCGTTGTCATTGACAACAGCGAAGTAGTCAGATGATTCGCCATTTACAATACATTCTCGCTGTTATTATTATAAAAATTCATTTGTTAATATTTTTAAACAAGATAGTTTGAATGGAGGATCAATAGAAACGAGATATAAACTTTAAAATAACTTATTCTGAGGTTAGTCAAATATTTTGGAATGAGTTCTATGAATTCAGTTTTATCGAATTTAGCAAAACGTTACTAGCTTTCTTATTATTCGACAAGTTTTACAAGATAGAGTGTGACTATAATACAGCTTCGTCCTTGGCCGGTAGAGCGTATCTGAGTACACACAAACCGTATTTTATTTCCGTGTTTTATCTGGCTTGTAGCCAATTGAAGATATTCTAGATTGGTGTGACCAACCTCTGACTGTAAAATCGCGTGTGACTGACTCTGTAGCAAATTTACGTGTAATTTTTTCTAACCGAGCTTGTTGACTTGACTGTTAAGTCCGCGTTAGAAATGATGCAGAAGTACATATTAAAAATTCGAATTGTTTTTTTCTATAAAGTCTAGTATATTAATTGCTATGTGGTTACATAATTTCGTATTTAATCCGCATCTTATATGTTTATTTATTGGTTTTGGTTTTAATGAATTGTTCTCTTTTGTAATCGTAGGTAATAACTAATATTATAATTTGCTGGAACCACGTTTATTTTAATTAACTATTTATAAAGATTGTCAGTTCAGTTTTGTAAAAGAAAATGTTGTGATAAGAATTCCTCGTGAATGCCAAGAAATAATGATACCTCCTTAGAGAGAAATACAATAATTTGTTCAAAATGATTATCTCTCTCGCATTTATTTTGGATCTCGTGATACTTTGATAAGGGAACTTGTTTCATCACTTCAAACTGTGGGAAAAGTTACTAGGATGAAAAACTCTACTGTAAAATGTACAGTTCCGTTAGAATACAAATATTAATAGTAGTTCAATCTTCGATTTAGTGAACAATTCTTAATCCCTGTTTACTAACCCCTGCAAATTCTCCTGATTTATGGTCATTACCAAAAATATACAAAAAATAATCGATGTAGGTTCGAAGTAGGTAAAGCATAGTTTTGATTCTATTCTTTACTATAAAGGCGATTCCAAAGGACAAAGATGCCATCCCCACAACGACGTAAAACAACAATAATAAGATAAAAATTATAAAAAGTAAACAATAAACTATAATACATTTTTTAGACAAGATTGGAAATTAACAATGCAAAAAGTCTCTGGAGGATATTTAAATTGTTATTTGTTCTTATGTAGCATAAAACACTAATTCGGAGATTTAATTTAATAGTTAATCGGATAAGAAGTGAAAGACACCGCGACAAGATCGATCCCGGGTTCTGTTATCTGTTCTTTTCGATCATTTTCCAGTTCTTCCGACAATATTCTATAAGAATACATTCCTCAGGTTATCTGGTTTTTCAACAATAGAAAGAATTAGAGTGAAGTTTTTTACTTACAAAAAATTGATATCGTTTCCGTCAACCATGTTCCACATCCTTTAATCTACTCTTCGTTTTATCTCCATTATCTATTGTAAAACCGGAATTTCTTCTCGCATCCGACCCCCGAGGCTGGAACGAACAATCCCAAAATGTTCCGATCTGATCCCAACTAGGAAATGGGGAAATTCGCATAACAACGGATACTAGGCAACAATTTCGACAAATTCGGGCTTCGCGGGTCTTTCCGAAATTCGTGGCGCGGAAGACCGATTCCAGTGGGGAGGAAAGAAAAAACGTCACGCGGCGAGATAATTAAAGGTTACCTTTCGTTGCCTCGAGGTATCTTCATTAATTTGATGGCGAAGAGAAACTGGATGCAACAGACGAATAGACAACACAGATTGAGGCACAAAGTCAGAGTGCAGAGCGCCACCGACACCTGGTAGACGGCGAAATACTCTTTGGGATTGACCACTATCTTTTTCTCTCCGTTCTTTTTGAAGTCTTCGGGAGAGACGAGGGAAGAGGCCACTTTCTGTAGAAAGAAGAGGGCCAGGAAAGACATGAGCAGGGAGAGCAGGCACAGCAGGGCCAGCGAGGCCAGCATCTGGTAGATGCCCTTCTCCACCTGTTCTTCCACCAGCGACCTTCTGGAGACGGCGGCCAGGCTGGCCGGGCGGGTGATGGTCCTGGACACGTCCAACAGCGGTTTGGTGGAGTTACTGGACACGGTGACGTTGGCGGCCGCGTTGCCTCCGGGCGGGGGACTTCCGGTGCCCGTCGTCGACTTGGCCGCGCTACCGTTCATGGTCCGGGCGGCCGGCGGGACCCTCGGCCGCCCGCATTCGACTCTCACAGCCCAGGAGTGGAGGGCGCCGGATGCTCTTCATACGGCCCGGTTCCCGCCGGGCCGCTTTCTCGGCTTCCGACTTCCCCCGGCGATTTCTCTTCCTCCAGTCGACTGCGACCTTCACGCGACGAACTCTCTGCAAAACAGAAAAACAAACAATGTACAGTACACGTGCCAACGTTTCCATTTAACGCACCGACGCGACGCTGCCGGAAACGAACCACCCGTTTCGTCAAAAATCGCCGGCATGACGGACGACATTTCCGTTGCCCATTTTGCCACCCGCTCGGCTTAACCACCCTCCGTGGCGCCCTTTAATTGCGCGATTTGGGACGACCGGAAGAGTGTTCTACTAAGAAAAGAAAATCGTATATTAACTCGGCCGCTTCAAATGTGACAAGCCTTAACGAACTCTTTCGAAAATACACACTTCCGGCGCTTTCGTGCCTCTCGTCCGAGTGGAACACCGAATCCGAGCGTCCCCTCCCTACGTCACATCCTGCCCAAGAAAGAATCCCGGAAGCTAAACACGGGTTCGTTTCGGAAATAAAAAGAAGAAAGGACTTTTCTTAATTTTGACGTGCGCGTAACCCAATGTCGAATATTTCAAAGTAAAGGGAGATTTTCTTGGATCCAACTACAATATTACAAATAGTTGAGAATGTCATACCAGAAATTTTTATGGCTGTATAAAAATATCTTAATTTTTGCAATTAAATTCGATTTGGATTTGGCTTTACGTCTTACAATCCTTGCTAATCGATCTTATCGCGGAAATTAAGCCCACTTCGATTCACAGGAGATCCCAATTTATTTCGTTGAAGCAGAGACGTCACCAGGAAATGGGGATCTCACCGGGTGACACCATTAAGAGGAAGTGACACAAAAATGACTCTATTAAATTTTTCCGCAGTGTTTCAGCATAAATTTATTATTTCTTTTATTAAAAAATCCCTTTAGTTACTTATCACAAAAAATTTCTTTCGTAAGCTCGGCTTGTATGTATCAATATACCTACGACGTTAAAACACTACTAATTTATTTTAGAATCCTTTATTGTGTTCCAGTCAGAACTGCCATTACTACTAAATTACAATGGAAAAATACTAAAATATTTTACATTTTATTGCCATTACGTTTAGGTATATACGGGAATTACGGTTTACGAGTAACATTACTAAGGATTCTGTATGGACTGAGTGAACCTCATGGGGTTCATTCAGTTCATACAGTCCATACAGAGTGCGAATGAAGGGATCTGCAGGGCATGAAGGAGATCAGGGGATTTTTCCCTGCACTCGGGTTAAACTTAGGGATCCGTGGCTCCTATTCTTATGAATTAATGTTATATTTACTAACAAAAAATAAAATCTTTAAGATTGCTGTGAATTAATAAATAAAAGCATTCTCTACATATTTCATTTGTCCAAAAACAGGCAAAAGGACCCGCTCTGCCCCGGGACTTATACAAAGCTTTCGATGGCCCTGCTTTTTTGTAAATATACTATCAGTAGGTAATCGTATCAGGAAAATGAAGCGGATAGAATTTTATTTTTACGCCTGGGTACATTACGACCAAACTATTTTTATTTACGGAAAACATCACCTGTCCAAACAGAAATACGGAGCGTCACGACACGACAGTAATCGAGTAAAATATTTATATAAAACTATTTTCGAAAGATTAAACCCCGAGAGAAGTTTATAGTTTTATTTAAATTATTTTGGCTTAAGTACATGTATAAGATTCTCCTTATAAATAGGATTTTAAAATATCCAATTTTGTAAAATCTGGCATTATTTTTAGAACTTTTCGTTGGCCATTGAAAGAGCAAAAATAGAAATTATTAGTCGTTTAATTCTGTAGTAATATTCTTAAGTTTCGTAATTTGAAATATTCATGAGCACTAACGATCAATTCTTTTAGTTTGCTTTTTTCGTGTGTTTTATCGCGTGCGCACGACAATTCAAATGTAGTGTAATTACGTCTGGAGCCGTGTTATACGCTGTTGACGCCATGTTTTGAAAGGGTCCATTTATTACAAGAACTATAATATCTATCTGCAAATGCGAATGTATGTAAAATTCATTCGCCATCAAACTCAAAGGACACGAATTCGAATTACGTAATATATATATATTAATATATTGAACTCTGCGCCTGTACCACGCCGGCAATCTAGGGTCCTCAGATATGGACAAAATTTAAATTTCGATACTCTTACTACAATAATGAGTTTATAAAAGATTGGTTTGGGGCCCACTAATGGTGAGGAAGCCAGGCAATTGTCCTTTTTGCACATAAGATAGTGCGCCACTGTTCTACGATTTTAATTTGTAGAATATTTTACTCAATCCCAGGGAGGGGCAAGTACACCGTTTGCTCCCCTCTGCGTATGCCCGTGCTCCACTTTATACAGCGAAACAAATTCGAGTTTTCAGATTTTCCGAGATAATTTCTATGAACGAAAGTTCGACTTTTTTCATCTTGGAAAGCACTCTAATTGGAAGCTTTTAATAAGAATTCTATTAACTGAAGCAAAACAAAATCATCTACAATTTATGAATAATTCATAACCCAGAATCCTGACTCATAAAAAAAGATAAATTCTTATTAATTACGTAATAAATACGAATTTTTCACGGTTGAAAAACCATTATTAATGTTTTAGAAGTAGCGTATCTCCCGACAGAAAGGAAATGATTCATTTATAGCATTGGCCATAACATTTGCGATTTTTAAACGTTCGCTAACAGATAACTGCTTACATCCATGCAAATATTGAAATTTTTAGATCTATATTTTACTATTAATTAATGATAATTAACATACTTGTGAAGACGAATGACAAAAGTTTTAAATATTACTCTTAAGTGAAACTACCCAATTTTTAATGATTAACTCTCACTGATTACGTTAATCGGTTTGAGCTAGAAAATTTGTGAGTAATGAAAAAATCTCCCAACAATTTAATTTCGTAAGCAGTATTTTAAATAGTTTTAATGAAAACAATTATTATTTATTGTCTAGAATGTCGCTGCGGAAACTATCTTTTGTGTTAAGTTTTATATGTCAAGGAATAAATGAATTCAAAATGTTTTATAGGCATGTTACTCTATACAATATAGTGTGTTATTGTTATGGTGATTTTAGTCTAGCTTCTAACGACTAGAAACAGTAGTTAGATGTGGAAAAATGGTTTTTAACTAGACACCTGGCCCTAAAACAAGACAATTAGGTGATATTTTCTACACCTCAAACCAGCGGTGCCCAAACTACGGCCCCTGTACGCGTTGGTACATGACATATAACTTATAAATAATACAAATGCACCTACTTTTAGTACGTATGGAATATACAAAATATTTGTGGCCCGCTTATCTACGACTTAAACGCAATTTAGCTCATCAATCGAAGAATTTGGGCACTACTGCAATATATATATTGTAGATGCATCCCTCTAGTTGTATACAGGAACTTAACAAAGTTTTTTCTTTTATCATTAATAATAAAATATTCTGTGATTTTTAAACGAAACGAAAATAACTTATCGACAAAATAAGTTTTTCATCTAATCCATCATACATTAAAATAAACAGAATTTTCTATTAGTAACAGTAAAACTTTTCATTATAAACTAACATTACAGCAGTTGAACTATCTCTCCCTCCCCCTTCATTATGCAGTTTAATTTATGGTTAGTGACGTTGGTAATTCTAGTGCTGTTACTACTGATGGGTGGACTGTTGACGAAAAGCTACAACACAAACAAGTTTTAGTTACTTATTAAATATTTCATAAAATTATATATAGGACTCGTGTATGGTTTTATAGAAATTATATTTAAATATATAGATATACGTTTTAATTCGTAAATGTCATACGAATAAAAGTATAGGGGAGATCGGGGCAAGATCGGCATGTTAAGCTTTACTTAAATTTTGTGTAATAAATACTGCTGTAAACTGAAAAAAAAGCTTTGCATATTGTCTATTGGAATGTTACCTTACTATAGAACTGGTTAAAATCAGTTTGGAAATAAAAATAATTAAAATAATTACAACTTTACAAGAAGAGAGAAATTGACGAAGTTGCCCCGGGTATAGGGGCAAGATCGGCAACTTCTCTCTTTTTGTAAAGTTGTAATTATTTTAATTATTTTTATTAAAGTTGCCCCTGGTATAGGGGCAACAGTAATGGGGCAAGATAGGCACGTATATAAAATTATGTTATTAACAATGTATAAGTTGGAATTCACTATTAAAACAAAGAAATACAAATCCAACACCCATTTAATATTATTACAACGAAATGCAAGTTCAAAGACATATATACATGAATAACAAATGCAAACATGTTTTCATTTATCATCTGTTTGATTTTTATCCTTTGCTTCTAATGTGGCTTTATGTTGCCGATCTTACCCCGCTAGTCATGATTTCGAAACATTAAGTACAACCCTGAGAACAGAATGCCAAGCCACGATCTGGCCACGTGAATAAGTTGAAGTTACATCCTTCTAACAGGAAAAGTAACTTTCGTTATCATGGAATTATAACAAAACCTGCCAATTCAATATAAATGGAAAAAAAATATTATATGGAATTGAACGAAAATAAAAATTTGCTTGATAATTCAACTACGCTTGTTGGAGAACAATAAAAACACTACACTCAACAAGCCACTAATAAAACTCAACTGCCTAACCTATAACCAAAGTCTCCTTTTAATTTGTTTTTTTAAAAAAGCGCTTGACAAACTTGCCCCGCTTGCCGAAGTTGCCCCGATCTCCCCTATGTATAAAAAAAAATAGTCTGTCCGTCCTTTTCATGGAAGAATTCTATCGACACACCCACTCCTTTATTAAAAAATTCATTGATTTTTTTTTTTCTAAAATAAGAACATGGTAAAGTTTAGAATTAAAATGTTCTGAATTTCTATGACAACGTAGTACATTTTTTAAATAATAAATTAATTGTTTAACAAAATTTTAATTACGTTTGAATATATATGTATTATTTTCACTTTTATTAAAGCTTTGTTAAATATTTTAATGGAAAAAGTTATGTTTACGACTATATATTTTTACTAATATTTGAGCTATCGGAGTTTTTACTTTCGTAGGTGTTATATAACAGAGGGAAGGTATGGCGATCGGTCCAAATGACCTCTAAAATTTTTACATTTTTGGACTCTGTGGTCCTTGAAACGTCGGGTTTTTTTCTGTATATGTGAATGCTTGAGGGAAGCACGACTTTTTATGCATTTTAAAGCTTAATGACTCTTACGCCTTATGTCGAAAATTTCTGAAATTTTGCAGGGAAGTTTGTGTATTAGGGGAAAATGTTTCCAGAAATTTTCAGGAAACTCGAAAAATTGGTTCGGGAGATATGACCCCACTCCCTTTAATATACCTTCCTAAACAATCCGAAGACTTAATGTTAGCAATTAGTTAGATGAAATCAAATAAAGAATACATACCTGGTTCAAGAGTTGTAAATATGGGGTCTGCGTGTATAATAAATACTATATTTGTAGTAAAAATTTTTATTTAATGTATTTTTTTCCCCAGTAGAGTAAACCTGAAACGGCGTGTGGAGAGTCCGCGTATAGCAGGTCCTACTATACATAAATATGTCATCTAAAAATGATTGAACGTGCGTATTATTCATGCAATCCAAAGAAAATAGCGTGTTTAGGAAATTAAAAATGTTTATAGAAAAAGAAAGGTCTTCTTGAGTAGCTTTTAAAATTTTCTAACATATCGTACAGAAATTTTCCTCTTATTATTATTCTTTTTTTTTATCGACAACCATTTATGAAGGTGCCACATTATTATTATTATTTAATTCTGTACTCAATTTTTATTTTTTAAATTATTGTTCACACAGTTAAAATTAATAGATGATCGCCCCTAGATCTACAAGAACTTCGAATATGATCGGTATCTTCGCGATTTTTTGTGATAATTCCTATAATCGAGAGGACCCGTAAATAAGTTGAATTTAGCATGAGTCGTTGGTTCCTCTCGTAATAAAATCTAATCGTTGATAAAGGCAGTACATAGTTCAGCTCGTTTAATACTAATTTATCTACAGATAAATTATTTTGACCTATTACTTTGTAATAAATTACTCTATTATCAATACACATTCCTATCTTCTAGGGTGTAGACTGATTGTAACGGAAATTGCTATCAATAAATGCATCCTTCTGTTAAGTGAGTGTTCTTCAAAAACTTTTATTAGGAATCTTGGCTTTCTCTGTTTTTTATTTTGCCTATTAAACCAGACAAAAATTACAGTCTGAATCCATATTCAATTACTATTCTGCATACTTATTTGTTATCTAATAGGGAATTAGAAATCTATTTGTTTTAAAAGTAGGTTGAATACAGTTATTAAAGTTTTCTTTATCCGTTTCTCAGCTTTCTAGAATGTAATTTTTCCATAAAAAGTTATAAACTCGAATGGGTTTCGTTTGTTCCTTCCATACCTACACATTTTACGATAAGAATTAAAATCAGATTGTATTCTCTACACATAAACTTCGCGTAATAGAATGCCAGGATTGGTTAAATTAATTACGTTTATGGGGATACTCCTCATATTTTTACGAAGATTAATAAGTTATCAGGAAATTTAGCAGGAGTTTTAATGTTTTAAAATTTAAATATTCGTAAAAATCCCATTTGTAATGTTTTATAATTGAAGTTACTCTGCCACGCCGTATTTTGTATTCGAAATAAACGCGTGTGTAAGTACTGTACCCTATCGTATAACTGAAGGTAAATTGTATTGTGTCTAGCCTAGACTAAACAATAAGATTTAACTTAACAATCGAGTGACAAAGTCTGTTAACTCTTCCGTTTCGAACGAAATGAAGAAAAAATTCTACACTAGACCTACGTTACATTTTGATATTTTTCGCTTAACTCGTGTAAAATATTTAACACCAAAATTTAAAAAAAAAAATCCAATCAAATTTTAGGACCATTCCTTGTAATTTGGAAGCTTAAAATTATTTCTTGATAATCTGGGCCAACTGTATATTTATTTTTAAATAATTAATAAAAATGGATAAATCTGATCGAGGATTTAAAGTTTTATTATTAATTAACCGTTGCAATGCATAAAGTAATTGCGGCTACCAANATAATAGATATGAATATTTGGTCATATTATATCATTTTTAAAGTTATAAGTATACAAAAATTGATAAAAGTAAATTGGATCCGTTAGCTAAATACAGTAGCTAACTGATCCAAAAGCAAAGCGTTAACCGAAATGCATTATCTCATTGTTAGGTATCCTTATAATAATTAGAAGCATTAACATAGTTCAATAGAGACGTACGAATGTGTGTTGCTTGCAACCATAACAAGAATCACTCCAATAGATACAAATGGGAGAGAATGCACATTCTTAATTAAGCACTAGGGGACATTAATTAACGTTAAATAGATCTTGAAACTGTATCACCGGATTAAATGGAATTTTCCGCTTCGTATTTGTTTAGTATCTGTATATTAAAAATATATTATTCGTAATTGATGACGTCCTTAACATATATTTTCGTATCTATGCAAACTATATCAGATGTAAGTGATAAAACTCGTTAAAATGATTTTTTAAAAATACGCCTACAAGCATGGCTATATAGCTCAGTACAATTTGGGAATATATATAGGTTATGTAGTCCAAATTAGCCCCTTCAAATAATTTTTTTTAATATCCTATGTCTCGTTAGCTTACCGGAAAATCTGTTTTTCTATAGTAAATTATTTGCAACGAATACAGATTGCTGCTGTATCTATGATTTCTTTGAATTGGCATTATGGAAATTATGAGTAAAAACTTTCGTTGCATGTTACGGTGTCATTCAGTATTTTATTTGTGGAACAATAGAAGAACTGCTTTTTACGCACACCTGGAACGAGTCAAATAATAACGACTTTGAATTTCTAATCAGCTCACTAGCAGAAATTACCGTTGTCATTGACAACAGCGAAGTAGTCAGATGATTCGCCATTTACAATACATTCTCGCTGTTATTATTATAAAAATTCATTTGTTAATATTTTTAAACAAGATAGTTTGAATGGAGGATCAATAGAAACGAGATATAAACTTTAAAATAACTTATTCTGAGGTTAGTCAAATATTTTGGAATGAGTTCTATGAATTCAGTTTTATCGAATTTAGCAAAACGTTACTAGCTTTCTTATTATTCGACAAGTTTTACAAGATAGAGTGTGACTATAATACAGCTTCGTCCTTGGCCGGTAGAGCGTATCTGAGTACACACAAACCGTATTTTATTTCCGTGTTTTATCTGGCTTGTAGCCAATTGAAGATATTCTAGATTGGTGTGACCAACCTCTGACTGTAAAATCGCGTGTGACTGACTCTGTAGCAAATTTACGTGTAATTTTTTCTAACCGAGCTTGTTGACTTGACTGTTAAGTCCGCGTTAGAAATGATGCAGAAGTACATATTAAAAATTCGAATTGTTTTTTTCTATAAAGTCTAGTATATTAATTGCTATGTGGTTACATAATTTCGTATTTAATCCGCATCTTATATGTTTATTTATTGGTTTTGGTTTTAATGAATTGTTCTCTTTTGTAATCGTAGGTAATAACTAATATTATAATTTGCTGGAACCACGTTTATTTTAATTAACTATTTATAAAGATTGTCAGTTCAGTTTTGTAAAAGAAAATGTTGTGATAAGAATTCCTCGTGAATGCCAAGAAATAATGATACCTCCTTAGAGAGAAATACAATAATTTGTTCAAAATGATTATCTCTCTCGCATTTATTTTGGATCTCGTGATACTTTGATAAGGGAACTTGTTTCATCACTTCAAACTGTGGGAAAAGTTACTAGGATGAAAAACTCTACTGTAAAATGTACAGTTCCGTTAGAATACAAATATTAATAGTAGTTCAATCTTCGATTTAGTGAACAATTCTTAATCCCTGTTTACTAACCCCTGCAAATTCTCCTGATTTATGGTCATTACCAAAAATATACAAAAAATAATCGATGTAGGTTCGAAGTAGGTAAAGCATAGTTTTGATTCTATTCTTTACTATAAAGGCGATTCCAAAGGACAAAGATGCCATCCCCACAACGACGTAAAACAACAATAATAAGATAAAAATTATAAAAAGTAAACAATAAACTATAATACATTTTTTAGACAAGATTGGAAATTAACAATGCAAAAAGTCTCTGGAGGATATTTAAATTGTTATTTGTTCTTATGTAGCATAAAACACTAATTCGGAGATTTAATTTAATAGTTAATCGGATAAGAAGTGAAAGACACCGCGACAAGATCGATCCCGGGTTCTGTTATCTGTTCTTTTCGATCATTTTCCAGTTCTTCCGACAATATTCTATAAGAATACATTCCTCAGGTTATCTGGTTTTTCAACAATAGAAAGAATTAGAGTGAAGTTTTTTACTTACAAAAAATTGATATCGTTTCCGTCAACCATGTTCCACATCCTTTAATCTACTCTTCGTTTTATCTCCATTATCTATTGTAAAACCGGAATTTCTTCTCGCATCCGACCCCCGAGGCTGGAACGAACAATCCCAAAATGTTCCGATCTGATCCCAACTAGGAAATGGGGAAATTCGCGTAACAACGGATACTAGGCAACAATTTCGACAAATTCGGGCTTCGCGGGTCTTTCCGAAATTCGTGGCGCGGAAGACCGATTCCAGTGGGGAGGAAAGAAAAAACGTCACGCGGCGAGATAATTAAAGGTTACCTTTCGTTGCCTCGAGGTATCTTCATTAATTTGATGGCGAAGAGAAACTGGATGCAACAGACGAATAGACAACACAGATTGAGGCACAAAGTCAGAGTGCAGAGCGCCACCGACACCTGGTAGACGGCGAAATACTCTTTGGGATTGACCACTATCTTTTTCTCTCCGTTCTTTTTGAAGTCTTCGGGAGAGACGAGGGAAGAGGCCACTTTCTGTAGAAAGAAGAGGGCCAGGAAAGACATGAGCAGGGAGAGCAGGCACAGCAGGGCCAGCGAGGCCAGCATCTGGTAGATGCCCTTCTCCACCTGTTCTTCCACCAGCGACCTTCTGGAGACGGCGGCCAGGCTGGCCGGGCGGGTGATGGTCCTGGACACGTCCAACAGCGGTTTGGTGGAGTTACTGGACACGGTGACGTTGGCGGCCGCGTTGCCTCCGGGCGGGGGACTTCCGGTGCCCGTCGTCGACTTGGCCGCGCTACCGTTCATGGTCCGGGCGGCCGGCGGGACCCTCGGCCGCCCGCATTCGACTCTCACAGCCCAGGAGTGGAGGGCGCCGGATGCTCTTCATACGGCCCGGTTCCCGCCGGGCCGCTTTCTCGGCTTCCGACTTCCCCCGGCGATTTCTCTTCCTCCAGTCGACTGCGCCCTTCACGCGACGAACTCTCTGCAAAACAGAAAAACAAACAATGTACAGTACACGTGCCAACGTTTCCATTTAACGCACCGACGCGGCGCTGCCGGAAACGAACCACCCGTTTCGTCAAAAATCGCCGGCATGACGGACGACATTTCCGTTGCCCATTTTGCCACCCGCTCGGCTTAACCACCCTCCGTGGCGCCCTTTAATTGCGCGATTTGGGACGACCGGAAGAGTGTTCTACTAAGAAAAGAAAATCGTATATTAACTCGGCCGCTTCAAATGCGACAAGCCTTAACGAACTCTTTCGAAAATACACACTTCCGGCGCTTTCGTGCCTCTCGTCCGAGTGGAACACCGAATCCGAGCGTCCCCTCCCTACGTCACATCCTGCCCAAGAAAGAATCCCGGAAGCTAAACACGGGTTCGTTTCGGAAATAAAAAGAAGAAAGGACTTTTCTTAATTTTGACGTGCGCGTAACCCAATGTCGAATATTTCAAAGTAAAGGGAGATTTTCTTGGATCCAACTACAATATTACAAATAGTTGAGAATGTCATACCAGAAATTTTTATGGCTGTATAAAAATATCTTAATTTTTGCAATTAAATTCGATTTGGATTTGGCTTTACGTCTTACAATCCTTGCTAATCGATCTTATCGCGGAAATTAAGCCCACTTCGATTCACAGGAGATCCCAATTTATTTCGTTGAAGCAGAGACGTCACCAGGAAATGGGGATCTCACCGGGTGACACCATTAAGAGGAAGTGACACAAAAATGACTCTATTAAATTTTTCCGCAGTGTTTCAGCATAAATTTATTATTTCTTTTATTAAAAAATCCCTTTAGTTACTTATCACAAAAAATTTCTTTCGTAAGCTCGGCTTGTATGTATCAATATACCTACGACGTTAAAACACTACTAATTTATTTTAGAATCCTTTATTGTGTTCCAGTCAGAACTGCCATTACTACTAAATTACAATGGAAAAATACTAAAATATTTTACATTTTATTGCCATTACGTTTAGGTATATACGGGAATTACGGTTTACGAGTAACATTACTAAGGATTCTGTATGGACTGAGTGAACCTCATGGGGTTCATTCAGTTCATACAGTCCATACAGAGTGCGAATGAAGGGATCTGCAGGGCATGAAGGAGATCAGGGGATTTTTCCCTGCACTCGGGTTAAACTTAGGGATCCGTGGCTCCTATTCTTATGAATTAATGTTATATTTACTAACAAAAAATAAAATCTTTAAGATTGCTGTGAATTAATAAATAAAAGCATTCTCTACATATTTCATTTGTCCAAAAACAGGCAAAAGGACCCGCTCTGCCCCGGGACTTATACAAAGCTTTCGATGGCCCTGCTTTTTTGTAAATATACTATCAGTAGGTAATCGTATCAGGAAAATGAAGCGGATAGAATTTTATTTTTACGCCTGGGTACATTACGACCAAACTATTTTTATTTACGGAAAACATCACCTGTCCAAACAGAAATACGGAGCGTCACGACACGACAGTAATCGAGTAAAATATTTATATAAAACTATTTTCGAAAGATTAAACCCCCAGAGAAGTTTATAGTTTTATTTAAATTATTTTGGCTTAAGTACATGTATAAGATTCTCCTTATAAATAGGATTTTAAAATATCCAATTTTGTAAAATCTGGCATTATTTTTAGAACTTTTCGTTGGCCATTGAAAGAGCAAAAATAGAAATTATTAGTCGTTTAATTCTGTAGTAATATTCTTAAGTTTCGTAATTTGAAATATTCATGAGCACTAACGATCAATTCTTTTAGTTTGCTTTTTTCGTGTGTTTTGTCGCGTGCGCACGACAATTCAAATGTAGTGTAATTACGTCTGGAGCCGTGTTATACGCTGTTGACGCCATGTTTTGAAAGGGTCCATTTATTACAAGAACTATAATATCTATCTGCAAATGCGAATGTATGTAAAATTCATTCGCCATCAAACTCAAAGGACACGAATTCGAATTACGTAATATATATATATTAATATATTGAACTCTGCGCCTGTACCACGCCGGCAATCTAGGGTCCTCAGATATGGACAAAATTTAAATTTCGATACTCTTACTACAATAATGAGTTTATAAAAGATTGGTTTGGGGCCCACTAATGGTGAGGAAGCCAGGCAATTGTCCTTTTTGCACATAAGATAGTGCGCCACTGTTCTACGATTTTAATTTGTAGAATATTTTACTCAATCCCAGGGAGGGGCAAGTACACCGTTTGCTCCCCTCTGCGTATGCCCGTGCTCCACTTTATACAGCGAAACAAATTCGAGTTTTCAGATTTTCCGAGATAATTTCTATGAACGAAAGTTCGACTTTTTTCATCTTGGAAAGCACTCTAATTGGAAGCTTTTAATAAGAATTCTATTAACTGAAGCAAAACAAAATCATCTACAATTTATGAATAATTCATAACCCAGAATCCTGACTCATAAAAAAAGATAAATTCTTATTAATTACATAATAAATACGAATTTTTCACGGTTGAAAAACCATTATTAATGTTTTAGAAGTAGCGTATCTCCCGACAGAAAGGAAATGATTCATTTATAGCATTGGCCATAACATTTGCGATTTTTAAACGTTCGCTAACAGATAACTGCTTACATCCATGCAAATATTGAAATTTTTAGATCTATATTTTACTATTAATTAATGATAATTAACATACTTGTGAAGACGAATGACAAAAGTTTTAAATATTACTCTTAAGTGAAACTACCCAATTTTTAATGATTAACTCTCACTGATTACGTTAATCGGTTTGAGCTAGAAAATTTGTGAGTAATGAAAAAATCTCCCAACAATTTAATTTCGTAAGCAGTATTTTAAATAGTTTTAATGAAAACAATTATTATTTATTGTCTAGAATGTCGCTGCGGAAACTATCTTTTGTGTTAAGTTTTATATGTCAAGGAATAAATGAATTCAAAATGTTTTATAGGCATGTTACTCTATACAATATAGTGTGTTATTGTTATGGTGATTTTAGTCTAGCTTCTAACGACTAGAAACAGTAGTTAGATGTGGAAAAATGGTTTTTAACTAGACACCTGGCCCTAAAACAAGACAATTAGGTGATATTTTCTACACCTCAAACCAGCGGTGCCCAAACTACGGCCCCTGTACGCGTTGGTACATGACATATAACTTATAAATAATACAAATGCACCTACTTTTAGTACGTATGGAATATACAAAATATTTGTGGCCCGCTTATCTACGACTTAAACGCAATTTAGCTCATCAATCGAAGAATTTGGGCACTACTGCAATATATATATTGTAGATGCATCCCTCTAGTTGTATACAGGAACTTAACAAAGTTTTTTCTTTTATCATTAATAATAAAATATTCTGTGATTTTTAAACGAAACGAAAATAACTTATCGACAAAATAAGTTTTTCATCTAATCCATCATACATTAAAATAAACAGAATTTTCTATTAGTAACAGTAAAACTTTTCATTATAAACTAACATTACAGCAGTTGAACTATCTCTCCCTCCCCCTTCATTATGCAGTTTAATTTATGGTTAGTGACGTTGGTAATTCTAGTGCTGTTACTACTGATGGGTGGACTGTTGACGAAAAGCTACAACACAAACAAGTTTTAGTTACTTATTAAATATTTCATAAAATTATATATAGGACTCGTGTATGGTTTTATAGAAATTATATTTAAATATATAGATATACGTTTTAATTCGTAAATGTCATACGAATAAAAGTATAGGGGAGATCGGGGCAAGATCGGCATGTTAAGCTTTACTTAAATTTTGTGTAATAAATACTGCTGTAAACTGAAAAAAAAGCTTTGCATATTGTCTATTGGAATGTTACCTTACTATAGAACTGGTTAAAATCAGTTTGGAAATAAAAATAATTAAAATAATTACAACTTTACAAGAAGAGAGAAATTGACGAAGTTGCCCCGGGTATAGGGGCAAGATCGGCAACTTCTCTCTTTTTGTAAAGTTGTAATTATTTTAATTATTTTTATTAAAGTTGCCCCTGGTATAGGGGCAACAGTAATGGGGCAAGATAGGCACGTATATAAAATTATGTTATTAACAATGTATAAGTTGGAATTCACTATTAAAACAAAGAAATACAAATCCAACACCCATTTAATATTATTACAACGAAATGCAAGTTCAAAGACATATATACATGAATAACAAATGCAAACATGTTTTCATTTATCATCTGTTTGATTTTTATCCTTTGCTTCTAATGTGGCTTTATGTTGCCGATCTTACCCCGCTAGTCATGATTTCGAAACATTAAGTACAACCCTGAGAACAGAATGCCAAGCCACGATCTGGCCACGTGAATAAGTTGAAGTTACATCCTTCTAACAGGAAAAGTAACTTTCGTTATCATGGAATTATAACAAAACCTGCCAATTCAATATAAATGGAAAAAAAATATTATATGGAATTGAACGAAAATAAAAATTTGCTTGATAATTCAACTACGCTTGTTGGAGAACAATAAAAACACTACACTCAACAAGCCACTAATAAAACTCAACTGCCTAACCTATAACCAAAGTCTCCTTTTAATTTGTTTTTTTAAAAAAGCGCTTGACAAACTTGCCCCGCTTGCCGAAGTTGCCCCGATCTCCCCTATGTATAAAAAAAAATAGTCTGTCCGTCCTTTTCATGGAAGAATTCTATCGACACACCCACTCCTTTATTAAAAAATTCATTGATTTTTTTTTTTCTAAAATAAGAACATGGTAAAGTTTAGAATTAAAATGTTCTGAATTTCTATGACAACGTAGTACATTTTTTAAATAATAAATTAATTGTTTAACAAAATTTTAATTACGTTTGAATATATATGTATTATTTTCACTTTTATTAAAGCTTTGTTAAATATTTTAATGGAAAAAGTTATGTTTACGACTATATATTTTTACTAATATTTGAGCTATCGGAGTTTTTACTTTCGTAGGTGTTATATAA